AAATTGATACAGTAAGACACCGATTTCCATGTTGTATTGTGTGGACACCGATACCAATGCTTACGTAAGTTTCACTTACATGAGACCAACGTACATTTCTCATTCTATATATGCATCGTTTACGTGATTTCATCAGGCCTAGAACATTACGTAAGTCTTGCTACACTGATCGCACTTCTTACTATGCTTCACATACTGTTAGTGATGAGCAAGGAACTTTCTACATTCCTTTTATTTGCATTAGTTCTATATAATGAGCAGTTTATTTTCACATATATCATTGATCATTTTTTTATCTGCGCAAATTTTCTGACGCATACCTTTGTTATTTTTCTAATGCGTAAGTTCAAAGTCTAGTCAAAAGTAAAATCAATGCTCTTTCTATTGTAGAAATGTAAACAGTTGCATGACACGCTTTAAAAAGTATGATATTTTGTGAGAAGTTTTGGCAGTTACAATAACAATAATTGAAGTACGACATCGAAATAAGATTAAATTGTCATTGTATAAATTTCAGTAATTTTGTAAGTTTTCGAAAGATACTCGTGAATTTGAAAAATAAGGGTATACTGATTGACGTATATGATACGTTTAAGTCGATTTAGTTGTATGCATGGTAGAGAGTTTCATCAAAACTGTACCTGACTGTTTTTTTCTTTCATACAACTCTTTTTCATAGTATCATATATATTTTTTTAAAGCTTCAGAAATGAGTTCTTCGAAAAGTGATTTCTTTGTACAGATATTTAAGGTAACTTTTGGGTAACTATATTTTCTTAAAACAATAACAATAATGCAATAATGCATAATACATAATGCAAACTGTTTAATAACACAAATTTGAACTTTTTCGAATTTGGTTTTTTCGCTGCATTACTGTCTCACCGTTTTTTTCTGTATTTCAGGTGGTTATTTCCATTTGTGGGGCATATGGGAATAGCAACAAGCCGAGGTATTATCCATGATTTCTCAGGAAGCTATTCTGTTTCTGTAAGTACCTTTCGTGTTCACATCATAAAACTAGATATCTTGCCGATAATTGCTCTCGATAGACTACGAATAACGTTAGATATCCCTTCTTGGTAGTGGCGGTGACAAATTATATGGCGGTTCCATAATTTTTATTTTCAGCTTTATTCTGCTTTAGTTCTGGTCTTTCTAATCATAGTTTGGGCATTAATAATTGCAAGGATTTTTAAAACCGACTTCTTAAATTATTCATAGTGTATCAAGACAAATTATTTCATAAGTTCACTTTTTAGAGGGCAATGTGACATTTTTAGGAAGATAGTATGGCTTTTGGTTGGCCTACATGGTATCGACAGGCAGATCCAAACACAATTAATGGTGGAGTAGAAGCATGGGATCGTGCTGTGTTTGATGCATCGGAAGAATACAAAGGTCACATGGTATGTTTTTCTGCTTGAATACTGTTCTCAATTCTTAATATAATTTACTGGCTAATTATATTAAGGTTCCATAATGATCTGAAGGTGCAAGAAACTTAGAGAAATTTGATATCGTATGATATTTCAAATATGCTTCATAGTGAATTTCATAGAATTACAGAATAGTGAACCTGTTTATCATAACTTCAAGTATGTTTGCTCATTGAATATTTCTTTTTCTTGTTCATTTATTTGAAGCTTTTTGTCTCTTACAGCATACTTTGTTCTGTGATAATTGTTACTGTCATGTTGCGTTGGCGCTGAATAAGATGAAATATGGTGACAGACAAGATTACAATTGTTTCCGGTTGGCCTACATGCTGATGTTTAAAGGTCGATATGTTGGGTTAGTTTTTGATTGGAGAAAATTTGATTGATCTTGCTGAGCTGAATACATGGCTCACCACAGTTTTTTTGCCATAAATGATGTAACTGATTGCATGCCGTACACAATAACTTTTGGAAGAGATCTGCTCCACTTGCCATCATCAGATCATTCTGCTTGACCCGTAAATAGTAAAAATGTTTGAGTTACCGGCTTCTATCAACTTTTAATCTTTTGACAAGTTTTTTCTGGCGTATTGCTGTTCATTGAGTAAGAATTTTATATTTCATATAATTAAGAAGTTGATAAATATGCAGGTAAAGTCATAGAGGATAAAGTTATTTGACTAAAGAAGTTTCAATTTTTGGTGATCTTGCGCTGAAGTAGCTCGGCTTTTGTTGTAACTACACGGAAAGATGAAAGTTTTCTGATACCGAGAATATTTAGTTTTTCCAGTGATCCTTATTCGTCACTGTTATATGTGGTTACATCTTTCCAACTGCTAAGATAACTGCTAAGATATTAAGGTCCTATACCATACCAATACAACAGAATATGTGCACTAAAGCATGCTGAAACGAGGTATAGGATCTTAAAATAATTAGCAGTTACCATCAAATGACAGTTGACACCGCTAAATAAATCAGATTTTGGGATTCTTTAAATTCCTTTTATGGAAACTTTGTTTTCAGATTTGGTGGTTTCATCAAGCAATGGCTTCCGTTCACAATAATTATTTTGTTTATTCTTATAATTGTTGTTATTGCAAAAGATTAACATTTTTAATGCAGCCAGGTTTTATATAATTTCATTCTATATTCGCTAGTCTTACTATGAAGCATATAAAAGAATACAATCTTTATAGCGATCAGAGTGCAAAGTTATGTGGTTGGCGAAATAAAGGATCTAATTGAAAGATATTCGCGATCTTCCATCAAATCGTTATTTTTAATTCATTTAATGATATTGCCGTTTGTATTTATCATGCTTGAATATGTGACTTCTACAGAGTGTTTATAGATAACTGATTGTATGGAATATTCCTTGGTTTTTTTTGACACTAGGCTTTTCAAATTTTAGTCACGAAGACTGTTGGATTATTTAGTGTGTCGGCATCTCCCAATGCTTATATAACTATATATATACATATGTATAAGTAGACAAATAGACTAATACATTTCTAATTTTATGAGAAATAACGGGAAAAGCCAGTGGTAATTATTGTTTGGTTGCGCTCTTTCTTCAAATGTGTTCGATATTTCGTCCAGTCATTTTACTATTTCCGACTAACTGTTTAGTCAATCAATAGTGTTCGAGTACAGTTTGATGAGAAAAAGTTATAAAGAACTGATATAATATTCGAGTGCTTTTTCTTGGTGTCAGTTACTCCCACTATATGTATTTTATATTTTTTGTTATTAAATATTGCGATTCTTTAATCAGTGTGCAATCGATTATCGTTTAATATAGAAATTAGAGGTGTTAGGACTATATAGAGATTTTTAGAGCATGGTAGTCAACATAATATTCACTATATTATACTTTAATAATATGACATGCTATGTAGTCATGAAGGATTTACGCTTATATTTTAAATCGTTTCACTTCAGCGAGTATCCCAACGATCGAAAGGTTGGAATACTTTTCACGTCACGGGATGTAAAGAACGTTAAATTGAAAAATGACTTCGGAAGATATAGTGCAAACTGATTAAGCGATTTATACTGTCATATTGTGATATTTCCTTTGTTTATGAATAAAATTTTGTTTCAAAAGTTGTGCTCAAAAAAGACGATTTTTAATTTCGTGAAATATCTGGTGACATACTTTTACATACTTTGTATTTAGATTTAAATCAACCACTTCTTTTTAGTTTTCGGTTTTTTATTTATTCTGATCTTAATTAGAAGGAGAATGTATCTTAATCTGTGGCAACGAACAGTGATCATCGTTGGAGATAGGAAGGGAATGAATGCTATATGGGATTGAGATGTGTTCCTAACTTTAGCGGTACCCGATAAACATTCTGTGTAATATCGAATGATGTCAGTGAGAATGAAAAGAGGCGCTAAATTAATAATGCATGGCATTAAAAATGAATCTAGTGACGAGCATTGAAAATCGAGGGAGTTAGTTTCGGACTAGGGGCGGCTATTCATAGTTGATGAATTTAATATAAGGATATGAGGTAATATCTTACTGAAACTGAAACTACCGTTTTGGAAGCTATCCGTTAGGACAGGAAAAGTTAACGTATTTCATATGTGTTCTGAACGAGTGCTTTTTTGTTTCAGTAATATTACATAATATTTCAATTATTTTTTTTCATTATTACATAAATGCTTTCTAATTTTTTTTCTCAGATTTATCGCTGAAATGGTTCGTTTGACGGTTGAGTTGATTAATGATTCGCTTCAGTATCTTAATACGGTTCGTGATAGAGAGTTAAGTTTACGAGCCTGCAAAATTCCCGTGCTGGAGAATCTCGGTGTTACGAAGGTTAATTCTTTTTTTAAGAAGACGCCCTTCTCCGGATTTTGCATGCTCAGTTTTCAACATATTTGTAAATTACAGCATAAACAGCATAAAGACTGACCCATTTAGACACTTCATAAATTTATTAAAAATTTCTTGAACTATTATAAATAACATGTAGTGAGGGGAGAGGAGACATAGAATAGTCAATGAGTTTTTATGGTATTCGAGAATCTAAGATTAAATTTTTTCAATTCTTGACTAGACTCTTTGATATAAAAACAAAAATAGCAGAAATCCTTTGGTAGTAAACATTTTTAGCATCTCAAATTTGCAATGATTGAATATGTTTAACATTTTTTCTTAATTTTATTGAAATTTTTTAGGATCAGTTTGATACGATTGATTTAACTGATAATGATATCAGAAAATTGGAGAATATCCCTTTGTTAAGACGGCTTAGCACTCTTCTTATGCACAACAATCGCGTACAGTAAGCCATTTTGGACCAGATCTATTCAAATATATTGAGTTGAATTAAAATTTAAATTTCGAGTTTTTCGATTCATTGCATTTAAATTTAAATTTCGATTATTTGAGCTAAATGATTGTCTTGTGACATTTATTACGTCATTCATCTTACAGGCAGATAATGCCGAACATTGGTGAAGCTTTGCCATCACTGAAGACCCTGGCGTTGACGAATAATAATTTATGTGAATTAGATGATATCGATCCCCTAGCGACTTGTCCAAAATTGGAATATCTGACGTGAGTTTTCCATTTCCATATTTTACATTTTTGAAAAAGATTTTGGATATCGTTACCATCTCATTAGAAAATGCATACTGATTTTTTTTCAGATTGATTGGAAACCCAGTAACTCATAAACCACAATATCGTCTTTATGTAATATACAGGGTACCATCAGTGCGTGTCCTTGACTTTAAACGAGTTCGTCTTGTGGTAAGTTTGTCTTCCATTCACTTAAAAAATATATCTGATAGTAGCGTATATATCATACGCTATTATATATATATAATATTACATTATAACGAGGAGATTTGATCGTGTAATGATGTGTAACTATTTTGAAAGTGAAACCATATGAGGATTTTTTCAGGAAAGAAAACAAGCAAACAGTTTGTTCAAAGGTAAAAAAGGTCAGAAATTTAGAGATGAAGTTGTAAAGAAATCGAGAACTATGGATAATGGCGAAGAAGACGGACAAACTAGAAATTTGCGTGCAGAGGATGCTGGGAAAATCGAGGTAAAATTTTTAGTTTTCTGTTAAATTTGAATTCTAAAGACTCTAAATTCAATATTTCATCGTAGAACAAAGTATGTGAACCCGCAGATTTATTGCAAATATAGAAAAGATGTAGAAAAGGATGCATTTTCTACTCAGATTAAAAGTTCTATAAATATTGACAGGTGTTAAATAGAAGAATAAGGTATTGAAGTTTCGGAATATTAAATCAATTTTTTAGAAGTTTTCAAATTTCAAATTCCTGTGGGAGATGAGGGATGAAGACCCATGAAGATTAAAAATAGGAAATATTTTCTGGAAAAACTAGGACGAAATCCTGCATTTTCAATAAGTGAGCTTTATACTTTTTAAGGAAGCGATTGCATCTGCTTCAAGTCTTGCTGAAGTGGAACGATTGCAAGCTATTTTACAAAGTGGACGGATTCCGGAAAATGGTTGGAACCGTCGAAACATTGGTAATGCGACAGAAGATACTGGAATGAAGTGAGTTTACAGATAACTAGAGCTTTTAACTTTAAAAAATGGGTATCCCTTCTGCAAAATATTAAATTTTCACATTTTTGAAATTGTGTCGTTTTCAGTGCAGAAGAGAGTAATGGATTTGTTGAAGAACGAGAGGATGAAGATGATGATGTCCCTTCACCGCTAGCAAGTTCTGGTGATGATTTTAACGATGATGTGCAGTCTCCAATAGCAAACCCGCAAGAAGTAAAATTAATGATTAATTTCACTGTATATGCTGGGAGTATTTTAGAAACTATAGTACTTTTCAAATTTAAGTGGTTTATGCTTTGTCTTCATTGTTCTTTTTTAGATGCTTTCTCCCGATTAAGTTTTAATAAGGTAAGTTTATTTGAACAGTACACAAAAATAACTTAGCTCCTGCGCAATGAAAAGTTTTTATTTCTCTTTTTTACAGGAAAAGCTGGATAATGGACAATTGGAATACATGACAGAAAAATAAGAAACAATTTCGTTCAACTTTTTTGTTAAGCGATTGAATGGCAAAGAAAGAATTTTTAATTCAATTGTCTCATATTAGTAAACTAAAGTTGATACGTTGTCTACGCCATTTTTTATTGTTTCGTTCTTTTTGATATAATATTCGCGCATAAAATTATCATACATTGGGCAACGAAAATACAGATATTTTGCTTTTGATCTTAAATGTACTATTACGGTTGTTTGGCGATATTGTTTTGTCTCGATCATTCGGAAATAAAAACGTTTAGCGAAATTTGCTATGGCCCTCTGATATTTTCTTTTAAGGCCATGTGCATTACAGATTAGCGTGAACACGTTGATTTATGGTTCAAAAACACTTCAAAACTGTCTCCAAATAATTCTCTTGAAAATCAGTAAGAAAGCTCAAATAATTCTCAGAAAGCTCAAATAATTCTCTTGAAAATCAGTGTCGCAGGTCGTAGGCAATGTGTATTCCTCGCAATACGTTTTACGTTTTTTTTCTTAAGCGGATATGTAAAGCATGATTAGTGTAAATGCAAGAATTCTTCCAATGTGTGGATGTAATTGCATGAATTTACATAAGACAGGGATGTTTTGTTCTTCATTTGCCAAATGGTCAAAAACAAATTGGTACCAGCAGCGCATGCATTTTTTTACCGTGGCTAATATTCCATTAAGCTTCATATGTTATGGTATGGAATATCTGATGTTCTGGCATGACTGATAGCAAATATTATCCTCCAATTTTTTTCTTTCCACACTGAAGTTGGATTTGAGGAAAAGTAACTCAATAAGATTCGAAGGTAATGTGGATGGAAGAGGAGAAGATATTTGTCAAAATTTACATTGAAGTTTTCAGTAGCAAGCGATTGGTTAGTATTCGTGATTGAGTGGCATTGTTTCGGTTATTCTTCATAAAGTGCTTTGCTAGTTCGATTCCTATTACAACAGCTTCGAACTACGAACCGTCAGTGATGACATTTATAAATAATAAAGCTCAACAGGTATGAATATGCCATACATGATATGGATTTCTAATATATATCTGAGACGGCTGTTCCCAATAAATAGAGATGTAGGAGATCAAGCATCTTTCTCAGAAAGCTGAATTTCTGAATCTATTAATTAGGCCATAAACTCAGTGCTCTCCAAGACTGCCAAATCTTCTACGATAACTGAAAATTTCAAGTACTTTGAAAATGTCAAAAAATTCCAAAGAAAAGAAAAAACGAATCGAAAAGAATGTTTCCTTCATGAAATGCATTTACATAAGTTTGCCGCTTATTTTATGCATATTTTATATTTACATATTTCAAACTATTCCTTCCAACAAAACACGTTTTCTACTTTTATAACGGTTTTTATTCTAAGATATAAAATTATGAAATCTTGAAGATTTCTCTATAAAGTTTATAATAGATATTTTTAGTGTTAAGTTTAGGCAGTGGAAATGATGATTTCATAATAATACATACGTTTAAATCGAAAAGTTAAAAACAAATATTTAAACGACGATGATATTGATAATCATTTAGAAGACAAACAACTATTCCGTCTAATGATATATGTATATCTTTTTTGATCTAAAGACTACTCTCATATATATAATAACTCTTAGATCAAAAATAATCAATCAACATTGTACTTTCTAAAAATTGATCATATACATAATAACGTTTGAAATTAGAATAAGTTTTTAAACCACAAAATATCATAATAATAAGTGCAGATAAGTTAAGAATCGTAATTTATTATTAATTGATTGCTTTTTAGGAGTAAATATTTCATTTCTCATTAATTTTAACGATTCAGTAAAGTTTCATTTTAATTTTTGCATAACAATTAAATAGAAACATTTGCATTTCTCTTTTTTTTGATAAATGAAGTCTTTTCTAATTATTTCATTTATCGTAGAATTTACGATACTTTCAAAATGCTATCATGATCTTTCGGTGATTTCCGTCTAGCTAGACGGAATCTAACCTAAAATTAAGTAGCATTATGTCTAACTTGAATTTGAACTTGGAAATTTAAGTTGTATTCATTTAGCATGTTCATCATTCCACTATTTGAAGAATGTAATTTTACGTTGATATTTTGTTACAATAATTAAAAAATAAAGTAGCTATATCAAATATAATATATGCTAATCAATGATAGTAATACTATCATTATCTTTGCATGGCAAATTATATGATGGATGTATGGGAATGTATTTTACATGAGGAAAACAGGAAATTGAAAATATTAATTCTGAACGATTATTATAAGTGGAAGGATTTTAAAAATGTATACCATTATCACTCTGATTTTTCCGTTATCGGAAAGACGGAAAAATCTCTGGTAAAATATACGGCTGTAATTATATTTAAAAGTTAAGAGAGATATTTTCATTTGTTTTTTTTTCCTTTTAAATTTTCAATTGAAAATGATTTCTTGATTCCCAAGATTAGAGTTCGTGATAAAAAGCATATAATAGTTTATAATAAGTTGAAGATAATCAATAATGTATGTTTAGGCATTACAAGTGATATAAGCTCTTTCATCTTTCCTAGTAATATAATAAACACAGTGTATTTGCTATAATAAATTTAAGAATGAAATTTGTGAAAATTCAATCCCATTAGAAAATAGCTCTTAAAATGGTATCCACGTATATTTACCTTAATGTGATTATATCATAATGAATGGGAAGAATATTTCACGTGGAATCATTGATGAAATATTAAATATTTGATCGCTCAATAATCCATTAATATTTATGCCTCATGTCGAAGAGTACATTGGAAATATCAATAATATCCCAATGATTATTGCATCTGCTTATTTATATATTACATATTTACTGTACGGATAAACAATCAATCAACAACTTTACAACACTAATAAGCAATTATTATTATCACAAAACGGGATCGTTTAATAAATATTACCCCCATATTTATATTTTATATAATAACTATACGAATAAAACAACCAATCAATCTTCGATAATCACACAACAACTTTACAAGACAAATAAGTAATTGTCATCACAAAATGGACTAGCTAGTTATATTAGATTATGAAAATATGCATTTTTATTTTAATTAAATTATCCAATGATAATTTAATTAAAATAAAAAAGTATACTAGAATGAAATTGTTTCGTTTTTCTCATTATCTAAGATTATCTTTCAATTTTTGGAAATAATTCCAACTTGATAAGTTCCCTTTTGTCCGATCAACGAACTATCATTTGATCATTCGTTTAGTACAAATTCTTTAACAACTGTTCATTGACAGCTGTAGGATATTCATTTGTTCATTTATTTACTTATTTTGTTTGTCCACCTCACCAAATTTCATTTCTTCTGACTAAAGAGAATGAGAGGAAGGGAAATTATTGATTTGCTGTTCAACTCTTCAATCTGCGCATTGCCTCTAATTCCTCTTATTATGTTGTAGACATTTTACATTAATTCCATCACTTCCACACCAAAATATCCTTTTTATTTGGACATTTGATGCTACACTGAACAACAAAGATAGATTTTAAAATTTAAAATCTATTTTGTTTTAAAAAATTTTCCTCCTTATCAGTATGAAACTGATACCACTAAATATATCATCCTTATTATTGATAAATCGAACTGAAATTTTATACTTCATTATCATTAATGTGTATATTATGTGAATACCATCATCATCATCAGCAGCATCTCATATTGCTTGTTATTTCATCATCTCTATTATAATAATCGTTGTTGTCCGAAAATCATTATTATTGTCATCGCTCACTGTTATCATCATCACTATCACGACCATCATTAGTAGTGTTCTCTCTATTGATAACTATGAAAGTGGTGAATTTCACTTTTGCGCCTTTTTAGAAATTACGAAATTTCTCAAGTTCGAGCTCAACGAGAAACGAAACAGGCATAATATTAAGCTAAAGCTTCGAACATTTTCTAAATTTATTCGAATAAAATCTCGCAAACATTGCTTAAATACTACTTAAATTTACATTAGAGTGTATTAAAGAGCTAACTATTCATTAATCACATCTAATATAGGTAGATAGTTAGCTACATAGATAGATATGATTAATCCGTATAAATATCAGCTGATGTTCGTTTTTTATGTCAAATTATACTAGTAAACGGTATTTGCTTGTGAATGTAGATTATTTTTTTAAATTGTTACAATGTTCCAAAGCCCATCTGAAATTCTGAATATCATTTGAAATTCTGATTTCTTCGTTGAGCATTTTCTAAGATCCTGTTGAAAAGAAGCATTACAATTTCGAAATCCCGTACTCGCACTTTCAAGAAAACGCGAAATTGGATGAAGTGGAAGTAAGAAGCAAAATGTTTTCGTTTTTCAGAGAATCAATGGTTTAGTTTAGTTCAATTTTTTCCCGAGAGATAGTTTTGAATAATAAGAAGTTTTTGAGGGAAAAGGAAGACATTATCTCTAAAAGTAAATTTACCACTTCGTGATATTGTTTACATGATATTATATTTTCAAATATGCGTTTTCGATTTGCATAAATAACTTGTAAACAATTATAAGATAATAATTTGAAGAATAAATGCTTAATTATTAATTCGACGAAAAATAATTTTTCAAAGATTTCTTATTTTCAGTGTATAAAATTAACGACAAATTAATTAATTGTCCTTTTATTGAGAATAATGCACAATTTACATGTAATATCCCTTATTTATAGGTTTAACATGAAAAATAAGAAGAGTAGGCAAACAAATCATCTCATTCACGTTCTCCCTATTTTCATTCTATTAATTTCCTTTATTTTACCTCTTTCTCTTTTATCTCTTCATCTGTTGTTTCAATTAAATGAAGTAGTCTTTCATATAATGATTCCATGTTTATATAGTTGATTCAAAGACTTCTGAATTTGCCGGAAATATTTACAGGATTTAGATTTAAAATGCTAACAGGATTTTTAGGAAGAGATATGAAAACACTTCACAGATCTGCCGGTGCCTTATAAGATTTTTCTTTTTGGAAAAATTAATCATTTCATTGATTGGAGTGCATGTTATCACAAAATGGATTTATTGCGAGCACATAATTATTTATTCAATTTCATTCGGTGTTTCTTTTGACTAAATTAGCATATAACTTCGAAATCTTTTATATTAAGAAGTACTTCATATTCAAATCTTACCTTTTTATTTAAATCACTGCTCATATATTTATTATGTTCATATTTGATGTTATGATGATGCTGATGCTTAATTCATATTCACATATATGTTTCATATTAACGTGCTTTATATCCATGCATAATGGTATTTAAAGAGCAACTATAAGCTGTGGCAAATGTGCCATTACCATAAACAAACATGTCGCTAAATTAATTAGCTTCGTTTTCTAATTAACGAAATGTTATTTTAGATTATTGCTAATCTCATGATGTTGCATTGTCAACAAATATAGCACTATTTATTATGTCATCACAAGGTACTGGTGGACAGCGGGCATTCGCTTTGAAACGAAACAAGTAAATAAAATCAATTTTATTTCTTCCTATAATTTTCGATGGAGTTTCGAAAAATTTACTGTCTATTAATTTTAAAATATTTACTCTTCTTGTTTTTCCTAAATATTTTCCCTAAAATATCAGTTTCAGTTTGCTGATTATATTATTTGCAGAATGACTGCAGCTGATGTACGTCGACATGTTATGATGGGAAGTTTGTTACTAGACCCACAAAATGCTATGCAAATGGATGCAGACAGTAGTCCTCAAGCTGTTAGTTTTTACCGTTGTATTTAGTAAAATATTTCCAAAAAATATAGTCCTTAAAAGCTGTGATCTTTTGCTTAGGATTTTGTCTGAAATCGCAAGTATCTGAGATCGTTAGGTTATAAATTGAGACACGTTTGTGAAGAGGATCTTTGTTCCGTCAAAAAATCTTTGGAGTTATATAAAGAATTCATTGACATTCGTTTATTAATGTGAAAACTGTGCAAAGATCTGTACTAATGTTCGTTGTGAGTTAGTGGTTGTAGCAGAACTTCTAGTTTAAAGTGAATAAAATATGAATATAAAGGTGACTGAGTAGATTTGTTTTTAAACATTGTTCTGTAGTCATTGTCTTCAGAAATGTTTTTGATAATTACTTGCGTTTTGCTTTTCTCATTCAAATGGAATCTATTAATAGTTAAAATGCATATAGCACAAATAATAATTGCTTGGCAATAAATATTTAAGCTATAACTCAAGTAGAAATCAATCTCGCTTTTACGAAATCAATTTAAAACTTGATCACAGAAGCAGGACTTTTTACGTGATTTTCAGATTAATTTAGTTGAAATAGTTGAACCACTGGATGTGGAGGATATCTTATCGCAACGAAAAAGCAACTCTTCCGTACACGAACATATTGCAAATAACAGTAATTTGAGAAGGTTTGTACACAATTAACGTTTTTTTCAAGTTCGAGAGTGTATTTCATAGCGAATATCGAGACTGTATTTCGGAACATCTGTAGTTCTGCTTCTTTCCACCATATCTTTCAGGGTGTCAGAGTTTCCGGTTGATGATATCGAAGTACGTTTGGTACATCGGGATCAGCTTACAGTGGAATCACCGATTCCGTCAAACCTTTCAGGGTTTGTTAATTTTTTTCTAGCGGAAAGAGTAAAATTGGAAGTTGAGAGTTTTTAAAACTATGAGTTTCAACAAAGATTTGATTCATTTATTGGTTAGAACTGTTTATTTGCCAGTATCACTAGTTCAATTTCATCCATTATTTTTAATTTGATTTCAGTATAAATTCCGCCTCTGCTACTTTATTGTTAAAAAAACTTTTTCAGTGTCGATCCGCTGGTAAAAGATATAATACAAACATACAACGATAATTTTTCACTAGTGCAGCGAAAGTATATACAATATTCGAGCGGTGAAGCATATATTCGATTATTGATGGAACGACCGATTATTGCTCAAACGACCTCAAAACAAATTTTTGAAGTGGATTCGGATCGACCTATAGGACGGAGTGTTAGCACAGCAGGCGAGGATCAGGTAAAAATATTATCTCCACAAACTACAAATATTTCCTATACAAGTCCAATTGGTTGTAATCTTGTGCCTGAAGCTGTTTGAATTGAGACTGTAGGCAAGGTATGTTCGCTATTAAATTATTTTAAGATTTAAAGCATTCAAAATATAATCAGAGTGGTAATATCGCTTGCTGTAAATAATGTCGTCTTTGCGTCTTGAAAATGCTTGTATGTTAAAAATAATTTTTTTTTGAAGGTGCTGCAAGTTTTTATTCAACTATGTAGTATCAACTTACTAGAAATTTTTTCGTTTTTACAAAAACTTATTAATTAATTGTTTACAAGTCAAACTTAAAGGATATATGATGTAAAGTATTTTTTATTTTAAAAATGTTATTATCCTTGATCAAGTAGATTGCAATATAGTTGTAAAGAGGAATGATTGTTCCTGAAAAAGTTACGTAGTCTAAAATTTTATTTCCGAATGTTTGCTAGGTCAAGCTGCCTGTTTATTTGTTTGGATTGTTAAATATTAGGCAGCAAAGTTATTCATGCATTTTACTTGTTAAAGTAGAAGGATAATTCAACTTTGATACATCGTTAAGCACATTCTGTACTGGAAAGAGTTATATAATAATTTTTGTTATAATCTGAAGTCATGTATATTTTGCTGTAGAAATTTTCGTTTTTTAATATTTTGAGTGATATAATTTGGGGTCGATAATAACAGATCGCAAAACGAGACTCAATCGGTTCACATTATTCGTCTGATTCGATGTGTACTGTTGGTTCGTCATCCGGTGGAACAAATCGTGATGATACCTTACGTGCACCTCACCAACTTCATTCTTCGGCTAGTGATCCCATAATACCTGGTTTGTGAATTAAATTTAAAGGAAAAAAAGAACTTAAATGTAAGATTAAGTTCACTGATCATGTTCATAATTATGTGGGTGAAAAAATCTAGGTTTATTAACATCTTTAGAATGACAAAAATTATTCGTCATGTGGTTACCAGAGGTGGTTAAACGTCTATTTTCAAAAATTTTATGTCGCAATGGATGTATTGAAGTCGACAATATCTTTGTAGGTGTAGTGCAGCGTATTTCAAATACACAACTTGATCAGATCAATGAGGCTCGAAGGCGAGCCCATCGACAAAATGCATTAATTAACCTACTTCCACCTCAGCTCGAAGTTTGTCCTACGCAGTTAATTTAATGTTTTACTTTATTTCTTAAAGTGCATTGCTTTTCTGATAGAAAGTCTGCTGCCATCCAGAAATATAAAGACGTGCTAAACTTTTAGCCTAAAATATGTAATAAGCTATGTAAAGATCTTTTATAAGTACATTCGGAGCTGGAAATTCCATGATTTATGGCGCATAATGGAGTTATTTAGGCTGATGTAATTGAACGTCGAAGTATAGCACCCTTCCCGACTGAGCATACTGGTCAGAAACTTTTCATCAAAGTTTTGCAGGTTAGTTGTTGAGCTTTCGAAATTTCAATTTCTTTTAAGTCTTCAATTTGGTGTCTTGAAGAAATTCCAGACAACTGTAACGTATTTCATCTTTTTTCTCCATCTCTATGTAAACTGCTGTTTCTTTACAAGTAAAAGAAAACCTCTCGCATCCTGGACTCGCATCCAAAAGTAGAAATAAAATTTAATTCTTAAAATTTTTGCTATTTCTCATCGTATATGCATTTCTATTAGTTATTTGGATGTATTTTCAATAAAAATTAAGAAAGGCATAATTTTGGAGAAACTTTTTATGATGTTTTTAAATAGTTTTAAATTTTCAGTTGCAGCTTGAACCTTCATTCGAACCCATTTTCGGTGCCGTAGTACTTTATGATTTGAAAGAAAGACGAAGGGTAAATATTCTGCAATTGTATTTTATTTGCTTCAAAAAACTCTTTCTTTTAATTTTAAATAGTTACTTATTGCCAACCAAAGTTTTTAGCCATACTTCGTCGATGCCATTATAAATTCAGTCCTGGATTTTTATAATTATTTAGACTCACCCATTACTATTACAGCCACCCAAGAATAATGAGGGCTAATAGGAATCAACTATTGCTGAAGATTGGATGATTAATTTCAGATATCAGAGAATTTCTATTTTGATTTAAATAATGATTCGCTCCGTGCAATGATTTCGCAACACGCTGATTGTATAGATGAAGCAAGCAAATGTACACAAGCGGTTTTCAGTATAAGTCAATCACTGAACGACATATTTATTGTCATCAAGGTAGGCAAAAGCATAATATCATTAAACTTTTCTTTGTTTTAACTTTTCTTGAAATTTTTAGTTAGAAAAAGTATTACAACCGTGCGAAGTAGCAGATGCATGTGAGCCGTATCTGAAAGAAGATAAAAACAAGGAACGGTTGATGCAAACGGCACAGCAATATTGCGAACGACTTGGTGCGTTCCGGATGCCATTTGGATGGTTTGCCATCGACCTGAACCAAATCCTTAATAGACAACATCATCCGGATAAGACGGAAGCATTAATGGCAACGATTCCAAGCTCTGTTGCTGGTGTGTTTTTATACTTTTAAATTATCAATTTCTTAAATATAGTTATTTTTTGGATAGATTAAGTTTTACGGCTATGCATTATTCGAAAAATTATTATTTTGCTCGGATCCAGTCTTTTCAATAAGCTGGAATTGATAAAGCTAATGAGACGAGATTTTTCTAAAAATTTTTAAAATAATCTTATTTGCTCTTCAGTTTTATTAATTATGGTTTTTTGCAATTGCTGCATTTGTAGTGCAGGATGTAACACCAGCTTCACCAACAACATTCTTCGATGTAGAAAGTATTATCAGTATGGGTGAGTTGGTTTTATCTTTGAAAGACTTCGGATTTATGGGTATTAATTAATTTGGAAATATGTTATTAGGATGTGATAATTTTCTAAGTTTACTAAATTTTCTAAGTATTTTATACTTTAATCCGATTTTTGATTCAATTTGAAGGAATTAGGTTAAAATTTTTTTCGTAAGATTTAAATTCGATTGAAATTGTGGATCAAGAAGGCACTTTCAGATCGAATATCGAATTCAACATCAGGGACTTTTCGCCGAGCGGGTAGCGGAACTTTGTCCGGTACAGTTTTTGTAGGAGCGCAGCAATCCCAAAAAAGTCGTACACCGTTGCAAAAACGTAAACTTTTTGCGGGGCTTCATCCGACTCTCTCGCAAAGTGAAACAGCTGCAGTAGGACTGGGCCTCGAGACTGCCTCATTACTGAAAGATGGCGGTTCTTCGTTAACCTCCTTAAGTGGTCTACAACCTCTGCTGCTCAATATCAATTCCTTCTTTAGACAGGTAATATTAAAAAATTTAGAGTCTGGATTCTGTATGATGTAAGCTTAATTGTTTTAAAAATTTTGAAAAATTGATGGCCATTATCTGAACGTTCGGGACTGTTACTGACAATAATGATCAAGAACACACTGTAGTGTTATGATGTCATACGTCTTAGTGCAGTTTTCATTAAGATTACCATTCTGCAGTGATGGTGTTAAGAACTTCAATGTGCGTCTGGATGAAATTTTATTTTGCTTGTTCATATAAATTCTAAATTTCTTTTAGTTTGAATTTCATTATTTTTCACTTCTTGATGACTATTTTTAGGAAGCAGAACGTTTGACTGATGAAGATCTCTGCAAAATGCTTGCGGATTGTCGAAAAGGTGGTTCCAAGTTAGCTAAGTTGAAAACATTTCCAATTACATTCAAAATGGAATTGTCAGGTGGATGTGGCGAATCTTTAATGAGGTATTAACTTATCAATTCAATTTTCAAGTTTTTCCTTTTTGAAATATATTCCGAAATAGAGTTCTTGAAGAGACAAAACCTAAGAATTCCCTCTGTTTCACCGACTGAATTTCTGGAAACCAAATAGAATTTTGCGTTCCTTGGATTACTTATTTACATATATAATTAACTAAATTATTTATTCATTTTATAAGATTTCATGTATTTTCCGGTTTACACCTGATCTTCTTCGTGTGTATCCATTCGTTTCTAGCAATCCAATGGATATCGTCAAAGAAATTGTAGAATTCCCGAGTAAAGGAATTTATGCTGTAAATGCTACCTATAGGTAAGTTATCGAATTCACTAAATATTATTTACATATCATTTTTTCCCTTTTCTTCTTGATTAAATGATATTTTAGGAACCTGCTCTATATATATCCTCGTTCAGTAAACTTATCTAACCGTTCTGGTCCTTCGCGTAACATTGCTATACGTGTGGAATTGATGAATGCCCAGGAAAAACCTGTTTATGCTGTGTTTGGCAAATCCAGTGGGCCAAACATTACTTTTTCTGCTGATACTGCAGTTTCTTATCACAACAAGTAATTGTTGAAATATATTTCAAGTAAATTTTGGATAAAATTATTTAATAAAAACAAATCAAGTAAACTGGTATACAGGATGTAAGTATTCGTAGAGTAATTTCACTTAACTTTTGTTATCTTTAAGTTATTTGAGGTTGAGTGAGTTTGATTTAATAACCTGGGGTGATAGCATCCAAAAAATTTAAAATATGCATAATTTATTGAGAATCTGAATCTGAATATTATTGGTTTCACTGGGAAAGTGTGATGGCATAGTGCTTTGTGGTTCTAATGATAAGAGTAGTTATTTCCAAATTTTAAAATGAAGTTTTTTATTTTAAAATGGAAAATCTTTGAAATTGTGGTTTCAGAACGCCCAGCTTCTATGATGAAATAAAAATTAATTTGCCGGTTTACTTAAATGATGGACATCACATACTGTTCACTTTTTTCCACATTACATGTAAGCCAAACAAAATTGGCGATGAAGTCAAAATACCCATAGGGTATTCATGGATTCCATTGCTGAAAGATGGACGATTGCAAACTGGTGAATTTACTTTACCCATTGCATTAGAACAATTACCGCAGAGTTATGGGTATCTCTCACCGGATGTCAATTTACCAAATGTTAGATGGTTGGAAGGGCACAAACCGCTTTTTGATGTAAAACTTGAGGCTATTACAACAGTTCATACGCAGGTAGGATGTGCTTGTTTCAGTATTTTAACATTTTTGTTTGTTGATAAATCAGTTTAATTTGTCAAGTCAATTAGGTATAAGTTATATCGTTCTTTTTTGCATGAATAAGAATATAAACTCAATTTTGAAACTAATATCAAAGTGTGATCTTCAGGATTCTTATTTGGACAAATTTCTGCTTGCATACCAGTCATTAGGCGTTAATGATAAAAAGAATCCACCAATATTGGAAGCTGATTTAAAGGATGCAATACGAAGTGTCATAAAAGCCCGTCCTGAACCAATGGTTGCTTTTCTATATGTTATACTGGATAAGCTGTTGGCATTAATTGCGTATCCTCCATATACGGGTTTGTTTCATTATTTTCAATTATGCATTTTTGGAATAAATGTAGGTGGGAACTGAATTAAACTGTCTCTACTTGTGAACTGTAATCTTAGGTAATTATTATTCGAAATGCATCTTACATGAAGCGTCAACCCTTCTATTTTTCGATAGTGGCATATAACTATCATTCTCTTGACACTACAATAAGTGAATTGTTGTTCAATTTAGAATGAGTAAGTCATTGGATTCTCAGATGCTTAAATGTTTAATGTTTTTGATCTTTTACAGTATCCGTGTCAGCCGTATGCTTCGAAGTACTTGGACAACTTGTCAAAATATGTACTGTTCTTTTGAATAACTTCTGTGATGCTCACGGTCGTAGTTCACTCCTCACGACCTATATACATTATCATAAAATTGCTCTTAAAGGTTTGTTATAGATTGTATCTAATTTTATTTGTTAATCATCAGCGATACTTAACAATGACATGATGTACTGTGAGTTAAGATGTCATTTTAATTATTTTTTGCGTAATGAAATTCAAAAGATTTTCCGAGATTTAGAAATTTCGATCATGCAGCCAAACAATAGTAGGACGGAGCTTAAACCGGAGGATACTCTACGAATGCCTACTTCACCCGAAAACAAACATCTTCTTGACATTATCAGTGAGTAGAGCTAAATATTGTATTTTAGTATTTTATTTCATTAGAAACTATTTGCATTAAACTTTTAAAGTGAAATTTTAATAATTTACTCAGTATATTTGGTACCTTTGTTGGAATTGCATGTGCAGCGATCACATCAGATTCTTAATTATTCTAAAAAGATTCGTTTTTATTTCATTATGTTATGGTTTACTGAAAAGAACGATTAGGAATTAGGGTGTTATTTCAGAAAATTTGTTTTTTAAGGAGAATTTGAGCGATCAAATTATATAAAAGCATCTGTCGAAGACGACTGTGAACCGAAGGCATCAAAAAAGGTTATGAAATGTATTTTTATCTAGTTTTCATAAATCTTTTTAGTAATTTAGTGTCTTGTTTTCGAGAATTTGTTATTCCAAGTTTTGGTGCCTGAGTTTAACTTAGACTGAAAGCAAGCGAAAACGCGGTTAGTCTTAGACAATTAAAATTACTTGAATTAATATAAATTGTGGCAGGAGCAATAGAAATATTTATCGAAGAAAAATGCAGTTGACAGAAATGAATTATGTCGGAATTGCAATTATAACTTAATTGGTAATTGGTGATCGGTTCGAATTTGACTCTTTTCGTCGAAATTTATTCTGGTAAAATTTTCATCAATTTTTAAAGTTTATTTCGTACATATCGGGTTTTTGCAGATGATGCACGAAGAATTAATATTGCAGTGGGTAATCAGTGGTGGTGCAGCTCGAGAAATGGCTTTCCTCAATTCCTGGTTCTTCCTTGAGCTTATAGTATGTTTTCTTATAGCAAATTTGTGGAGTTGTTTGTTTATGCAATATTTATCTTATAAAATTTTTTTTCCCCATTCTTTACCATATAAGTCAAATAATATTCAGTTAAAATAATATTCAGTATTATGTGTTCAAAAGTAATGTTTTTTCATTCTGTTTTCCACTCATGGTAAATTTTATAGGTTAAATCAATGGCAGAATATTTATCTCTTTCAAATCGTTTGTATTTACCACGAAAGCTTCGATTTAGTGAAGCCTTTATCCAAGATTTGAATGCCCTTTCTCAGGCTATCGTGAGTGAAGTGATTCAAAGAATTTCAAAAGATCCAAGACAGGTATTTCCATGGCTTTAATTGTTTGCAACGAAAGATTTCTCCTTATTAATAAATAAGACAATAGTAAATTGTGAGATATGTTTGTTATTATCGTATTGGTTAAAATGAAATTTATGTACTTCAGTCACAGTCAATCAGTACTTCATGGGCCTATTTCTTGCGTGATTGCTTGTCACTGATGGATAGATCCTTTGTGATAACACTGATCAGAGAGTTTAACCGCGAGATTGCTGCTAAGATAGGGTAACTTTTGCATAAATTCTTTTTTAACAGCTGAATTCATTTTTCCTAATTATTAGTTTTCAAATTGACTGTTCATCTAAAAAGTCTATCTTAAATTTTTTACAAGTGCACATGTTTCTGATCCAGAATGATTTTGTAAGTACTGAATGCGCTACATTAGTAATTGAATCGTGATGAAGAGCTTATGTGGCAATATTATAACAGCTAGATTTTATGATGTTGGAGAATTGAGGAATATTGCTTTTTTTTTTTTCAAGAAACTGCACCGAACTGCGCGTAGTTCCAGCTCTCATGCTAATTAAATTGGACTTTTTGCGGATCATTGCCTCTCATGAGCATTTCATTGTACTGAATTTGCCGTTTGGCTCTGGTAATCCGCAAGGTATGTCAACAAGCCATTCCGGTGGATCATTTCATGTAAGTTTTATTGGAGTTTGTTTAATAAATACTCATTTTCCCTCTTTGTTCTCGATCATTTCGAATTTCAGTCAGCAGCGTCGGCATTTTCCAATTCGTCCAATTCGGAGGGTAGCACTAATTTATCTGTGTCCTTGCATCATTGTTCTTCACATCAGTCTTGTAGCCCAGGAAATTCAAGTATCAGTAGCAGGTTTGATTTAGTTTCTTGGAGTCCGAAATTTTGAATTCCGGAAACCCATCTGATAAATTTCTGAAGTTATCGCTTGTCCTTTTTTTTTGTATTTTAGACGAAGCCAATTAATTTACATAGCTTTATTTTATACCTTTTCAGGTCTTCAAGTCAAACAAATGAATCGCATGGTGCACTTGGATCAGCAGAGCTAACTGTTGAGTTTCGTTCGCGACATTTTCTAATTGGGCTGGCACTCGCTGATCTAGCTTCTGTTCTCGATATATCAAATACTCTACTTCATTCACGGTTAATTCACTTTATGTTATGAGACCTTTTTTTTTAAAGTTGTGAGAGCTGCTCTAATTTTGATTGTTTGTAACAAAGAAAGGTATATAATTATGCTGTATCATATTTCCTATTTATTTTGAGGTTATATTACTGCACGTTCGTCCTATCTTGGTTTTGTGGGGAAAACGATAATTTTTAAGAATATTTTCAGTGCTATAAGTCTTATTCGTAATTTGCTGAGCAGCCATGAATTGGATGCTCGACTTCTTGATAATACGATGAAAGCACGAGTAGCATCCTTGTATTTACCAATCATCGGTATTGTTCTGGACGCCTCAGCTCAATTGCACAATCCTTACTCGAAGTCTTCCAGTATTAACTATGAAATTTCCACATCCATTTCTAATGGGCAAGTTTTCCGATTTTGCAAAAATCTTTTCGAATTCAAATTTGAGGAAGATAGTAGCCATTTCTAAACCATTCTTAAACTACAGTTACACAATGGAAACAGATAACGGGCCGTTTATCAGCGACAAAGTTATGCTTGCAATTGGTGGGATGAATTTTTCACCACCTTGCTCACCTCGAACCGAACGGAAGCATATTAATTTAGTTCGACCATCACTTTCGTTGGAAAATACACGTCAGGTGATAGTTTTCATAAAACATATATAATCACCATGAAGTTTTGTGTAGGACGAATGCATTGAATCATTTTGATTTTCCATTTTTTAAATTTAATTTCCTCAAATCTCATTCAGATATTAGCATGTTTTTGTTGGACGTTGAAAAATATGGAACGATCGTCTTTGCGTCAGTGGATTCGCGATTTGTCGTCTAATCGAATTTCACAGTTTCTCGATGTTCTACAACTTGCTGTTTCATGCTTCGAATTCAGATCATCTCTTTTCTGTCCTAATCAAGTACTGGTCGCATTTTTGAGCAGTTCGTACGTTAAGAACTGAAAATTCTTGTAAATTTCTTGAGAAGTTTTATAACATGATAGCATTGTCTATTAGGAGTTTGCAGGGTACCGGTGAGTTTGCAGAGGAAGCAAAGGACGAAAGTGGTAGTAATATCGAAGTCTCATCGGTTAAAGAGCTTAGCCGAAAAAAATCACGTGGTGCAGCCGATTCTGAAAATGGTGTTCGGTGGCGTAAAGAAACTAAAGATTCACAAGGAAAAAGTTCTTGGAAAAGTTGCACTGGTAGTAGCGGTGGACAGTCAAGCGATGAACCTATCCGTAAGTTATATACCACCCAATATTTAAATGTTTCATCTTAATAGTCTTGCAATATATAGAAGTATCTCAAAGTTAATTGGAAGTTATGAAATGATGAGGAAGTCATTAAAGTAAGGAAGAATTCGGAAGCTATTTATTTTCCAGAAATAATTCGTTTAGTTTAGCAAGTGACGAAGATATTATACTTGAAGCGACCCTTTGCACCGAGATACCATTAATAGTGCTGGATACGTTAGAACTCATTATACGTGTGGTGTCGGTTCTGGGTTCTGATTATCTCTTTTATGTGTTACCTTCTGTATTAAAAGTGTTGGTGAGTTTATTAACGTTGATTTTTATAGTTCTGAATTACTTTTTGCCACTTTTAAATTCAAAAATATTTGTTTCACTTGAATATTCGTCAAAAACACGTTCTTCATATTCTTATACATTGTAGATGCATTGCATAAATTGCGATTTTTTTGTCTTAATATGCAAATAGATAGATAAAATTAGTATTGGAGTCGTTACAACTGAAAGTTCAAGTTTGAACTTTGGAATAAATGAAATGTAAGCGAAAGAGCTATATTGACAGTTGAACGTAATGTTTATTAGGAAGAAAGATGAAAAATTAAATTAATTTCTTCATTAAATTTTTAAAGATGCATATTCTTGCTTGCAATCAGTCAGTACAAACTTTGGAAAGTGTTTTTGCAAGTCAACGAGCAATAGTTACGAAGTATCCAGATTTGCTGTTTGAACAGGTTAATATTATATTTTCATATTTTCGAAATATATCAATTGTCAGATAGTTTCTTACTTCGAAATGCAAATTATTGCTTTCACTTAATTCGTTGCTCGTTGTTCCTTGATTTCTTTATTTGAGTTCATCTTTCAGAGTTGCAATTCTTATTTTTGTTCATAAACTTTTCTTTGACCGTCCTTCGTGCATATTCATATCTCATATAACTTTTAAAAATTGCTGTAGCAAGTAACTGTCGGTGATTTGTTTATAGGAGACTGAACAGTGTGGTGAATTGTGCCTTCATCTACTAAGATATTGTGCATCCCGCTTGCCAGCTGTTCGCTCGCAGGTACTATTTAAGTTTTGAAAAAGTATAAAATGTTTTAGTTCATTTTGATTCTTAAAGTTGGTACATTTGTTAATATTGCTTCTAAGGAAATTTGTGGATAGTAATGGGACCGCATTTCTTATTTAAAATAATTTGTGGAGGTAAAAATAGGTATAACCTTGCACAGAGAAAAAGCAGTAGATCGTTTTCTCAAATGAAGATTAAATTATGTAAACAGGTTAGGAATAGTTTTATCCAGGCTTTAATATTTCGTGACAAACAAGTAATTGAGAATAGTCCACATGAAATCTCAGCGGAGATACAGAAAGTAATCTCTTTTTCTAGTTGACTAAAGGTATCATGATATGAAATTGAATTTATTGAAAAAGATTTATAGGCTGCAGCTTCATTATATCTATTAATGAGGCAGAGCTTCGAATCAGGAGCAAGTTTTTCAAAAGTTAAAATGCAAATTACAATGTCACTGAGTACATTGGTTTCTACGGGTACCAAACACGGCGATTGGATAAATGAAGATTGTTTACGTCACAGTTTAAAAACTGTACTGACATATTCCGAAACAGATGCTTCAATTGATTCGCAGCTACGCAATACTACTTTTTCAGAGCAGGTTAATGTGTAAAATGTTACTTTCTGGAATAATATCTTTCAAATTTTTTGTGCAATTTAGACTTCTCAAATCAAGAAAACATTATGTGCAACTGCAGGTAAAAGATCTCGTTTTCAATTTGCATATGATATTATCGGATACAGTAAAAATGAAAGAATACACTAATGATTTTGAAATGCTAATCGATCTCATGTATCGTGTTGCGAAGGGATATCAGAACAATCCAGATCTTAGGTTGGCATCATTTTTCGGTATTTATAACGAGCACATTTTTACTTCACCTGAATTAATTCAGAAAAACGGATTATTCTGTTTCTTGGTTGGTATGATCTCTGCAGAGAGTCAAAGGCATGTCAGTCATCAAAATATTCCATTCGGTTTGTGACTCATGTGGAATTATTCAACTGTATCGCTAAAATGCTGTGATACTTTTTTTTCATATTCTGTGATTACCGACAAATTTCTCATTTTTTGCATTCTTTGAAATTGAGTTTTGTTTTGAAATGTACAGCAACAGGCTCTAAAATGCGTTAATTTAGGTTAACATGGTTGATAAATATGGCAAATAAGCATTCAGCTCGGGATAACGCAGCGGAAGCTGCACAGTGCATGTTGCATGCAGCCGCTTTAGCTGCTGAATATATTTCGATGCGCGAATATGATATTTATGTCCCTAAAGGTGCTGCCGCTTTCGAAGCTATAAGCGATAATATTCTCGAAGAAAGTGCTGTTTCGGATGATGTTATTAGGTATTATTTTTTATTTTTAACAGAAAATATTTTCCTCTTGTATTTTAGATTTGCCCATATCTTTTTTGCCCAGATTGTTAGAATTTTTTCTGCTTTCAAAACTTTTCAAAACTCATTTGAATCAATTGTAGTCCCGACGAAGAAGGTATTTGTGAAAGTCGTCATTTTACACAAAATGGTTTAGTACATTTGGTGGAGAAAACAGCGCAGTTTATGGAGAAAGCTCAAATGTATGAATCAATGGTACAACTCTACAAGGTTATTAAGCATTACTATAATTGTATTGGAACCAGGTTTTTTTAGAAATGGAATTCTAGCACTTTACAAAAATTTTAAAGTTTTATATAATTTCGATAGCTTGTTTATGCTAGGTAATAACACCAATTTTGGAAGAAAATCGTGATTACCGACATTTGGCACAAGTACACGGCTGCCTGAGTCAAGCGCTTTCACGTATTGAACCAACTGTGCCGTTGATTGAAGATATCGCCGATGCATGGTATTCACCTTTACCAAGGTACATGTCTAATAATTCAAAATTCATCCAACTTGTATTTAATTTTTAAATAATGGAGATATTGTTAATTTTGCATTTTAGATTTGATATATTTTTCACTCAAACGACATTTGCAGATAATTAAAGCTGTTACAATTGGTTGTCAAAAGTTAACTTAGGCATTTGAAACTTTTGGAAAGAATATGATTATATTTTGGTTGCAATATGAAGAGTACAGAAACTTGATTCTCCATTGTCATAAAAGTTTTTCAGCGCCGACAAACGTTGTTTCGGTACCTATTTTCGGGTGGGTTTTTATGGTAGTCGTTTCGGTGATTTGGACGGTGTCGAATTCATCTACAAAGAGCCCGCAATTACGAAATTGTCCGAAATCAGTCATCGTTTGGATGCATTTTACACTGATCGTTTTGGGAAAGGAGTTGTGGAAGTTATTAAGGATTCAAATTCTGTATGTTTCCCATCTTTTGACTAAATTTGAGCGATAACATGTTTTACGAGTGGAAGAAATTTGCTTAAGTTGATGCTTGAAATCAATCTGTAGGTCGATCCAAACCGTTTGGATTCCACAAAAGCCTATTTGCAAATCACATATGTAGAACCATATTTGGAGAATTGGGAACGACGTCGTCGTCCTACTCATTTCGAGAGGAATCACAAGTTATATCGGTTCGTCTATGCAACACCGTTCACGAAAGACGGTCGTGCACATGGTGATTTGAAGGATCAATACAAAAGACGAACTGTGCTAGCCACACAACATTGGTAACTTTGAGTCGATTTTCAGATTCACGTCTTCAGTTTGAAATATTAAAGCACAGCAATCTCTATAAAAGCTTCATGCAAATTAAGAAGGCGTCTAATGCATGTTCATCGAAAAGAACTTTGAAGAAACGAACTAGCAACACCCTAATCAAATACCAGTGTTTTACGAATAACAACGTAGACGTCCTTTACGGAACTTTCATAATACTTATAATTATCATTTAGCACACGATAACGGCTTAATGATATTTAATCTTTTATTTTTGTAAGAATGTTTTCCTTAAATGAACCGATATTTATTTTATACATTATTCGCGTATCTTTTCAGTTTTCCATATGTAAAAACACGCCTTCGAGTGGTGAATCGTGAACAAAATATTTTGACACCAATTGAAGTTGCAATTGAAGATGTCCAAAAACGAACTCGTGAATTAGCTGCTGCTACCGCACAAGATCCACCTGATGCTAAAATGCTTCAAATGGTACTACAAGGTTGCATTGGTACCACTGTCAACCAAGGTCCTGTAGAAGTGAGTTCAAATTTTATAAACTTGTCAAAATATTAATGGAAGTAAATAAGATGATAAAATTCTGATGCTAAAATTATGACTAGATTTCTATATTAAGAAATTTTCTTTGTTATTGGAATAGGTCGCTTTTTTGTTCTTATAATATTTATAACATTTTATAATGATAATATCAAGGTTAGTGGACGAGGAGATATAATCATGTTCCCATTATCACTTCAGCAACAACTTCATAAACGATTTTTTTTTGAAGGTTGCCAACGTATTTCTTACAAATATGATTTTGGATGAACGTGGCAAACCGATGGATAAATTCCAGAATAAGCTTCGCTTATGTTTCAAAGATTTTTCGAAGAAATGTGCAGATGCTCTTCAGAAGAACAAGAAACTTATCCAAGCTGATCAACAGGCTTATCAGGTTAGCTTGCCAAATTTCATTATTGAAAAGAGTACAGCAAATCTGAAGGTTTTTGTTAAAGGCTTCTTTTGTTTTTTAGCGTTTTCATTTCACGATAAAAGTTTATTTCTATAATCAGCTCATTAAAAATAGTCGACTATCATATATTACACTTACTGTACATGGGATCCTTGTACTTTATGCTAGCCAGCAAGTGATTCCTTTTATACATTTATAATCGATGATCAGATTATTGTATATTAAAATTTCAATTACAATGATTGTAGTTGATTAATAACTACTCAGCATTATTCTTCATTCGTTTATTCCAATTTCATGATGATTGTTCAAGTGGGATTTCACAGTGAGAATTTAACTTTTACGAAATTCCAGAATGAACTGCAAAAAAATTATATCGAATTTACGAAACGAATGGCACCGATTGTTGGCATTCGTAAAAGTAAATGTTCTGAAGCACATATTCTAAAAGCCGTACATGCCGCTGCTGTTGCTGCTGAACTTGGACCAGTTACTGCAGTGTGATAGACTTGAAGTAACTTTTTAAAATTTAGGTTGTTTTCATTTCGTTCTTCTTTTGTTAACTGAAAGAAGTAAGGAAATGATAAACTGCAATGCCGACTTTACATTTCTTCGGTTCCCTATGTGTCCTTCATTTATTTATTCTTTTTCTTGCCATCGTCTCTTTTGTTTTTGTTTGTATGATAATAATAATTTCACAATGTTTGTTCTATTTCTATTTTATTCAACTGTTACTATTTTACATTACGCGGAATATCCAGGCCGAATTTCTTACATGCCATTTTTTGCATTTTTTATTGTTTGAATTTGGACTTAAAGGAATGTTAGTTTTCGTCCTGACTTTATTGGTTTTGATGAATTTTAGATCCAGCACTATTTAGCTCAACGTAATTAAAAAAATGAATTTTTGTATGATTTTACATTCAAATGAGATATCAAAAAGTCTCGCAATAGCACATACTATTTTTAAGCTCATCAAAATAAACATGACATCGTTCGATCGGTTGCTCATTAAATATACCAATTTTGCTTATCTTTATGGAAGAAAGAGATGAACAATGCCTGTTAATAAAAAAACTTGACCACTATCCTGATAACTGGATATAATTTGATTGAAGAATAATTTGAAAGAAGTAATTTGATTGAAGAAAATAAGAAAAATGATAAAGCGACGGTCATCTTGCTACATTTTACACAGCCAATGAATGGAACATTGGTTACATATTATGTAGACAAAGGTCAAATTTACAGATTTCATGATTGTAAATGTGAGTGAGGTAGAATTACCAACAACATGTCGGTCTCATCTTTGTCAAGTCAGATATCTATCTACTCATGGCTCAGTAGTAAACAGGAATACGAAGGATTCCTGTTTGACCTTTGTCTGCATAATATGTAACCAATGTTCCCTTCATTGGCTGTGTAAAATGCAGCAAGATGACCGTCGCTTTATCATTTTTCTTTTTCTCTTCAATCAAATTACTTCTTTCAAATTATTCTTGGTCGTTCCCATCATTAATGTCTCAAATGTCTGAGTAAAAGGCAAACAAGAATGAAGCAGCTTCTATAGGACAAATCTCCGAATTCCATAACAACTGCATTCCTGAAACAGACGCAGGAAAAGTCGCTCCGAAATTACCGGATAAGGATTATTGCTTACTAAAGGATGTATTGCCGGTGCTAGATGCAGCAGAGATTTTTAAAAAAATGATCGCGAAGCAATTCTGAATTCTGTGCACAAGGGACTGGTAATCTTTTTTCATCTTTAGAGCATGTCGCTAAATGATCTGTTGGTAACATTAAACATCTAACATTTGGAGAGTTATCTTTTATTCAGGGCAAAGTTTTTCTAATGACATTCTCATGATCAAGCCTACAGATTAATTTAAAGGTGCCTGTAGAAAAAGTTACTTTCGATTATGATGAGGGAATGCTGAAGCAAACATCGAACAATCCGTTAATATCCCTTAATATAACTTGAACATTTCGTTAACTATCATCCATAAAAGCGCTTAATGCCTTAAGTTAGGCATGGGAAAATGTGATGTATTAAATTAATTTAAAAGATTTGCCACCTTCTTCAGATTCCTTTTAGGCTCAAAAATCGAACTTTGTATGAAAAATCGAGTGTAGATTTACATATTCAATAAGTAATTAAGCATATCCAAAAATGAAAAATTAAATAACAGAATTAAAATTAATATGATATCAATGAAATTCTGCTCTAACATAATTTTATTATAATTTAACATTATATATGCAAATCCTAAACTGTAACTCCTCTCTTCATTTAAAAATTAATATTGATCACATTGTCAATCACATGAAAGCGATCAAAAATATCAATACTGTATGGAAAGTCATCAATGACAGTCGTAGAAGATTTTCTCTTTTCCATTTATATGCTCATTTTAGTGTGTCAATATCTTCCAACTTTTCCTCTTTTTGCTAAATTGACAGAATGTGCTGTTTAAGAGGAATGAAGTAATTAATTAATGAAAAAGTTACATAATCGTATAACAGAAATATCTCTATAAAAAATTTTCCACCAAATTTCCGCTGATCATTACAACATTTCTATGCAGAAATGTTGCAATGATCAGCGGAAATTAGGGGGAAATTTATTTAATTGAAAAGTTACAAATTGAAATGTTATGTAAATTAAATTCATTTTTAAATTGTTTTGCAATCCCTATATAACAAACAATATGATGGGTGGTATTAAAAGGAACAGAGGAATAAATCGAACAGTGTAATATAATGTTCTTTCTTGCACGACCCGAATGTACTTAAAAGATCAATGAAGTGCAGGGAGTAGCATTCATTTTTTCTTTACTGTAAATTTTAAATTAAATTTTCTACAACATAAACATCAATATTATTTTTACGTCATTTCTATTCCAATGAACAAATAGATGTCTTGAAATCTTTATGGATCGATCCTATTTATGATTGTTTACACAATTTGAGAATTGCTTGAGTAGCGTTAATTTGTTAGCAAAGCGATATTCCTTTCTTTTCTCTATTCTTTTCACATATTTCCACCCAATTCAACTCGAATTTTTTGCCCTAAATTTGTCAAACTTTAAAATCAATAAATTTAATCTATTTTATAAATAAATACAAATTACTATTTCCTGTTTGTTTATCAAATATTTAATGATCGAATAGTTGTCAAGTTATGTTGTAAAATGAGTACTTTTTGTTATTTTACTTTACGCTAGAATATTGAACAACCCTGATACACCTTTAAGTTGTGAATTATCATCCATCTGATTAGAAATTTGTTTTTCAACTATTTTCATGCTTTGAAGTTGCAGTTACGTCAAATATACACTGATCATTGCTGGCAAGAAATATAGATGGAGAAAAAATCGAACTGGAAGAATAAATTCGATGATAATGCTCAATCAATCCGACACGTTTCATTTATCGAGATTGTTAGTTTTTATAGCTTTATTAATTAGAATTTATCTGTGTAAGAGGTATGAATGGTGCAATTTTATAATCAGAAGTCATCTATATTTTTATAATGAAAATTTTGCTTAAATTTGAAATAAATGAAATGATCTGATTCTGAAAATTTCGTTTCCTTTAATTTAGAATCTCCTTTATCGAATGATTTGTAAATAAAATATCTCTTTCTTCCATAATTTGTTTTCTCTTGATCCAATTAATTATTTAAGTAATGTTTTTGCTACAATTTACTAAGAAAAGGTTTGTGATTTCAGGATATTATTTTATCAGCTTTTTTTGTTTTAACAATTTGTAGATTTCTTTTTTTTGAATATTATACATTCAATTAATAATATATCAGTTTTCATTTGGTGTTCATGATATATACATATATACAAATTTTATGGGACATCGACAATACACCATTGATGACTGATATCGATGTTAAAATAGCAACAGGATGTGTTGACAGGAAAGCAATTATTACGTTTTCTAATATTGAAAAATTTCACAGTTGCGATATGCTCAACGACGAGATTATATTTTGTTTGGTTTTGGTATCATATTATCATTAGTGAACGGAGCAATAACACCACTTACCTCTGTCTTCTTCAGAGTAAGTTATACATTGTTTCTGACAAATATTTTCAAGCTAAAAATTTATTAGTGAAATAAATTATACCTATCGATATGTTTATGTTTACTGCATTGCATGTATGATTTCTGTGAGATATATAATTTTGCTGAATTTTTAAATAGATGTATTAGTCCTAAAATTGTCTACAACCTTATATTCTTCTATTTATTAGCTCAAAATGAATTAAATAAACTGGAGGAAAGGTAAGAATTTGTACTATTTACCTATCGATATATTTTAATGCTTATTTAATTGCACTCCTCAAAGAATCCTAAAATGAATGCTTAATTCGATAAATAAATTTTAGGATGGAATTTAAAAATTGCAGGGAATGATTGATACATTAATAGCTGGTCAAGCAAATCTTCAAAATGGTACTTTCAACATGGAAACATACACACATTCAGTGCTTACTTATGCATGCTTTTATGCACTACTTGGTACTGCCATATTTCTTCTCGGATTATTTTCCGTTAGTTTCTTGCCTCGTTTTATTATATGATAAACAAGCAACACTTATTTCCTTAACCAAAGAATATTTCAAAAGAAAGAAATTGTGAAGGACGAAGAATTAAGTTATCACTATTATTTGCCAATGAATCTTCAACCTATCAATTAGACTGAAGAAATTAATCCATTTTAACTTGTTAAATGACATTAATTAACATTAACTAATGTTAATTAACCTATTTAAGTAAAACAATGAGTTTCTTTAGAATCTCAAAATTGTCAAAATACTATTCCACTTTGCTATAAACCACATGAGATAGGTTAATTAACATTAATTAGTATTAATTATTAACATTCTTTAAATTAATTTTCATGAAAGTTTGTTAAGAATTATTAAATTATTTCTTCAAGATTCAATAATCATCTATTATTCGTTTTTTGCAGATGAGCTGTTTATTTACAGCAAGTGAATGTTGTGCTCACGAAATTCGTAAGAGATATTTTGCTGCATTATTAAAGCAAGAAATGGCTTGGTATGATAAACAAGAAGCTGGCGCACTTACCAATAAATTATCCACGTAGATATTTTATAAAATTATAAATTGTTCAAAAAATTCTTTCATTGCTTGAAATTTTATGTAATTTCAGCGGAATAGAACAAATCAAAAATGGTATAGGTGATAAATTCGGCATTCTTTTGCAAGCTTCAGCTAATTTAATCTTTGGCATTATCGTTGCCTTCTACTACAGGTACTTTACTATTTAACAATATTAAATGGTGCTATTATAATAATTTCGATCAATGTTAAAATTTGATTAAACAACAAGCGTTCTACCTAGTCACAAATCCTTCACAAAATAAATTGGATTAAAGAAGGATTATAAATATTAATTGAAATTTGTCTCAAATGATGAATGCTAACATTTCAATTGGTAAATGTTCCTCATTTCAAAAAATAAAATCCTTATTTCTAGCTGGCGCATCACTTTATTAATGCTTCTTATCGCACCAATTGTTACATTGTTGTTGTTTGGGTCAATTAAGGTCAGTTCAGTTATATTTTGCAAATTGAGAAAAAATTTGAACAAATAAAATTTCAAAAATTAGTTAGTATTTTTCAGAATTATTGACATCGTATACATATACATTTATATTGTGGATTCCATTTGATTCCAATAATTTCCATAATATGCTCCCAGGCGCTAACGGTTATGAAAGGTAAAGAAATGCTTGCATACAATGAAGCAGGAGCTGTTGCTAATGAAGTTATCAGCAATATTCGAACAGTTACCTCTTTCAATGCGCAGTACACCGAAGTTCTTAGGTATTTTTTTATCCTCACATTGATAATTTGATAATTGATAACTGAATCGTTTTCTTTTATTTCACTTATGAATATTTCAGTCTTTTATGCGATGAAATAAAAATCAATTCAGTTGCATTTAGATTATAATGATTTTTAAATTTTCCACATTAATTTCATGAAGTGTTGAAAATGTTGGAAATAATTGAGAAAGATTTAATTATATTTTAATGAAGTAAAATGGATTCACTTAATTCATTCAAAGTGACTGAAATAATTTCTGTAAATGAATGAACAAATAAGTATCTCTTCCCTTTCCATCTTTCAATACTTGAACTTCAAGATTTCACTATTTGCTAAAGATTAATTTCTGAATTTTAGATACAAAGATCGTTTGAAATATGCGCAAAAAATGGGTATAAAAGGAGTGCTTATTACTGGAATTTTCACGGGTTTCTATATTTTCGTTCTCTTTGGTTCTATGGGATTTATTTTCTGGTAATTATTGTCGAATTTTCATAAAATACAAAAAAATTTTTTTCAGCGTTTTCAGATAGTTTAAATTTTTAGAGTCTTCCAAATTCTGAAAATTTCTATTTGATTTGATAATTTGATATACAATAAAGGTTGCTCCACCTGTATAATTCCGGAGAATTGAAAAGTTAATATTCTCTTATTTCAGGTTAATATTCTCCTATTTCAGATTAATCAAATAAATCATTGTTATTGCTTACTAGTAGTAGTGTATTTCGAATAACTCATTTGCTAAGCATTTAAAGATATTGTTTAAAAAAATTTATAGGTATGGTACAAATCTGGTGATCGATGGTGAAATTACACCAGGCATTATGTTTGTTGCATTTTGGGCTGTAATGATTGGCGCAATACGTTTAGGTTATGCGATACCTCAATTAGGAGTTTTCACTGCTGCAAAACTTGCTGCTGGCGAAGTATTTCAAATCATCGATCGAGTAAATAACACAAATATTTTTTAAAAAATGAATCTATGAGTAGAAAAATTCAAAAAAAAATCAGAAAGTGTAACTCAGACGAATTTCTGCTTAAATTCGGAAAAATACGAGCTATCTTTTCATGCTTACATATTTAGCTATCCTTTGGTTATTTGTTTAGTTTGGAAAATTTGGATAAAATTTAATTCATACCAAATATTCGAAGAGGTTTTCTTTAGAAACCAGAAATCAATTGTATATCACAGCATGGATTAACTCCGTCACATGTGGATGGTCGTATCGAATTTCGTAATATCTATTTCCATTATCCAACTCGACCGAACGTTAAAATTTTGAATAACATATCATTCACGGTTTTGAATTTTTACAGTGTCTTTTTACGATGCCATCTCCTTTACTGTTTATCTAAGATTTTCAATTTCGCTTTTTAATATTTTATTTTAATTCGTATAATTATATTCATTGATTTGTATTATTTAATTTAATTCATTTTTACGGTTCGATTTTAAATACTTCAGCAACTAATTAAAATATGCTGCCTTATCTGAATAAAAAAATTTTTTAATTCCTTTAAATTGTAATTGTTGCAACACCAAATTAATCTGAAGTATTTCTTCGTTCTTTTTTCTCTTCAATCATTTAAAAATTTTCGATTTAAGGTGAATCCAGGTAGTACGGTTGCTTTAGTTGGACATAGCGGTTGCGGTAAATCAACCATAATCGGATTGTTATTAAGATTCTATGAACAACAAGCAGGAAAAGTCAGTTTTATTTCCGTAAAATATGTCAATATTTAGAAAAACATGTAAAGTAAGCAATAATTGGTTTATTGTTTTAGAGAATTTATTCGGTATTTTGATCTAATCGATAATTATTTTTCAAATGATTTGTAGCATTTTTTTTCGATTTTAAATACTTCAGCAACTAATTAAAATATGATTTTTAACTTTCAAAATGAATAATGGTATTAATTGATTTTAGATTACATTTGATGGAATACCAATTAGCGATTTGAATATTGAATGGTTACGCAAGCAAATTGGACTTGTTTCTCAAGAGCCAGTAATATTTGCAGCAACAGTGGAAGAGAATTTAAAGCTGGGTAATGAAGCGCTCAATGAAAATGAAATGATCGAAGCCTGCAGGATAGCAAATGCTCATGATTTCATAATGAAACTACCGAAAGTTAACTTCAGTTCATTTTAAATTAAAGTTTCAGCATCCGAATCATATCTTTCATCAAACACAGATATATGCTTTGAAAATTAAAGAAAATAATAAGTTCTTTTGGACAATTTGTTAAAGCAAAAAAGCTGAAAATTTCACTTTTAGAAGTTTTTGATCTGGTAATTTTGTTAGAAATTGCAAAAAATAGGCAAAATTTTTGCCTTCATAAAAGTGCCTAAAATTGTACAATTTAGAATTGTAAAATGGATTGGAACTTTTTTACATGATAGAAATCATACTGAAGGTTTCTCTGAACATTTAGAAATATAAAACATTGATCGGTATGGGTGGTGTACAGTTATCTGGTGGTCAAAAACAACGCATTGCTATTGCTCGGGTTTTAGTTCGTGATCCAAAGATTTTGATATTCGATGAAGCAACTAGTGCACTGGATTCGGAAAGTGAAGTTGCTGTTCAGCTTGCACTTGACCGGGTAAATTAATTTATTCTATCCAGTTTCTTTGTTACATGGAATTAACAATTAACTTACTCCTATTTAGTTCCTTTTTTCTCTCATTCAGAACCTCAACATTGATGTTGCATTTCAACACTACAATCCTTTCAATAATGAGAAAAAAATAATGAACTTTCATTAATGACAGCGACAGGAATGGTATTTACGAAGAGAATAAATATCCTCGTTGTGTATGTAAGAATAATAATGAACCATTCCGAATAGGTGATATAATATGTTTGTTATGCCGATAAAAATGTTATGTTCACTGTCATTTATCACCATTATCTTGTAGGAACATAAATGCAACAAAATTATGAATGATTATTAAGGTTCGAGCTGGTCGTACCACAATAACCATAGCACATCGTTTGTCAACAATACGTAATGCCGATAAAATTATCGTTTTCAAAAATGGCGAAATCATGGAAAGTGGTTCACACGATGAGCTAATGGCGTTGAATGGAATTTATCGCGAAAGTGCAGAAAAGCAAGAAATAGGCAAAGGCGCTGATAGCGGTAGTCAAATTGAATTCTTCAAAAATATCAATTTTAAAGTTAATTCATTATTTTTGGAATTACTAAGCTAAGCTAAGTATAATTAGTAAGTTAAGTGCTTAGTAAGCGTAGATTTTTTCGGATAACCAACAAATCTATATGATGGTAATACTGTTGATTTTAAATGCTGGAATCATATTAATAATCAATAAGGCTTGTTTCCCTCTAGATGATGTAGTTAATGTTGACCACTGTTAATGGTCAGTATCTTGAAAAAAAGCATCCAGTAGAAAATTGTGCTCATATTGACTTCTTTCAATTCGTCCAATATTTTATTCGAAATAATCTTTGATTTGTGCTTTTGAAACGTAGCAATCTATTATCAACTGATATTCAGATGAATCTCTTACATCATATCAACACATGGACAGCGAGCAACAACTGAAGAATAAGGAAGTCGATACTAAGAGGGACAGTAAATTACATAGCAACGAAATGAATTATGAAAATGAAAAGTAAGTATTTGAAATTATAAAATTAAGTAGTTTCTTAAGCTTGGAAAAAATTAATAAAAATATTCAATGAAGCTCTGATAAGAAAAAAATTCACCTAAAACTCAATTGTAAGCAACGCATCAATCAAAAGTTGCATAAATTCTCCTACAATTTATCCGCTTTTCAACATTTATGCAAATCTTTCGAAAAAAGAAATTTATCTTTGTTGCAGGATCTCTAATGAGCAAATTGATGATAAAGTTGCAAATGCATCAATTTTTGATGTTTTAAAATTTGCCAAGAAGGTGAGAACTAATTTGTAATCTCATTCGATATTGAATTAGTTGAAATCAATGCAGATGGCTAAACGAAATAAATTATATTAAATTTAAGGAATGGCCGATCATTGCCGTAGCCTTAGCATTTACAATAGTACGAGGTTTATCATGGCCCGTTTTTTCAATCATTTATGGTCGAACGTTCCTGGTGAGTTTATCATTTGAAGATATTTCTTAACTTTTGAATAAGAAAAGCAAAAATAAATGATTACTTTTAAGCTTCATAAAAATATTTTTGCCGTATTTTTATGTACATTAATGATAATCATTGTATCGTCAGCTTACTGATAATCATCTTGTCTTCAATTCTTCTAGGCGTTATCCTCGCTGGAAATAGACAAAATGATTAAAGATACTGCACTAAATGTTATACTTTACCTCATTTTGGGTATTGTGGGTGGATTTTCAACATTTTCTTCCGGAACGCTATTCGGTACAGCCGGTGAACTAATGTCAATGAGACTTCGTATTGCACTTTTCACGGTTAATTTTGCTTTATATCAAGATATGAGCAATTAGTTTGCTTAGTCTACAAATTTTAATATAAGTATCATTTAGAATATCTTGCGACAGGATTTGTCATTCTTCGATAGCGACGATCATTCAGTTGGAAAATTAACAGCGCGTCTGGCAATCGATGCAGAAAATGTTAAATCTGTATGCTAAATTTCTCAGATAATCTATCGTAGAATTTAAAATTTTATTCACTCGGTTGAAAGGCAACTTCCAAAAGTCATATTTCAAAAGTACCGGAACATCTGACTTTCAAACTTCTCTTTAAAAATTTAATCGACATAATCTGAAATTTTCCAATTAACATTAAAAATCTAATTTGTAGGCAATCGATCAACGATTGGCAGAAGTGCTACAAGGAATTGTCTCATTTTGCTTCGGTGTAATTATAGCATTTTCATTCGATTGGAAAATAGCATGTGTTGGCTTCACTACTTGTTCTATCCTCATCATTTTACAATTTGCGATTTCACAATATCTCAAAATTCACGGTCAAAAGGATACTAAAATAGCCGAAAAAGCTGCTACTGTTAGTGTTTTTCTCTTTTTCGCAGCATGAAGCTTATGAGAAAGATTTTATTTTGAAGTAAATTCTGAACTTTATCCAACTGTTTTTAATGTGTTAATTAGAATATGCCTTAAATAATTTATTGATTACCTTATTTCATATTATTTCAATTTGATATATTTCTTATATTCCTTTTTGCGCAGCTAAATATTTCTATATTTTTAAAGATTAGTTTATGAATGTAGGATTTTCTTAATTAATTTTATGACGATTAATTTCAGTTAGCTGCCGAATCAATCGAAAATATTCGAACTGTGCAATATTTAACTAAGCAGGAATATATATACCAATCTTATTGTTTTTCATCACAGGAACCACATAAACGAGCCATTACACGAGGTTTCAATCAATTTTTCAATTTCCTCTTTTTTTTGAAATTATTTTATTGATCTTCTTGTATCGGTCGCATATTGTTATGCGATGATTGGATTTTGATAGTATCATTTTTTCTCTTAAAAACAAATTCGTGAATATTGTCAGATTAAGTATAAATTTTCATACTCCGAAGCTTTTTGAAAAGAAATCTTTTTTCTGAAATTAACAGTTAGCATCAGAATCTAAGAAAATTAGAAACAAATGGTTGAAATTAATTTCGAATATTTACATAATTTTAGAAATGAAATTTCATTAAATATTTTACATTATCTAATTAAATGCTCTCAGCTTTCTTCTCCAATTCACTAGCCATTATTTATTAGGTTTTTGGCAAGCTTTAATTTATGCTATGTCCATCAGTTTGACGCCGTTCCATTTTGCCATTTCCTATCTTTTCGGTCTTTGGTTGGTGCGAAATTCATGGTCTAAACCATATCATATTTTTCAGTAAGCCATTTTTAAACGTTCTCTTTAATTTACAAATAAGGACGATAGTGAGTGAGATTCTGACCATTGATCTACCTGTAAAATATTTGATGTGTATGTTTGTTGTATCTCTGGATGGTACTCTATGAGATTTCCACTAAGTCAAAGTTGCTAACTTCATTTTACAACAGTATCATGCTCAGAAACTTTACGAATAGTCGTATTTATGAAAAAATTTGCTTTCATTTTTATAGGGTAATTGAATCACTGAATGTGGCATCATTTACCGTACTTGTGGCAGCATCCTTCTTGCCAGAATACATACGAGCACGTATTTCAGCAAGTTTAACATTCCATATCAAAAATTACGTTCCACTTATAGACAATTTGTCTGAGAATGGCATTCAACAGGTGAAGATATTTTATTGTTTTATCTATCTTTCTGTCTTTTTCTAATCAAGAACTATCTATAGTTTATAATTGGAATTAAAAGAAATTTTCAAATTGATGAAAAATTACTTCAAAAAATTATTACAACGTTTTTACTTTTCAATTAATCTTTAAACAAGAATCTTTCATTCTCACTTTCATTATCTTCAACAATCAATTTTGCAAACACCCTTAAGTATGTCAAAATGTTTTGCTTTTGTTTTTAGAAATTAGAAAGTAGAAAATAAGATTTATTGAGAAATGAAAAGTGAAAATTTCATGAGCCAAAATTTAAAGACCTTTTTAGGTATCGAACAATCCATTCTGGTTGGCCTACATATGTATTACAATATGTAAACAAATTGAGTCACAGTTTGAATTTTCTTGTTTTAGATTTCAGAAGTAGTTGATTATTTTCTTGGAGGAATTTCAATGAAATTTTTCTTTCTAGCCACTGAAAGGAAATATTCAACTGAAAGATGTTTGCTTCACATATCCAATGTTTCGTCAACATGCAGTCCTCAGAAAATTTTCGATGTCCGCAACGTTTGGTCAGAAGGTAGCACTAGTAGGATTAAGTGGATGTGGTAAAAGTACGGTGATCAAATTATTGGAACGATTTTATGATGCTACTGAGGGCATTTTGGTAAATTTTATCTTATTCTTGGAATGATCAAAAATGAAAATTAAATTTTTGAAATTTTATTTTGCATGATGACAAACTGACCAGATATATTGCATAATCTTTGAAAAATACTACAAGTGTTTAACAGTAATGGATAAGAATAAAAAGATTTTTTTTGATAACTTCAAGTAAACCAAAATATAAATTTAGTTGAAAAGTTATAAATACTCAAAAAATTCTGATTTTCAAGATCATATATAACTTTATGTAAATCATAATTAAAGTTTATCGACGATCGAGACATCAAAAGTTATAATGTTCGGTACCTTCGATCACACATTGCCCTGGTAGATCAAGAACCAACATTATTCAATGTAAGTATTCGAGACAATATTGCATATGGCTCGGATAATGCATCACAGGATCAAATTGAAGCAGCTGCGAAATTAGCCAATATTCATAACTATATTGCCTCTTTACCGCAGGTTTGTTTCAGAACCAGAAATGGACTGTTGATGTTGGGTCGAGTTTTTTTGGTATTCAAGCAATATATAAGTTTTTCATGGAAATTAGAATTAAGGATCTGATCGAAGTTTTTATTCAGAATTCTAATCTAATCATAATAAATATGCAAAATTACTAAAATCTAAATTTCTATAGAGCATGAAATCAGGTAATTTCAAATGCATAATTTCAACTCTGTTTTTTGAGATTGAATTTCACTTTTGATGATCAATTTTTCTAATATCAGTAACTTTATCCTAAGCTCAAATTATTTTTTAGAGTTATGATACAATTGTTGGTTCAAAGGGAGCTCAACTGTCCGGTGGCCAAAAACAGCGAATTGCAATTGCGAGAGCAGTTATAAGAAATCCAAAAATACTACTTCTTGATGAAGCTACTAGTGCGTTGGATAGTGAAAATGAAAAGGTTGCGCATCGTTTTTTTTAAAACTATGTTATTGTTTTTGCTAAACATTTTTGGATCGTAAAAAAAATTCATTTGTTGCTCTATTTTAGAAATCTAAAAAGAAAACTTCAAGTTCGTTCTGATTTAGCAATTATACCTTACTGATGTTTCTAATGAATTCAAATTGAGATGGTACAAGAAGCGCTGGAAGCTGCACGTCATAATCGCACTTGCATTGTGGTCGCACATCGTTTGAAAACAATTCAGGACGCCGATTTAATAATTGTTTTAAAAGATGGTGAAATGGTAGAATGTGGTAATCACACTCAATTATTAGCTAAAAAACGTTTATACTATAACCTAGTTGAAAAACAGAAGGTACTATAAAATATACAGGATGTATTCCACTTTCAAAATATTTCAAATCAATTGATATTTCTCTATTTTGATAACTTTATTTTTTTTTTGATGATATTTAACATTTACATTATTTAACTGCTATATACATGATTAACATCCATCTTTGGAGTATCCGAACTGAATAGAATCGCATATTTGTTGTTTTCAAGTTTCAGGTATTTGATATATTCCAGTTATTTCTAAGTATTATCATAAATTGAATAATATCATCTTTTACTCATTCGATTTTTGCATCGCAGTAAAAGATCTATCTATCTCGATCACTTAAAATAATGGATAATAACACTTTCATCTTCTATGTTCAAATGCTGTCCACAAAATGATTTATTTCTCGATCGCTGCTTCTTTCCATTGAATTCCTTTAAGAACTTCTCTTTATTCTGAATAAGTGCTTTTTATGATCCTAATATTATTATTATTATTCAGTAATCTTCTCATCAGTTCACTTAACTTCTGATAAATCTCTTTGGTATTTTTTCGTGATAAATAAAATTCGACTAATATCAGTATATGATGATTTGAAGCTAAAACTTCTATGTCTTTCGATCCATTTCGTTTAGTTCATTTTGAATCAAATTTCTACACAATATGGCATAGCTCCATCAATTTTGATTTCAGTGTTTTCTAATTCTTTTGAAATCTCAATTCATGTTATGATTACATTGTTATGGTTCATCCTTCTATACCGTTTGGTAGCTTCGGAAAAAAGTAACACTTTGTCTTTTTTATGCTGATTCTATATCATAAAATTAAAGGAGAAACGAATTATGTCAGTAGAAGAATTGGATGATAAAGACGATGAAGGGAATAATATTGAAAAAAAAAAGTGTATGGTGAAGTAATTATTGTGGATAGAAATTCCGGGGAAGAAATTCCCGAGGTTTCCATTGGAGTTTTTTTAACATTGCTCGAGTCTGGCCATATTCGGGTTCAGCCTGCATACGATTAAAGAAATTACAGTAGAATATAACAAGTTTTAACAAGTATTTTAACCATTCAAGAAACTAGTGATTTTTCCTTGTTCTGCTGTCTTCAATGGTAGTTTTAACGAATTGTAATCCTTGTTTCCGGTGGAAAGAATAATTTTCGACCATAGATACTATCGTATCTCATGTCATTTTATGAATTGCATATGGATAAGAAATCTCGCATGAGGTATAAACTATTTGCATTTTGGTTGCCGCGTTTTATAAAAATTCAATCACGCCAGTTACTGGATTGTTTTTGTGATTCGGCAACTGTTTGTTTCCCAGTTCGTTGTTAAGCCTTTAAGAGCGCAAGGGGATGGTGGTAGCGGGAGAGTTGTGTAGATCTGTATGAAATATAATAATTTGGAGGGGTTATGAAACGTCGAAGGGATAGTGGCAGTATGATTGTTGGGCGGAATGCTTTGGTTCGTGCTATGAAAACTTTGCTGGCTGCCTTTTGCTTCTATGCTCTGGGTCTCTTCAATTGCATCACTTATACTATTCGAAGACAGTACCGCAATGTATGTTTTGCTTTTTCTATTTCTGATTTAATGTAATAAATATCAGTAATAAAAAAAAATATCGGTAATAAATATCGGCTAAACTGATGTTCAGGGTGAGGCAAAGTGACATCTAATTCTTGCTTAACTAGTCTAATGCAAGACTTCTCGGTGTATTTTTAATGTGAAGCAGAAGTTGCTGATTCTAACTTTAGAGGAATTTATACTATTTCAGATTTCCTTTGCATCAAATATAGTTTTATTTCTTTCAAAATCAACCGAATAATTAGCGAATGCTTTCAAATCATTCGCTTTCAAAAATCGTAGTTGCATTTCAGGTAAGAAAACATCAAGTTATTCGTTATGAATACGTTCCTCTCTCACCTTTATCGGCACATCGATTGAGTAAGTTGTAACTTGTACTTTTTTTTGTTTCTCAATTCAGATGGTATTAAAACTATAATATAAAACCATTCTACCACTGATATTGGAACCTGTCTCTGCTCTTCATATGGAATTGGTGTACACGAAGTGAAACTTAATGGTTTATAAAGTTTCCATAATTCATTTATCCAAAATGAAAAATTTTCAGGTGTGGTAAAGCGGAAAATTTTGGTGCTTGACTTGGATGAAACACTGATACATTCACATCATGATGGTATTATACGTCCCATGGTTAAACCCGGTACACCACCTGATTTTGTGTTACGAGTAAGGCTTTTTTATTTTTTCATTATTTGAGTAATAATTTTTTAGGCTATTACAAATTTCTTGATTAGCTAACTTCTATGAACTAAAAAAAATTTTCATAAATTTTAGTAACATAAATTGCACGGCGAACTCAAATGCTTCCAGTTTATCTTTCCTTTCACATTGCATGCTTTGACTACCTTGACTATTTTTTTTTCATTACTCTTCCTGAATGATTCCATTGTTTTAAGTTTTTTCTCGCTTTTTCAGTTTTCTAATAAGAAAAAGCTACAAAAAAATGTGTTTTCCCGCGAACATCCTAAAATAGATCTGATAGAACTCTTGTCACAGACTCCCGTTGTAATTCTTGTTAGAGATTGGAAAAGTGACATCAAGATAGATTAAGAATAGTAACATCGAGTTAGATTAAAATCACTAGGCTTTTGTGATTGAAGTTGAACCACAAGCGATAATTATAGGTGAATATTGACCGACATCCTGTACGATTTTTTGTGCACTGCCGACCTCATGTTGATTATTTTCTTTCGATGGTTAGCCAGTGGTTTGACTTAGTTATTTTTACTGCATCGATGGAAATTTATGGGAGTTCGGTGGCTGATAAACTTGACAATGGTAAAGGCATCTTACAAAGGCGTTATTTCAGGTATACATAATTTCGAATGGTCTTTAATTAGTTAACACTTCTCGTTGCTAAGTCCACTGTAGGCTTTCCAAACGGTATATTCTGAATCTTTAATATGTGTGATATGTTTTTCTACATGTTCAATTTTTTCTAACCGTTGGCTTAGAAAAACATAATCGAATTTTTTTTTTGTTTATAACTGCATACTTCAGACAACATTGTACGATGGATTATGGCGGATATACAAAAGATCTCTCTGCTGTACACGCCGATCTCTCATCAATATTTATATTAGATAATTCTCCCAGTGCATATAGGAAATTCCCTCGTAAGTTTTCAAATCTTGAACGTTTGTGTATTTGTATGGACGATAAATGTTATTTCTTAAAAACTGATCTTATGATTTATAACACTCCATATACACACACGTATTAGAGTTTATTTTCTGCAAGCCAGATTTTTATTGAAATGCTCTTAAGCAGTAAATATAATGATTGCTGAGTATTATTCCGTTATTCACATGTAGTTTCATCACTCAGTGACCAGGAGCCTTCTTTTCTTTTACTTGTAGTTTGACAAATTCTATAGTTATACTTAATAAATCTGAAATTTTTAAAATACAGAACATAAAAACGGGGAAGCAAAAATAACAACAGCGATTAAGTCATGGGAAACTGCACGAAATCAGTGATGAAATGCAAAAACGTGCGTGCACTTAAATGATTAAATGATTAGCTGAAAAAGACAAATTTTTTGTAAACTTTGCCAAAGATTTTTGAAATATTTTCAGAAAATGCAATACCAATACGATCCTGGTTTTCGGACCCGACAGATACGTGTTTGTTAGCATTATTACCGTTTTTGGACTCACTTCGGTTTGCATCTGATGTACGCTCAATTTTAAGTCGAAATCAACAGCTTCAGCAAGTATGGTAGTTATTTTGAGAAAAGAAAGCGCATTCTTTGACAAGGTACACCTTATCATTGATTTCAGTCCATATAATAGTTTGGTGTCTTGCACCAAAAAAAGATTTTATAGTATTCTAGGGTATAGAAGTATTTGGTACATCTCTGTTTGTAGTTAGCCTCCGCCTATTCAGTAAAACATATCTTTCTTTGTATTTATGTTAGATTCCATAACATATTTTCATGGTTTTCAGCTGTGGCTGATATATTTAATAATAAGGCAATTACCGTTCCTGTCTTTGTTACTACTTGGACTTTTTTGTGTTCTTTGTTTCTTTATGGGTATCTCCATCAGGAACAGCTTCATCATGTATGCCTATGTGAAAAGTTGAAGGAGGGTCTTTTTTTTTATTCCAGGATTAGTTAATGATTTAGTGCTGAAATTATTTATTAATCAAATGGATTGTGATGAGATTAACATTTTATATTATACCTGCAGAGCAGAGTGATAAACGTAGAAATTCATTTGAATGTTAGTGGTATTTCAAGTTATAGATTCGTAGTTCTCAAGGACTTGTAATGAAGGACAGAAGGGACAAGTATTTTGAGAAACAAACGAGGCAAAAAATAATAATAATGTTTGAAATTTTTATGGCACTGCTTTTGCAAGTTCTGAGTCTATGTAAAGTATGTCATTGCGATATTGTAAGTATTAGAGATGACATTTGGATCACATTGTACATTGCTGTTTCGGATCTGTTTGGTCCACTTACTACGAGTAAGTTATTTGTTTTGTATAAGTTTTGATATCATCAAGCATGTTGTATTTTGCGGATAATCTTGGTTTAACTTTGTCTTTTTTGTTTTTCTTTGAAATAGCTTCTTTGGTCATATGGGAGGGAAGGTTGATAGGCAGATTTTGCTCATTCAGTATAAATTCTTTAGAAAAAAAGATTAATCGAAGTTTGATAACGAGATTCGATTTGCTTGAGGCAATATATATCTATAGTTTTTTTTAATTTTTTCAAAAGGAGGTCTAAAGTACTCGAAAAGAGCTACGTGAAAACGAAATTTGGTATTGTATCGATCTATCTGCATCCTTTATTTTCAGTTTTCTCGCGAAAATAATCTTAAATATTTGCGAGAATAATGTTTTTCAATAAATTCATGTCTCTCGAAAAATAAGTGTTCTCTTGATTTACAGATACAGAGCAGTCTTATTTGATTGACTAAAGTGCATAATTATCATTAAAAAAATAGAATAACAATTATCCGATGTGCTGGAAATTAGACCCTGTGAATTTAGTCGCCAACTGGCTTCGAATTTCTTTAGTAATTAAGATATTTTACATTTCACTAGCAGAAAATTGGAACAAGAGTGCATCAGTGCATTATGGAGGAAATTCAAAATTTTTAATGCATTAACATCGCTAATTTCAAAAAAATTTATTTTTAAAGCATCTAAAATGTGGAAGGCACAAGAAGGTGGGATAATTCGGGAAGCTTAGCATCCTCCTTGCTTGAAGCTTTCATATGATTATTCGAGACATTATCAGCCACAATAGTCCTAATGTATTTGTATGGTTTTTGACATCTTAAATTGTAATGAATCTGTCATTGGGGACTTTCACGTATGAATTTTTAAATATGTGTGACTTACTATAATAGATGGGAAAATTAAATTCATTCTCATTCACACAAAATATAACTCGTAGTGATACATGAAAATAATCGCTATACGAAAATGTGATAGAGTAGTCAATTGATCTCTGTTAGTATTTTTGGATCTCCTAGAGATAATAGAGTGATATTCCTCGCCAAAATCTCTGAGAAGCGATGGATATAACACCTCAACTGAATATTTCGAAAAAAAATTACTGTCTTTTTACTTTTAAATTGAAATTTCAATAAGTAGTAGCTAATATTAAAAAATAGCAGGGGTTGTAATGAGTTAATCTTTAAATACAATAATGCCAATAAGATATATGACAAAGTGCTAAAATAACTTACTGAGTATATTTCAAATTAATATCGAATAGAAGAACGAATATTCATTTGACGAAAGCATTTCATAGATTTTCAAATTTTGAAATCTCGGTGCCAGTAACAGCGTTGGTGAAATTTCCTTTGAAAATAGATTTTAAAAGAAAAAATGATTTTTAAATATGGAATGACAAAGATAGTAAGAAATATCACATATCACCTCATTCAGCGTTGCTTGAAATAAGCGCAAAAAGCACGAGTATCTTCGTTCATAGTGGACTTTTTTTTAGTATGTATTTTTCATGGAATAAATTTATCACTAATATCATTCCCTAATGATAGCGTTGTTCGCTAAGGCTTCATTTCTGCGTTTAATTGATATTATCAATTTCGATGCCACAATTTATGCGTTTTCATTCTTCGAGGAAAGATGAAATTGTAAGGTAATTGAAAATTAGCAGGAAGTTGTAGAAGTTGTACTGATGGGCATTGGTAGCTTGAAATCCATGAAATTTGGAGGGACTATTGATGGTGGATTACGGAGGAATGGCATATTGAAATTTCTCACTGCATTTTCATCTGAAGACCTGTAATCTACACCACCTTGATTTTGTAGACTATCGAAAAACATGGTCGTATGAAGTGATGGAGATCTCAGGAATAAAGGGAGGTGAGATTGATGCTGAAGATAAGGTGGATACAACAGACTAGGTCTCCAGTTCAGTTCATCTTGCCATCGTTTGCTAAAATAGTGCATACAATAATTTCAATTCTCCTACATTTTACAAACTCTAAACTCGGATTTACAATGCAGCAAAAGGTTTTAATCAAATTCCTATTAAATTATTTGGTTCAGAAGTAGTATAATATAATAGAAGGTTGTTGGAACTTATGGTGAATCATTCAAATGATTTAAAGGATAACATATTATTATATGACTGATGAAAATTAAGAATATGCGGCAAAAGATTTATGGAAAGAAATTGAGAAGAAACGCATTTGCAAAATCTTTTCTGAAATATTCGCGAATGTACAAAATTTCATTAAATTTGAAAACCAATGGACAGGCTATTTCACACATCTAGCAGGTGAATATCCTGGAGGATCCCAAGATAATGAATGTGAAAATGAAGTTAAATGATAACTTACAATGTTCTCGCATATAACGGTCCATAAGTCGTATCTTGCTTTTCTATCCAATTACGATATTGTGGTACTTCATCATAACTCAATGAAACAATGTAGAAAAATAATTGCTGTTCTATTTCCCTTTCTATTGCAGCTATTCGTGTAAGGACGATAAATCGTTCCTCCATGTCTGTTTCTTTCAGGATAAGTAGTCTAACTTGTGCTGAGATCATCTGTAGAAACGAATACAAATTTAAAAATGATGTAATTTAGCTTCACGATAATAGCAAAAAGATATGCAATTGAAAAAAAGCCTAACAGCCCAGAATCTATGTACTGTGAAATATGATAATAATTTCATTGAAATTACTGATAAATATGGGTTTGTTAGTATTAGGAATTAAAGAATGGAAGCTTACTTGTTGTTTAAGATTTTGAAGATTACAAATTAGCATTTCCGGAGTAAAATTGGGAAACAATTGAACGAATAGATCCCGTAACATTTGTAGTATGGGTTATTTATTTGGTTAACAGTACCAGAAATATCAAATAGTAGTATTATTTAAGATTTCGATGATAAAGAAAATAGATCTGTTTGGAGGCATATCTATGATCACATAGAATCTCAAAGATCATCGATTACTCATCTCCCTCCGCTTTTTCCCCGGGATAGATGAAATTTTTAAGAAATTTATGAAAAGTTTACTCTTTGCAGAAAATATAAGAAAGTGTTCGTGAAATATTTGAAATAAATTAATAGTATAGACTTCTTATATATCGGATAAATATCTAAATCACTGTGATAAACTTGTCAGTAACTTCTAAGCTTAAAATTAGATTAGAAAATGGATCCTCATTTTCATCAGATACATGAGATTTACTTTCTACAATCAACAGTGATGTAAAAATTTGCATTTCAGCAATGAAATAAAAAAGGATGCGATATGATGAATTTACATTAAATAATATAAGAATTCAGTATGGTTCATAGCTGGTTGGAAGAAATAAGAAATTCCAGACGTAAGAAAAACGTATCCGTGAATTTGCTTTCATATTTTTGCCACATTTTAATTCTTTTCGAAGAGGTAACTTTCTTTAATCTATTTGGAAATATTACAATTAATTACATAAATTTACTGTACAAAATAGGCCCAGACAATTATCTCATTTTTCCTATTGAAAAATAGAATTCAATAATGACTGGTAAATTTTGAAATGAAATTTAAATTTAACATTTGATGAATTTTTTAATTTCATTGCAGTCATGTTTAACATGTACTGCAATACTCCTGCTATGCCTACCAAGTTTCTTATTTCACAAAGCAATTGCATTACTTACTATAATATCAACTCTATTTGGCTTTGTTTCTATGACATTTCGTATGCGCAATTGGCAAGAAGATTGCTATATGAAAGAGTTGCAAGATACTAAATCACCTGTTAGCTACCAGTAAATCATTCTAAAAAAAATAATTTTTAAAACTTGTCAAGAATTTTTATTGCAAAAATTATTAATTCATAAATCATACAATTTTTCGAATAAAATGATGTAGCAAAAAGTGATATGATAGAGTGATATGATATAGAAGTGATAAAAAAATGATATAGAAATGATAAGCAAATGAAAAATTCAGTTTTATCATTTAAAAAAAAAGCATTAATATTATAGAAATCCTTTCGAAATTTAATATTCAAATAAATTTAACACTTCAAATTATAACTTATTCAAAACCTTAAAGCATTGCTAATTAATTAATCTGTAATTATTATTTTTCAAAATGATGAAATTAGATATGCTATCATCTTTCTTTTCAAAATATACTGAAAAAATTAAATTTCATTAATGATAAAAAATTATCGATTTTTAATTATGGGAAATATTTCTGAATGTTTCACGAGGATTGATAACGTTATTGGCAATGATTGCATGGTTTTGGCTCAATTACACATTTAAATTCAACGATTTCATCAATACAAGATGGTTTATTTCGGTATTAATAGCACTTACTTTCCATTTCACTTTTTATTAATTAAACTAATTAAGCGAAATATTAGACAATAACAATCTCCCAATCTTTTCTACGTGGAAATTAAACTTTCAAATTCTTTCTATGATAAATTCTAATGAGAAAAGATCGGAATTTTTTGAAAATATTTCCGGTTTTTAATCAAAAAATTAACTGTTGCTGTAAAATATAGTACAATCATTTTATCAAACTGATCCTTTCTTAAGTGTTATTCCATTTGCAATATTTTTTCAGAAATTATTATTGATATCCAGTTTAATTGTTCTATTTCAACTTTTGTTATATCGTTACTAATATGCAACATATCAATCTTTAACAATTTTACTAATTAATAGGAAAGAGTTTAAAATATTTTCAATTGTTCATTTTAATTTTGCACTATAATTTCTTGCTATATTTGTAATAAACTTCAAATTTCGGATTCACTGCATTCGTTTATGCTTTTTAGTACGATAGTTCAGCGGATAAGAACCAATTTGGATACTAATTTTGAATTATAACAGCAAATATTTCCAAATGATCTCTCTTGAGATATCTGCTAAAATAGAATTGTTTCATACCTAAAAATCAGAACCTATAAATATAATGTCATAATCGATGTTTATTTTTGCTTTAAAAATTCAATAATCAACAATAGCTTGTGCCTGTTATATCAATTATCAGAACAATTATCAAAAGCTGTAGAGGATTTCATATTATTTGTTTGCATCGCATATCTCATTTACAAAATTAAAAATTATTTCCAATATAAGGCAACTTGTTACAAAAACTGTACGAATATATCCTACAAATTTGACCCGAAAATGCCTTCATATCTATCAATATGTACATAAATCTGAAATGTTTTCTCCAACTTATCATCAACTTGTAGATGTATTTTTCCGTTTGTCGATTCCGGCATTTCCGTATACAAAATTTTGCGCAAAGTAGAGTTCCCTTATTGGGTTAAACTCGAATTCCGGATAATCTTGCAACAGAAAGTTTACTAATGAGTAAGAACAAAAACTTCCTCAAGGACAGTCAATCATAATTATGATTGAATTTAATATGCAAACAAGAACTGTGTGCTGTGTTGAATCATTCTATAATGTAACTCGCTAGAGGCGATATCGAAAATTTTCAGATCTTTATGAAATACAAAGTTAATCGGTGATATGATTTTGCAAGTTGAAGGATGAATGAATCGCTGAAATTGTCGTTGACGTACGTAAAGCATTCAATCATAATAACGATGATAAACAGAGGTTGGAACACGAGGAAACGAATAATCCATAAGTAACATAAGGAGTAGAAGTTGCACTCATATCAGACTAATTCCATTGAAAGTAAATTTGCTTCCATAAAATGAATCACTGTATTCTAATTCAAAAAATTAATTAAACCCATCATAATTACTATTAATTATTGTTCATTCTGAATCATTATGAAGCATCGTTTAATCAATGATTTCAACAATTTAAAAATCATCGAAATCTAAGAAAACCAAAAATTCTCCTTCTAAAAAATTAATTACTACCATAATTTTAAAAAAATTCAAAAATCACCCATAACACTATTTTTTCATTCAGATATAATTTTAATTAAATTACTTAGAAACAATAAATTGTTCATTAATATTTTAAAATATTTATTTTCTAAATAGTTGAACAAATCGTCTGCAGTAATATCTAAATGTTCCGATCAGATAATTTTTCAAAAATTAAATCATACAAGTAATTTGACAATTCCATGTTGCATTCTTCCTTTTTGAATTATTCTGTTCTATCGAATCCATATCTCATCTCTAATCTTCAGCAAATTATGTAAAGTATAGCATTTTATTTAGTGCGTAGATAAGTGATATAAATGATGATAATAATATAATATGATATATTATTAGACTTATTGTATCTGTTCAAAACTTAAATTTTAAGAAATTTAAAATTCACTTACAATTGAAACAATAAATGAAAAACGAACGATTTATTCTTAATTAGTATAAATTTTAATGGTGCAATTAGTGACAGAATTTTTGAGGTGAAAGTTTTAAAATCGGCCGAAACTAAAATTTTCTTCTTAAAATATAATTACTTGCAAAATCATTCATTTCAAATTTGAATTTTAATGAATTAATATAGCACTGAGAAGGCATTTCGTATATTTTTGTTTTTCAAATGATTTTCAGAAATTGTTGTGCCACAACAACAACTAAATGTGGCAACCATGTGATTTGTTGAAAAATTTAACGGCAATTTTGATGTTGCATGCAACTAACTATTCTTTTACATATTTCTTTTTACATCATATCTCATTTTTATTCTTAAATAAACTGTTTGATAATATCGTGATGTTAAAGTACGTTATCTTAATATAATGATAAAATAATATGGCATTACAAAATAGTGATTAATTTGACCGTTGCACTAATAATCATATTATATTCAAGTTAAAGTTGACTTGCTGTATATTCTTAACATGATTGACCAATGTCAGCTTGTTCTTGCTAAGTTGTGCTTTTAAACAATGAAGAAACTTCTGCAATCAGCGCATTGATTTTAACCCGTGTGGTTGCAGAAATTTGTTCCATCCTCTAAGTTAACATGTGACAATGCTAACACCCTGCACACTTACCAAATTGCAGTAGCCTGAATACCATGCCGATCCAACTCATACTTTTTTACAATTTCGGGAGCACAGCTGTTAAAGATGATATCTACCTTAAAGTAATTGCATCAGGTACCGTAAGCCTCGTCTTGATCTCCTGCCAGCTTACTAGGGTGTCAAAAACTTGGCGCGTAGTGGGCAGGATAGTTATACTGTGGTTTGTTACCCTCCCGCGATCTCTCATTTATAGAAAGCGTAATAATAGATGCGGCAAGAGACTGTGAACTGACTGTGGCATAATTTTCTATCAAGATTTTTTTTTTGGAAATTTCGAATTTTTTTCTTTTTTTGTAGTACCGCTTTTAGATATATTCATATATTTCATTGCAACACTAATTCACTTTGCTTTTCTTAATCAGAATTGAAGTCAGAATAAGCAAAGTAAGTAATGTATCATTTCGTTATCGTAGTATTACTGTTTTTGTCAGGAAGCTGCCTGCATATTTACAATTAATTGCTGTGGGCTATTTTAACATCTCTTGCTACCTTGTTTTACTGCGTGATACTTTTTCATCGCAAGTCATACTACATATTTTAGTTTACTATTGTACATGTGGAAAGAAGTGTTGTTTCTTTTTGTATCCGTAACTACAGCTAAAGCGCTTAATAATAACTGCAAAACTTAGGTGAGGTCCGTATGGCTATATATACTAGTCCAACTTACTCGCATTAAAGTGATCCGTTTTTTGCGCTTTAAGGTTCGTATAGGTCTGGGTGTATAAGATTATTGGGCGAGGTGTATAATGAACTCTTTTTTATAATTTAAATATCACTGCAGCAAGCTTTCGTATTTTGCAGGTGTTTGTTTGTGAAGCATTCTTTTACAGTTTAAAAAAATCATGGAAACATGTATTATTGAACTCTCATTCTTAGTCTAAACAGAAGTACCAGAATATTTTTCTATTTCCATTGTAACTACTGTGTAGCAACGTGCTGTTTTATGTTCAATATAATCTATATTTCAGACAAATTTTTGCTTGAAATCCCATTATAATTCAAACACGCTGACTATTTCTTTGTCTGTTTTCTCGTTATTCCTTACTAAAACAAAAGAAAAAGAGGTAACTTTATTGATTGTTGCAGAATGATAACTATTGTTGCTGCCTGCTATGCGCTCTAGTAATAGTTAAACTTTAACATCGAAATGCTTATGCCTGTAACGTTTAAGTTTTATAGAAAGGAAGTATTATATTTTCTTTACTAAATGGAGTATTATAAAACTGTACATTTGGTTCTCAGCTTCAATCACTTAGCTGAAAATTATGGTACTTAAATGCATGTAATTGCATTTCAAATAATTTTGCCCTAATACTTGCTACATCTTGGTACATCTTGAGCATCTTAATCGAGACCGATTTTGATGTGCTTTGTTGACTTTTCAGTTCACCTCGCTGTTGTGAAATTGGTGCTTTTGTGCAAGCAGTGTCCCATTTTTCTGCTGAATATTTTGTCTTCATCCTGATTGTCTTATTTAGTTTTTATTGAAAATATTGCTTACAATGGCAAACCGAAGTTTTTATTTCATTTCCCTAAGTTCCAGTTTTGGTTTTTCTTTCGTTAGGCATTAACCCTGGAAAAGCACATTTTCTTCATTCTGTTTCATTCTTTTGAAAAATTGTAGCTAAATTGGCTTGTTTGTTAGTTTTACAAAAATCACTTTTGTTGTTGGTTCTAATTTGATATTTTAAGGACCATGTAATACCTCTTCCATATCTATATAATCCATTAAAAAACAGAGGCGATGTAATTCTTCCTTCGCAAGTATGAATAGACTGCCAAAAATGTTCATTTCTATTTCTTGAAATGATTCTGTTTACAGCATTCAACGCATAATTTGCCTTGCGGGAAGAGAACGTGGTACCTGTTCGAGGTGTATATTTAAAGCTGCCTAACACGGGTTCCTCGTTGTCTTCATCGTTTGACCCAAATAATTCAACTAATCCAGTTTCTGATTCCCCGCATAACAAATCCGACACACTTGACAGTACCAAAAGTAGCGACTCGTCCTCTTTGTCGAGGACATTACCCAAATTGTCGAAAAAGCAGGCCAGCATTTTACGACCATTTTTGCGGAAGGAAAGAAAGGTATCTCACGTGCAATTTATTCTAATACAAATAAGAGAATTTTCATGTGGGTATATTTTGAAAATTGATATGCAAAAATAATTTTACTCACGATTTTTCAAAGAGTTTGAAACTTTCGATCACAGATTGATATGTGGATTTGGACACGCTTTGAGATAATTGCAACTCTCATTACTCCGTTTCCATCGAAGATTAACTGAAATAATAAGATTTGACGACAAAATATCTTTCAAAATATTTTGCGGAACATTTCACTAATTTCACATTGAAATCGTCATTTTATCCCATCAAAATGTGAAATATATTTTAGATTTTCATTTTCACATTTTGCAGATATAGTCTGGTTTAATATTTGTGGACCAGTGGTTTTTGTTTTGCAGCGAACTTCATCACCAGGAAATAGCTCCGGAAGTGGCAGTGACCACCGTGAAGCAAACAGAAGTAGTGAAGGTGAGGCGATGAAACGAACAGCGTCACCAACACTGCCGGATGGTGCGACACAAGCTAAATATGAGCCTCCCACATGTAGTGGAGAAATTGATGTATCTGGCTCATTTAATGCTGTTAATACCATAGCTGGCACGGATTTACTGAAGGTAAACTTTCATTCCTTAAATCCATCAAAGCAACTGTCCTAAAAGTTCATGAATACTCCAAAAAAAGTAAGCAATGCCACTATTAGATAACAAGATTTTCAAATTCGGTGATGTACGGTACGATGAAATACCACTATCATATTTATATGGAAAAGTGGGTTATCAAAACTGCCAGTATTGAAACAACGGAAAGCTATCGGCTGTCTTAATCGAAGTAGTGAATTTGTACATTAAAAGTTCTTTTCACTTTGTTCCTGTGTGATTTCATATATTCTTATGAATATTTGATGAATGCACAATTTAATTTTTATTAAAGCTAAAAATGATGTAGGTCGTCTACCTTTGATCATTGTTTGATTAAGCGAGCTACTAATTTAATCATTTGAATAAAATTCTGAGTTTATCAAAATTTACGATTTTCTCTCGTTTGGTTTTTTTTTTGGAACTACTGTAGCTCTTCTTGTGCTTGAAATTCAAGCCAAAGTAAGGATCTATTTCCAAATTTTCAATTAATTTATAATGGTTAGATTTAGGCCGTTTTGTACAGTGAACTTCACGACTTTCTTGAATAAGGATAGCATATTTATAGTTTTTTTCATGTTCACTGCACCATTTCACGTATGAAATTGTTTACCCCACTTATCATTTGGGCATTTGTGATTGAAATATGGAGTTGATACTTTACTGGAGTTAATACTATTAATACTTTACTTTTGTTGTCTAAAAGCAAGTACGTATGAACTGGGAAGAGAGGCACAATTTCGAAATATGGTGAAACTTAAAAATTAGGAATCGAAAATACTCACTCGCAGCTACTGCGATAAGAATTTGTTTTTAAAAGATTTATATTTTTAAAAATGAGATTTTATGACATCAATATCGATCTCATCTTCATTATTTTAATGGGGGATATGATCCGATTTTCCATTGTTTTAACAAGTGTAAAATACGTGTAATGTTATTGCTGCATTCTGCAACTGAGCTCGTAATATCTTTCAGTTAGTATGTTTCAAAATGTTTAGGCGACATTCAAATCCGCTAATCGACTAATCTGATTTCTTTTGAGATCTTGATCGGTTGGTTTGACTCCAGTACTGAGCATGTTTGATCCCCTCATTAATAAGCATTTTAATGTTGGTAGTGATTCACAGGCTTTATCGAGGTATTGTCTTATACGGTTAACTATTTAGATAATTGGTATGAAATGCTTTTTTCCAGTCATTTAGATCTACTGCATGCAACGGTACTATAGTGTAAGATATTTTTTTCCCAAAAAATAATTAACTTGAAAAATACTGTAAAAGAAAATCAATGAGACAATTAAAGAGTCCGTGTTGTGATGTGTAGATGAGAAACAATTGTTGGTTCGCAGCACCAATAGAAAGGCATGAGGGTTGTGAGATCTGATGATGCAAGAATAAATGTGTCTTGGTGCAAGAGAACTTGCACAATATGAGAGCGAGGAGGCAAAACAGCTATGTGTAGTAGTGAGTACAGCATTGGTCTGTTTCACCAATAAGCTTGCCTGATGCTGATGTGCTGACTCCTTTAGAAGTGTTCATATGTGTGTGCGTATCCACTGATGTTTTAAAATATTTATTCCCAGTTGTGTACTTCTTCTCGATTTATGTTTAATTTGGATTCATCTTAAAGTCTGTTTTTTCTATTCGCTGGGGATCTGGGCTTGTCATGTTCTCTTTGCTATTATAAAAAGCTATTTTAGCATTTATATGAAAAAATCAGCAACACTTATAAAAACATACAGGTACAAAGGAGGAAAAAGAGAATCGTATTAGGAAAAATGGGAACTACTTAGTTACTTAACTACGCCTACTAATCAAAGTTATATTGTTATAAATTTCCCATGGCTCTTCTATGTCTTTGTGATTTATATGGAAAATATTCGGTTGTTTATTCAATGTTTCAGTTACAAGAAGAAAAAGCACTGGAGAATACGCCATTACGACGTACTATTCCACTGAGCAAGGAATCCGGCACTCTTTGTTCTACGGATGCATCAGTGAGCATGGAGGTGCAGCCTGTTGACTGTACCAACGGTAAGAAAGCAACAGATATTCCAAATGGAATCACTACTGCTGCTACTCGTTTAAATAACGCTAAGTTAGAGAATGCTTACAAAGGAGGCGTTGCCATACTCGATTTTGGCGCTCAGTTCGGAAAGGTAACCCAATTTATACTTCTGCTTTAAGTTGCTGTTAAGTATAATGAAATATACAGGATTACTATGCATAAATTCCGAAATCTAAAGAATTTCGTCACCTTATAGTACCAGCTTACCTTGTTTAATAAGCGCTAACATAATTGACATTAAAAAACTCTTTCGTTGAAATTATCTCGAAATCTGAATTGTCTCATACAACACATCACTCTTAGATATCATTTCTTTTTTTTAAAAATTTGTGTTCTTTTGTGACATTAAAATAGATGAGAGAGGTTTGTTCATTTATGAGCTTCAGCTCACAATTTATTTCATCGAAATTTGGAACGATTTGTTTTCGCTTCTGTTTAACTGTTTTGCAAGTTAAGAACTGCTTATTGTAGTGTTTCTTTCTTTCTGCATGTTTCTCTACCTTTTCAGATTGTTCATTTTCAGTCTATTATCAAACTCAGCTCTCTGTTTTTCAATGATGTCTTCGATTTATAGGTTATCGATCGCCGAGTTCGTGAGCAAAATGTATTTAGCGAAATTCTGCCGTTCAATACAAAAGCAGCTGATGTGATTGAGAAAGGTTGTTACAAGTATGTGTTAAGCTTTATTCATAAGCAGACATCTGGTTGGGTTTCCGCTTGCATAATCCACGTTGCGTTTTACAAAATGGAACTAGAATTAATTCCGTTCACGTTTCTTTTTTATATTTTCGGAAGTTGTTTCATTTAGTTTGGAAAGTGCAGGCTTTTATAGAGCGATTATATTAAGTGGTGGACCAAATTCTGTAAATTCATTTAATGCACCTGAATTTGATCCTGCTATATTGACTTGTGGTATTCCAGTTCTCGGTATTTGTTATGGTTTTCAGGTATCCCTTTCTTTTATTTTACACATTTCTTTACTGATTAAATTGATTTAGTCTTGCAGCATATTATCAGTAAGACTTCTTTGATAAGTAGATTATTTCAAAGAAATCCTTCTTGGAATCCATTGTAACTACCATTTTTTAGCTAATAAACAAAGCATTTGGAGGATATGTGTCTAAAAAATCAATACGAGAAGATGGGCAACTTGAGGTATTTTCAAATGTTTTTCAGAAAATAATGACTGGAAAGGAACTAGATGTATCTTTGTGACACTGCATTGATAATAATCATGTGCCATCAAGGCATGGTTAAAATATGTGTCAAAGACTTCAAGTAAATTAAGAAAGCATTATTATGTATTAATCTGTGATTCGAAATTCTGAACTACCGGAGGTATATCGGGGTATATCTAGTGGATTCACAATTTTTATAATGCCTGTCAACTTCGGAAATTGAATAGACTTAAATGTTGGGACAACCGTGATGAGATTCAATGCAATTTTCAACAACCTCTCTCAAAACTCTCTCGCGAAGCTGTTACGACAGAGTTTGTTGCAACTTTTGATTTTTTGCAGATCAATGTCGATACCAACTGCCCATTATTCAAGGGACTTGCAACCTGCCAAAAAGTACTGCTAACACACGGTGATAGTGTCACTGAAAGAACTGTAGCTAATGATTTCAAAATCGTGGGTAGGAGTGGAAATTTTGTTGCAGGTTGGTCTAGCTTTCTTTCGAACTTTTTAGTATACTTAGGAAACTTTCGTTTTTTGCACTCTTCTCGAGTATGCATCCATGTTTTTTGTTGACGAAAGTCATAGAGTTGTCGTTTCTTTTTCAAACATCTTTAGCAATTGCTAATGAAAGGCGAAAGTTATACGGCGTGCAGTTTCATCCTGAGGTGGATTTATCTACGTGCGGAAGGGAAATATTGCATAATTTTCTCTTTGGCATTGCTGGTGTTACCGGTGGCTTCACAATTGATAATCGTGAGCAGAAATGTATCCAAGAAATTCGTTCTATTGTGGTGGATAAAAAAGTGTTGGTAGGTCTTTTGGTATCTTCTAAACATATGTGAGTCTCTCTGTAATGTACAAAAGTTTTTCCTCAATATGTTTTGTGCAAAGATGAAACCTATGCTAAAAATATGTGATAAAAACTAATCGATTGTAGTAGCACCAGACAATATGTTTAGGTGATGGTGTCGGGTGGGGTGGACTCAACGGTATGTGCTGCTCTTCTTCACAAAGCTTTAGGGAGTGATCGAGTGATTCCTATACATATCGATAATGGTTTTATGCGTTCCAATGAAAGTGATCGAGTTGTGGAATCGTTGAACAAGTTGAATTTGAAAGTACGAAGTATGTTGTATTTTTTGTTTTGGTTTTCGATTTGTGCTGATAAAATCTCGTGAACCTTCAAACCATCTCTAGTTTTTTGTTCAAACAATAGTCTTCTGTCTCAATCACAGTCTTAACCAATTTCCAACATTAACTGGTTTTTTATTTATTTTTGAAATCACATCCATCATTACACTGGGAAGTTGGTGTAGTGATGTCGTCGCATGGCTTGTTCATTAATCTATATAAATTAATTAGGTGTAAGCTTAAATTCGAAATACACAAGTGTTCATGTTTTGGAACAACTAACTGCGTTAATTATGAAATCACATAACATCCAAAATTTAAAATCTTAAATTGGGTAAAATATTTCACCTTTCAATTGAGTGATTGATTGAGCATAGCATAAAATATATTTTTTAGGGTACAATGCCTTCTATGCCTTTATGAATGGCCGAATATCAGTTGGAAACGAACTTTCAGCACCACTAATGAGAACTGTACAGCCCGAAATAAAACGTAAAATAATCGGTGATACATTCATGCGAGTGAAAGATAAGATAATGGATGAGGTTATTTTTGCTTTGAACCAGAGCTTCTTAAGAAATGGCATTTAATGAATTTATTGAATTCCGACATCTTACAAATTCATTTTAGTTAAAGTTGGATAAGGATGTATTTCTGGCACAAGGTACACTCAGACCTGATTTGATTGAAAGCGCGTCACATTTAGCTAGTTCCCAAGCAGATGTCATTAAAACTCATCACAATGATAGTGCTCTTGTGCGCGAACTAAGAGATTCGGTAAATATCATTTGCTTTTTTGGATGTTACATAATATTAAAAAAAAACTGCTGCTCTTTGACTCTATCGATAATGGAAGCCGAAATGCTAAGGATAACTTTGTACTGGATTACAATCAAATACTAGCAACTTATTTGCAGGGAAAAGTGTTGGAGCCATTGAAAGATTTTCACAAGGATGAAGTTCGTGAGTTAGGAATATCTTTAGGCTTACCAGAACACATTGTCCATCGACATCCTTTCCCAGGTTGCAATTTATTTTTATTTTCCTTTTTCTAATAGAGCAACGAAACTCATTTGTGTAAAAATTGGCTAGATCTTCTACATGATTTGGTTGATAGTGACTGAAACGGTGAGGATATTGGGGCCTACATCTTGAAACTTTAACAAATTGGAAAGACATCTCGGCATTGGTAGGTCAAAAGCAGACAGATGAGATAAAGAAAGAGGTCATGGTTATTTCTTTTTTGCAGTACCACAAACCGTATTTAGCAGATACTTCTCAGTAGGTAGTATGTCTCATAGAAGTACAAAATATTCGTGCTAATGGACCGTGCAAGATCCCAAATTTTGCAATGGAAGCAGGTTGTTGTATATTTCAGACTGTCATAGGAAGTTTGATTTATTTCAGGTCCTGGGTTAGCTATTCGGATCGTCTGTGCCGAGCGTCCGTTAATTACTGACTTCGACCTTTTCGTTACTACTCAACACCACTTGCATTTGATCGCAAATCTTGCGCTTTGTGACAGGGATGTAAGTCCGTGTCATCCGTATTGCGAAATTAAGAATTCATTGGTCTTTAAGTTGTGTAGGATTTTTTTAACAGTGGGTTCTGCTGCCAATTCGTGTTTACTCGGCAACCTATTAACTAGCCGTTGTTAAAACGGTTACATCAATAATTGTTTCCGCAGAAAACTTTCCTATTTCTCTTATGTATCCTAGTGATAAAGAAGAGAAGAGAAAGTAGATAATTAAAAATTTATTAGAGGAAGTAGTTCTCTAATAGGTTGTGCAAGCAAATTTTATAGTTATAAATGAGATTCTAAGAGTTATTAATAGTTTTAGTCCGAAGAATTTGACACCATAACGCAGCACTTGTCAGAAGCTGACTTGAAAGCTCTCAGTGACCATGATTTTGAAATTGCAACAACTCTTTTACCAGTGCAGTCGGTTGGAGTACAAGGTTTGTTCATTGTTTTTTATTGGTTTAAGATTACAGCAGGATGGGATGCAAATATTTGGTATTTGTGTTTGTTGTATTAATTTGGAAAATCCACTTTTTTTGAGACGATGATTTGCATTACAAAGACTTTCGTCAACATATATAAAGTATTTTAGGTGATGGACGATCTTATGCATATGCAGCTGCACTTTCTACAAACGAAAGGCCTATCCCATGGAAGTTATTGGAGCGGCTGACTCATATTATACCTCGTTTGCTACACAATATAAATCGGTTATAAATTATTATTGGGATATATATTGGTGATTCATTTTGTGAGTGTGTCTGACTACTGTTGCTATTATCACTATTAAACTGAGTGTTATTAGCTTTCTCCACCTGGTTTATTCTTGTGTTGCAGAGTACTTTATGTTTTCGGAAATGCCGTTGATTATCCAGTGAACGACGTCACGCGCACATATTTAAACGGTTTTACGATTGGTCTGGTAAAGTGGGCAGACAGAATAGCTTATGATGTTCTTTGCGGGTTAGACGAGAATGGTAAGAGGGATTACGCTCTGGAAGTGTGTTTACAAAGAATACAACAGGTTTTTTTTTCTCAATGTAGATATGAAATATGCTTTCCTGCTTAGCGGTTGAATATTTCTGCAATCATAATTACACTAATTTAGATGCCAGTGGTGATGGTTCCCGTTCATTTTGACAGAGATCCTTTGGAAAGAAAGGCATCAATGCTACGATCTTTTGTTCTTCGTCCCTTTATCACAAACGATTTTATGACAGGTGTTGCTGCTTTACCGGGAAAAGATATTCCTGAACAGGTACCAGCATTGTAAAACTCAGTATCAGTTGATCTTTTTCTCCGAATACGTATTCAAACGTTCCCAATTTTACTTATATCAAAATTGGTGTTGCTAGAATAGGTGGCATTGAGAAATATGATTTTAACTTGATTGATATTTGGGCATTGAGTTTGTACCTCACATTGTATTTCAGTATGTTGTAGTTTGTACGTAATTATTGGCCATAATTATTCCAGAACATATTGGAAGTAGTACGCCGCATTACGGAGCGCGTGCCCTTAACATCACGTGTCATGATCGATCTTACATCGAAACCGCCAGGTACAACAGAATGGGAGTAAACTAGGCAGCTGAGACCATTGTGCTTACAACAATCTTACCTTCGAAAATTGTCCATAAATGGAGTTGAACTCCATGTATGTTGACGTGTAAGTTCAAGGTCATGGGACCCACAGTGCAGTTTCTAACCTTATATAAACAGATTTGAAGAAATTTCATAATCATTTATGGGTAGAATTCTAAGAATTCATATTAGTTATGATTTCTAGTCTTTCCCGCACGGTCTAATGTCTGTATATTTAGGATGATTTTGTTCCGTGTTGCAACTCTCAGCGTAGTGGAGAGGAAGTGAAATTCATTTTTGAAATAGGAGTAAGATCTCGTTCTTGAATGTGAGATGATAATTAGCCTTTATGTGTTTGGAAACTTATCAAAACTTCCTCTTATCAGTGCAGCGAATTTATTCCTCTACAGAATGAATATTTTGTGCTCGTCGTGATTTTTAATCTTTGTACCAAGTTTTGTTGATGTTGTTATTTTTTCCAGTGATTAAAGCCGTCAAGATTTGTATTTATTGATTGTTCACCTTGTTATCTACCCTTTTAGAGCAGTCAGCCATGTTTTAAACATCAATTGACATAAATATTAAAAGTGTACGAGCAATTGGGGCTTTTGCAAAAAATTACTGAACATTACATGGATCGCTTCGCGTCTTATCAATGATAACCGAGAAGGTTGGTCTTCATATCTTGACAACAGAATTGGAAAAGGCTTCAACAGACTGTGGGTATATTTAATGGAGTTGAGAGCTATTTGAGCGAACGAAGTCGGTCCGACCTCTAGGATAACATTTAAAGGTTCCATACATAGATTAGTTGAGAAATCGTACTTTAGAGGCGGTCGATCGCATCAATTAAATTACATGATGTAGAAATACTGTACGGGGGTAGTCGCATTTTGCATTTGAAGAGGTGTCAGATGTGGTGTGTAGTGGCAGGGTGCTATCTTATATCTTTATTTCGAAAAACCATTTCTTTATGAATTGATACATTATAAACACTGATCAAAATTATCGCCTTTGCTGTGGGGATGCCGTCGTTCCTGGTGGTCGAACAGCTCCATGTGATCCACTGACAGAACTTCCTGTAAGGCTACCTTCGGTTGGAGCAAGAGTTTTTGATGGGCGTAGTCCTTCCCCATTCACAACAGCTCTCACCAATTTCTGAGTATCCTTACTGCTGTAAGTAGGTATATCTTGCTGTATTTCTGCCTGACTACGAGCATTCTCAGCCAAAGATGCCAATAACGTCTCTATATGTTTGTTCATCGCCAATATTTGCTTATTTACCTGAAAAGAACTGCTTTGGTTTTCCACCTAACAATAGATTACACGATTATACAACTCTAAAATTTAAGCTAAACACCTCATATTTATCATCTTCAGGAATCCTTTGGAATCACTGAGCTTATTGAATTGAAAACTAACAGGAATTCATGCAACTTAGCCTCAGTTTAGAGCTATATGTACTTTGTAATACTAACATCAACTGATCCCAAATATTAAATTACATACAGGATCAGGACCATAAAGCTTGCTTGTTAGGCCTTTATACATTTAACATAATACTTTTGTGAAATTTATTTGTCACATTTTGAAAATAAGCGACAATGAAACTGAAAGAAAATTCTGGAAATCAGTATATTTTTAAAATAACCTGATCAAACGTCCGCGTGTTCTTCTCATTATCAATGTGTGATTCGTCGGCTTCTATTTCAGGAGTTAATTTTGTGCGTAAATAATCTGGAGCAGCATCGTGATTCCAGCAGTGAATACGATTTGAAGTGGCTTGCTATAAATAGTGTCGAAAATTTGTTGAAAATGTAACAACAAAAGCTTCTTTTTTGGATTTTAAACCAATGGTCGAATCGCTTCGGCCTCAGAAAAAAGTATATAAAAGTATCACTTTACACGATTGTGCATAAAAAACTGCGGTATTCATCTTCACAACCGCTCATTCTGATTGCACAACTAAATTTATTTTTTACGTATGTAAATTTATTGTTACAGTGGATTAAGCATTATATAAAAACGTGCCTGAAGATTAGGATCTATATCATTAGAAAGGCAGTGAGGTACCAGCACATGAGTTCTCAGAAAAAACCCAAAATCTTCGAAACCGGATGGTAGTGCTGATTTTTTCAATATAAACTGTAACTGGGTCATTGCACTGGCAAGTGATGAAAATTTGTCCAACATATCAGGCCTTAAAAGTTAGATATATAAAGTAAATCTGTCGAAATAATTGAAAGCAAAATTCTATCTTCCCCTATACACTTAAAAAAGCGCATGTCACAATGCTGCACTGAGGAATATCATCATGTTCAAAAACATAAGCATTGTTTGACTATAAATAGATCAATGTCCTCCTAAAATTAAGGATCTTTGTAAGAAATATGAATGAATGAATTAAAAACAAAACGATAACTTCTCGACTCAATCAAATAACAAATTCAGAAAAAAAAACCTCTTCATAAAAGTGTCCCACTTACCATTCCACTTCCTCCTGCAGATCGAGCATAAATAGGAGCTGCTCAATATTTGTTTTTACATCGAACGCTTTATTTTCGATGTGAGAAATGGCACTCGCGAGACGTTCAGGTTCATGTTGATGACCGAATAATCCACTTGGTTGTGCATTCATCAATCTGCAATCAACCGACTGCTCATCAACTTTTTGATGAGCAACACACGTTTCAACCAGAAGCTGATATCATCGACAAATGTCTGAATGTCTAAACAGTGGTAACATATTTCAAAGCTTAGACACAAATTCTCTAGCTTAACGGGACCATTGTCTTCTGTGAAGAAAGTTTACCAAATGATCATGGGATGTTTGTTAAAAAGTACAATTGTTAGATACATGCGGGACATTCCCATATCTCAATGTGATTTCAACTCTACTCTTCTTTATTAGTTTCCAAAAAATTTTTTGCAAGTGCATGAAACATATACAATGAAGAAAAACCATTCGAGAATAGCGTTTTTTTTACACATAAATGAGTAATCTCATTATAAATTTAAAACGAAAGCTTTACTGAAATCTCATTTTAATATTTTTGATGAAATAAGTTTTTTTAATAGCAAAAAATTATCACCTGAGATTCATCTGACATCTCTTTCAATTTACTTTTTTCCACCAATTTCCCCTTCCTTATGTACATGTAAGACTGTTATGATGACACCGATAGTTCTCATTAAGATACTTATTTCAGATTCTTTACTATTCAGTAACTGTATAGCTATTCTTGAAGCCCACTAGTCGCTTGTCAACGACTAATTTAAAGCTTTTTATACGGAGGTGAACGACATATTTACATATCATCATTCTTTTCTGAGCGCAGCATTGATGATCTTTTCACGTATTCGTCTTCGTTTATTTTCTTCCTGTCTTATCAATTCATCGTGGTCGAAACTCAAGCTTATCAAATTTTCGTATTGAATTCCAGTAATATTTACCGCTGAGGGTGCTATCTACAATTCCGAAAGATTTACTTGCAATGCAGTAAACCTATATAACATTAAAAAAAAAACAATTATTGGTAACCCTGTCGGTTTTTTTAAATTATTTTTAGCATTTCCTTTAATTGAAAATACAAATTCATTCTTAAATTGTCATTTTGTATAGGTAGTATATAATGAAAGATAATTATTTCTTGGGAAAAATTGTACGTGAAGAGGAGAGTTCTCTGATAACATGCAATTCGTAATCATCTTGTAAGTAAAACATAAATCCCCCAGCAGATGGAACCGCGTTACCCATTCACTCTGATGAGCATCAGTTCCGATCACTTTAAGATCTGAAAAAAAACCTGTTTCATGACAGCACTGTCGATATTTTCTTTGTTCTCACGCAGAATTTTCTCAACCTCAGAGGCAACATTCGAGGCATATATTTGATCCATTTCATGTGCAACTGCAGCGCTTCGTTCGGTGTTGTTGGCGCTTACGATATTTATCCAGAAATTTTCATTCAGTGGAACTGGATAACGTCCATCTGGTCGTAAATACTGTCGTTCCATATAGCACTCTCCTGGATTTGGATGAAAACAAATACAATAGTCCAATCTAAGCAGTAGTGATATGTAAAACACGTAGACGAGGAGAAAACTTGTTAAACTCGTACTAATAATCCACTTCAATTCCATTTTTTGACAATCCGAACTCTTCTCATTCTAATTAAAACTCCATTTCTTATAATCTCCCAGTTCAGGTTTATAATGAATCTTTGCGTCAGCAAACTACAGAGTTACTCTAGAGAACATTTCGCTAATTCATTTGTATATATCGCATTTCCAATATCGAGTGAATGAGCAGAGTAAGGAGGTAAAACGTACATTTAAGAATTTACTTTTTGTTTTGCACCTCGTTTTGCTTAGCACAACCAAAGTAACATGTTTGTTAACATTCATATATTGTATAATAGCTTTGAAAATGAGCAAAATCAGAACGCAAAAGGAACGAATAACATTAAGAGATAAAGAACAAAGGGCATCAGAGGGGACACAAGCAATGAATTATTGTGCAACAGATATCAGCTTCAAACGAATTTCAATTACAGCGTAACCAAATGTTTAAGAAAAACGCTTTTCGCTCATAAATTTTCTTCATTTGTAAGATCTAATGCAGTAGTATACATGGAAAAATCATAGAAATTCCAATACCGGACCTGTTAACCCGTTCGCAAGATGAATAACAGTCTGAAAACAGCCTTTGAGGTAAGCTAATAAAGGCCCGTTGTAGGATACTTACTTCCTCTCTAAATTATCAGAATGATCCTGTGAACATTCAAAAGTATGTTGGGAATTTATCATTTGAAATTAAAATATACAAAAAGCATATGGATTTAAGACATTTAAAGAGCAAGAACTGTTTGTGGACGCAAGTCAAACACGGAATGTTGGTTCGTAATAGAGGGGAAAGGCTAGAAGAAAACTAAAGAGCAGAAATGATCTAGAAAAAAAACACAAAATTAAAAAACAAGTCCAATTCACATCTTTATATTACCAAATAAGGCACTACTATAATTACCTGTGAAGGTCACAAAAATACAAATTCGAAGAAAACCAAAACCAAATCAAAATTGAACTGTGACGAATGTTATATAACCCTAACATGCGAGTGACATTTTTAATACATGATTAAACAGGGAATCTGGCTCGCGTCCACTACTTTCAAATATCAAAATTGGGTTAATCTGAGCGAGAATGTTGTAACAAAAAGATGACAACGAAAACGATACCTAGCTTTATCTTTTCTTCTTAAAGAGGGGAAAACTCGGATCCTCAAATCTTCATTTTTTTTAAAGACAACAGAGCCAAAACTCTTCTAGTTTTATTCACTTCAGGATTACCAGATTTCCAATTTTTAAATTTTACGACTTAAATTGGTGTCATGCTTCAAGTTCTGGCAAATGATTGTTTTAATGTCCTAATTCTGCCTTGTTTTAATATGCTCATTCTCAAATAATGCAAACCAGAAGCGCAACAAAGAAAAAATAACTGCATACCACTGTAAACATCAAATGAAAACAAGTCATTATTCAGAGCACTCATAAACTTCCGTTAATATGACTTTTTAAAGTTTGCAAATTAACATTTGGAAGGTGCTTTCACCATAAATGCAAAGAACCTAAAGCAATTTCTAAATTCTTAGAAACGACAAAAGAGTGCCTTTTCTGCATCTAATATGCACTTGACGCATGAGAAACCAGATGTAAGATAAATCCTAAAGCGACGGCTGATTAAACTTTAAAGAAATATATTTATGAGATCAATTACTTGGTGAGAAGAAATGGTTACAGTTATGAACAACATAAAATATGCACTGCAATAAGGGATACTGATTTATGGTATGAAAAACACTGCTTGGTTAATTCAAATGAAAACTCATGCGAGAATCAGTTTGGTCGTGGAGCACCGTACATGAAATTTTCTTCCGCATAAAACCTTTCAGGTTTTGGAAACTGGTACTCCAAAAAATCTGGCAAGCCAACATCAATGTACGGCAAAGCCAATACCTGCAATGAATACTTACCACTTAACGGTTCCATCGTCATAAAACACTACCTGAGCTAAAAGGGCTATATGACAGATTTTTTTGTTACTCACTGGCACATGTGAAGAACTCACTTTTGGAAGAAAAAGTTACCTTCCTGCCCATTACATTTACGATGTATGACTTTCGCTGATTGCTGGATGGTTTGCAGCGGAAATGTTCACGATTGCGCAATGTTTCCAAACTTGGAAGCATAGCATACCAATCATATTTCCCGTTACGCGTAGGTACAATCATTTTACTAGTAGAAGGATTGCTATTTGATACACTGCATGCTAGTGCTGGTTCTGCGTTTCCTACTGCCGACGTAGAAGCTCTGAAAACAGTGATTTCCAGTAACACATTCGCATATTCAAAATTAGGACCTATTATTCCCTTATTGAAACAATTTCGAATTAAATGCGCATTAGAAACTATTTGAATTTATAAGTTCATGAAGAAAAATCCAACAAAAAATCAGTAAAAAACTTACTTTTCATTGCTCACTGCTATTACCTTTTCGTCTGCAACAAATTGGTCTTTCATTCGTCCCTCCTTTTCTTTATCTTTTTTAGAGCGACTACGCTTCTCCTTTTTCTTGGAAGTTTCTGCTTGAAGAGTAAAGAGCGTTCTGGATATTTGACCCGTGTTCTGAAAACGAAAATGGTGCTGGTATGAACTTAAAATCTCGAAATTTCGTCGGCCTGGAAGACAAAACGCATTAATTGCTCAATATCACTTATATTAAAAATTAACAATGGAGTAGAGAGGACTGGCACTGCCGAGGCATGAAATGGTTCATAACAACGTCATGAAAGAGATTTTAAAAGATTTATGTACTGTCTATTGTCCAACACTAAACAGACAGCCTAGAATAGCATGAAATTCGAGTGAAATGTTGTATACTACACTTGCCTGTTCCTCGTTATCGCCACATTTATTCCTGATGGGATCTTGATTTTGTGATATGTTTATTGCTAAATAGCCTGGTAAATTCTCCGTTAACTGTGCAACCAATTCACTTGTCGACTTCACATCAGCGCGTCGGGCAGCAAGTAATGATTGATGTGGTGTTGTTGGAGACACCGATGCAGAACTGTAGTGCAGACGTTTCGCAGCACTCAACCCGTTTATAATACCTGCAAGATATCATTACTGGACATGTATATTTCATAAAGACACACCACACCACATGTTGCCTCCATCTGAAGCTGAACGCTATATATATTTCGTTAACAATTTGTACACAAAAAAGAACTATAAGAATAATACTATCAATAAGTTTACCTATATCAGGAGTTGCAATATATTCGCCTTTTCTCTTCCCATTTCGAATAATTTCTCCACCTGATAACAATGAACCTTCGACCGCTTTTATTGCGAGATCAGTACCAACTGTATGTGATTTTCGAAGAACTCCAGATTCTGCAGTATTTGCTGACACTTCTTGTCCAGATTTTTCGTAAGGAGTAACTCTATGTTCATTTGAAACTGACGGTGAAGCAGCAGCACTCCGTGAACCTGTAACTGAGGTAAGCATCATCTAAAATGCTACAACATTTCCTTTAATTATGATAAGTGATAATAACTGGTAAAAAAGGAAAAATATTCACACCTGAACTTCCAGATGGCGTTAGAACTGAACTGCCTAAAGATGTCAAACGAGAGTTTCCAGCAGGTGTAAGGAGTGAGTTGCTCCCTGGAATACCTCGTGGGCCCCTTGCGGGTGTGCCCGGTGTGAGACCCTTCTTGATCACAGGAGAAGCGTAACTGGGAGTACCATTGGTGGAGGAAGAACCACTAGACGTAGGCTTCGGCTCGGCCAATTTCTGCCAACATTTGATCAATGATCGACATCGCTTCGATAGTTCGGGTGATGATTGAGCTACTTTTTTCCTGATATCATTGACTACAGCACCAACCCTCGTCATCTGTAATCACATCGCGTGGCAAATCAAATTATATACTGCAAAATAACACTTTACTTATAATTTTTCTAATGGTTTCAATCACTCAACACTTATCACTCCACTCAATTCGGACACGCCTTTTGAATACTCATATATGAACACATCCACCATGGCACATTTCATTTGCTGTAGCTTCCCACTGGAATTCATTTTAATAGAAGGACTTTATAGTTTATTTGTGTGGGTAATGTGCGACCAAGAATTGATAACAATCAGATTATTTCCTTCAGTGCTTTCATATATTTCACCAATAACATGCAGATTTTTTCTTTTTCCTTTTAAATAATAAGTCTTCATGCATGAAACTGAAAAGATTGCCCCGTGTGGGTAAATATACCAAACTCCTTGTTGCCTGATTTTGCTAATTTTCTTGAAGTCATTACCATATCCACGCTATTTGTTCCACACGTTCGTAAGTCTTTTACTTGTAAATGAAACGTAAACAAATGAGAGCAAGTTTGGATCTAAACACAGCCGAATTCAATACAATTACTGATGGGACAATGGAGAAAACAATAGAATCTCATGTGTGACCTGATGGCGGTTACAAATACACACCAAAATCATTTGAACAACTAACAGTAACATCATTTTTTTAAAGAAACCCCTCCACCATTCTAATATAAGTGAGCAGTGATCATACGAACTCCACTAAGAACATTTCAGTCACGTGTTTGATGACTGATAAAAAACCACGTGAACGCAGAATAATATTTATTGCCCAAAGAAATGAGAACAGTAGGAAATGTTGTGAGGTACTCAATGCATATATGATCAGCGTGCGACAACAACATTTTCCCGTATTTAAATCTTTGCAAGAAGTTAATCACTCGCCTTTCGGCATTGTAAACAACAATCAAAAAGAGTAAGATGAGAATGAGGAGATCAATGTCAACGTTAGCGGATCATTTGAATCAATCTGTTCCTGCAGTCACCAGCGTCTTCCGCGCTTTTAACACCGCAAGGTGCACTTCCAACCGAGCTTTATTTGGATGCTGTGCTTTAGTTTGGAAGTGTGCTTGTTTCACTTTCTTTGATATGAAATTTGAGGAAAAAAGCTCGTCTTACAATACCATAAAGTGGCCTCAGTCTAATAGCTACTACAAGGATAAACCGGAGTGCAAAATAAGCCATCCGAAAAAAAAAGTATCAAAATACGTGATAAAAATCCCAGAAGGTTAGTACAATCGAGTGAGGCCATGAATGGATCTTTCCTCGCAAGGTCTCTTCCCTATAGGCAGGTCAGGTTAACAAGTCTTACTTTCTTAACTAACCAAGTGATGAGCACAATGACCTATCCTCCAACCTTTATCCAAAAATAGTTTTATTCGCGCATGTCCTGCCTCTGGGGTTCGCAGCCATCGGCCGTACCTACCCGTCAATCAATTAATATGTCGGTCGCCCTGCATGGATCAAAGGAATCCTGAAGGACGTATTCGCAAGTGTCCGAACCTCCCATAGAACTACTCGCTCTCATATTCTCTGGCTGTGCAAGACACAATTTCCTCTCTTTTCTTGCCGCGACATAGCACAATTCCCTATCTCTCACTCCCCTCTCTCTCCTTCTGCCTTTCTTACAAATGATCTGAAAATAAGTAGTGATGCATAGCTATATACGGCAAGGAAGAGCGAAAGAGAACTCTTCTCTGTTCCTATTACCACTCTCTTCAACGAATGAAAAAGAACTTGTTCATCGATCGCTCTCTAAGAGAATAATGAGAACAGAAAGGGGATGAGAGAGAAAGAGGAAAAATAGCTCCACCCACAGACAGCAAGTTAGCGCAGAGACCCACCCGTGTGTTAGTTAGAAGAGAATGAGAGCAAAATTCAGCTCAGTGCAGTGGTGAAGGGTTGGGTCAGTTGAGCAACTTGCTCGGAGGCCAGAATGGGTGATCTCTCCGAGGAGTACTTCGACTCACTGCCTCGACGTGCAGGCAGTCGTCGGACGCTGCGTGGCGTGCAGGGAGGCCCCTCTCCCTATCTGCCCACTCTCTAGGATGTATCCCGATTCATCTCCTCACTTCTTAATTTTGGATGAAAGTTACTGATATCCTCACCTCGAGCAATTCCTTCGTCAAATTGGACTTCTCCAATTTGATGATCACATCCGTGGCCTGTTCTGTGTCGCCCTGCAAGCAATTGCACGTCATCTTTCATTCTCTTTCCCCGCTCTCTTCTCGTTATGCTTGTTAGTGTTGGAAAAAACATGTCCTTCGTTGGTAATCTCAGGTAGTATAACAGGTCACCATATCGCTTTCTAGGTTGAGAACCGCGTATTAATTTGACCCATGCCTTTAAGGGACCTACAGTATACACAAGAATATCTTATTCAGCAGCGCTAGAGCTGCTGGCGACATAACGATACAGCATGCAACGTATACACGCCATATGCAGCGTCTACTACGATGTCGCATTGGTGCATTGTATGACTGATGGAGAGCATTGAACAACAGTGCTTACATTGTCATAGGCCTGAAGAAGCTGATGCTTGAGGCGATCAACGACAGTTACTGTTGTGGGTTCAACTGTTGGTACCGCTGCTGATAAGCCACTGTTGGATGCTGCCGCCGAGTGCTGCTGCTGCATGCAGCGCTTCTTTGCTGCGGATACAGTCGTCGCGCTACTGCCCGCTGTTTCCTGTTCTTACTGCTACTAACACTTTTTGCCACCGCAGTTTCCTGCTATTTTCTAGGTAAACAAGCAGCAAGACATGGATGAGTATGCATGCATCCATTATCATCACCCCACCCACCTTAAGCTACAGACCACCGCAAGTCACAAGCAGGGCTAGTATTTCCAACACTTGCCCTCCTGCGATTCCGGAACCATTGTGCATTGTAGCGGAGCAGTATGATAATGCAGTACTGCGCATCACAGCACACCATGCCACAGAACAGTACCGCACGGTTAAGGACGGTACAGAGTGCCTGCTCATCACCCACCAACCCCTGCGATCTACCCCACCACCCGTCCGATCAGAGCGAACCGTCCAGTCCAGGACTTCTCCCTCACTCTGCCACGACTGCACCCGCCTTAGCTCTTTTATACTTCTTCCCATCTTGCCCCTGCCTCTCTACACCCTTTTCTGTACCGACCCTGGCATCCTAACCGTCTGACTGCGCATCAGGAAGTGTCGCGGCCCCATTATTAGCACATAATTTTCTGTGCAACCAGTTGTCTCACCGTTAAGAGCAGTAGAAGACATATGTATGGTGTTTGATTCCATTGGTTCTTCACACTGACTTCGGTGGTCGTTTCGGAATGCTATAACTTTTTTGCGGAGAGAAGAGCGTGCCATGCTTTCAAATCTTTTATCTTACTGAGATGTGTAAAAATTACATGAAATATGTAAGTTATATAAGAAAACATGATAAAACAGCAGTTAATGACTGCTTTGTTAGAAAATGTTGATATTTTTCCTTTTGGATCTATCTCACCTTGAAAGGTGGAACAAATGAGGTAAAAACTCAATTCTACCATTTTATTATATTCCAGAAAATCTTGGTGAATGTTTTTCTAGCTACTTTGCTTTTCTTTTTACCTAGCCTTTATCATCTGATGTCGTCATATGAAATCCTGAATGACGCTACTTTGCGTTAATTAATGGTGTGCAAAATAGATTTAATATATTACAGCTACTTCATTCGATTTGTTTTGTAAGCATCTTTATTCGTTCATTCAATTATTTTTCTTATAACGGTTGAATGGAAAAGGAAGGAGTTCAGTGATGAAAAATGGATATGAACATTGGTATAGACAGTAAGCCACGGACTCGACGAGGACGTCGTCGCTTCGGTGATCGGTTGATCACATTGGGCGGTGATCGTAATGATGACATCAACGATCCCATCGGTATGATAAGTGTATGCTACTGTGGCTCGCTGTACTGTGAATATACCGCTTACCTCAAGATTCATCCATTTATTTCAACTACAGATCTTTGGGAGGCATTCATTTTTGCTAATATTACCACTTTGTGTTCGTGCTTGTTCCGTGTTAAGTGTAGCTATATTCGTCTTTAAAAGCGACGTAAGTGCGCATAGATTTTATGAATAAGAAGTTTTGTTCTTGGTTTAATCACGCAAAAAAGGGAAACCGAAGTATTGCTGTCGTGAATTACCGTTTTAACAAAAAATTTCATGTCATGAAAATAAAATTGTTTTCAGATTCGAATATAACTCTGAATGTACGTGTAAAGGAACGGGAAAACGGTGCTAGAAAAGGCTCGTCGGGAAGCATATTCAAAGATACGCCTACCACTGTTATTAAAAGCCTTTTCCACAAAGATTCTAGCTACGACCTAAAAAACACCGTCAAGCGCCCTCTCACAGGTCCTCTTTATCAGCTAATTTTAATTTTTGTGGAAGTCTCTGATTTATTTTTGTACTTTTCCAGGAGAAGGATGTGTGGAATTGGCATACCATTTTACAGAGTTTTAACTAAAAGCGCTTTAATTGTTGACTTGCAATTGCGTAATTGTAGAAACAGACCCGCTTATTACCCTGTTGTCAATCTTTTACTTTCTTTATATTTCCACTTCCATTTTGACAGAATTTTCACTGGTTTTCACTGAGCCTTGAGCTAAATGATTTTGAAACTCTGAACTCTGCACTGTTTAGGGTTATTTCGAAGGCCAAGTTCTCACGCAAATTCTAAACTTGGAGTGTCTAAAAGTGAAAACAGAACGGGGACAAACATTTCTGTATCAGAAACTCCGAATTATGGAAATGGTTAGTACAGATACAATCTTTGCATTTGTTAAGGAAGCTTCTGATCTGTACAAGGTTGTTTTTTTCCAATTATTGAATTGATTGGTTTGGTGTTGCAGCACTTTTCCAATTTAAATTAGACGCAGGACACAGAGAGATTTGTCTTTGTTATTTGGAAGGATAAGCGAACATTCATTTCAGAACATATTATTTCTCAGAGCTCGGAGACATCCTGTTTCGAAGAGGTTTGTTTTTTATGTTTAAATTTCTGGATATTTCTTAATAGCTTTTTGTTACATATGCTTGACTTAAATTTTTGTTGTAATTTGTGGAAAAGTAAGTCTTTTTATTTGTATTGGTGCTTTGTTCTTAGACGTTTGATTGTACGATTTCGTGTCTTCAATAGGTTTTACATGACGTTGCTAACGCTCCAAGCGTAACCTTCAATCAGATATCAACAATGTATCAGCTCGGTGTTATGACTGCGAAGAATATTTCATTAGCTAAGTTGGATGATATAGGTAACTTAATTTCAAGAAAAATTCATTTTTCTTTGGTCTAGTCATTTGCAAGTGATGGGTCGTGTTTCTAAACAATTTCGCTTTGATAAGCCTGATTACGCTCATCACTCATAGTGGTCACGGACAGAGATTTTAGGAGGACCTTCTGTTGAAATGAAATTTAAAATTGCTAATTTCGTTGTAGATTTGTCACTTCTGTCACGATTTTTGTGTATAGAAGAAGAAGTGAATGATGAGAAAATATCGTGGACATGGGACTACCTTTTTGCTAGTGTGAGTACAGAAATGCGCGACGAATGGGCGCAAGACGAGGGATATGATGATTATGATCATGAAGATGAAAATCTAATCAAATAGAAATGTTTTGATAGCTCCATATTTTTTTCATTATGGTAATGTGTTTATCTTTGAGCAATTTTAATTGAGTGCGAGGATTGTTAATTTCAGAAAACCTTACAAAATTTTTTTCTATTTTCGATTCTGCTCCTACCCAAGATTTTGTAAAGGACAACTGCACAGAATTTTCGAACTTTATTTTTACGTTCTAATAATATTAGATATTGATTGAATGGTCATCTCCATTACAAAACTGGAGTTCCCTTTAAATCTTAAATACAAAGGAGAAGATAAGTTATCTCTTTTTGTACTTTCCTGTTTTAGTGTCTTGTCTGACACTGATGGAAAACGCAATAAATTCAGGAAAAACATGTTAAATGTTTCAAGAAACACTATGTCATTTGTTAATAAATTGCTTGCTTAACTTTGGAACAAAGAATTCATTTTTTATGTTCATGTAGTAAATTGGATGTTGTTTTTCAGACCATTAACTACACATTTCAGGGTTCAAATTCATTTGAATAAGCGTACTGTTATTTGAAAAAAAAAATTACGAAAAGGCAACTATTGAATATACCTAACTGGAAAAACAAATGAGAAATGAATAAATGAAAAGTGAAAATTGCTTGTTTCTCTGATAGGTCACATTTTGGTTTGAGAAAAAACAACTTTAAATGCATTTTTTTTTGGGAGTGGATTTCTGAAAATCCCATATGTTATGCATGATTTTTTGGTGTTTCTAGAACAGGGTTAGCCTTCTCTCAAAGTTTCGAACTTCCCGGGAAGAATTTTTGCCAACTATTACTCATGAAGCGCAGTTGGAATAAGAGAATCAAAGGAACTGGAAATACAATAAATCGCTGGAAAATCTGGGTGGCTTGTATTGTTGTGATGAGCTTTCATTTCTCTTACGATAGTTAGAGTAACAAAGGCTATAGGTGAAGGTTACGGTGGATGTCCGCCATGCTGTAAAGTTTTTCAATCAAAAGATGTAGCAGGACATAAGCGTCAGGCTCTGATGAAGAGAATATTCGAATATTATGTTACGATACTGTATGAAAAGAATTCTAATGGGGGGTAAATATTTTGTTTTTACTGTATTGCTACCAGTCTGAGCCCATTCATTTTGTCAAAACATGTCAAGATCAAAAAGCACTTCATTATAAGTAGGGTGTTTGTTAATGTCTTTTTGTAGTTTGAAGAATTTGGCAAACAGATAAGAGTCTGCTAAAGGTGTTTGGGGTGGGCGAATTCATCTGGTCTTTATTATTTTTTTTGTCAACAGGTTTAATGTTGCAACACTCAGTCACAATCAAGAAGTTGCGAGTATCTCGGGTTACTTAAAATTTATTTTCGTTTAGAGAAAATCGAGTAAGCGCTCCCACAGTAAAATATTAATTATATTAATTATTTTCCCAACATATCGATAAATCTGAAATAGAAATCTGCTGAAATCGATAAAAAAGGATACTCTGAAGGTTCTATGTGACTCAGATTTTTTGTTTATTAACTATCATTAATATTATGGATTTTGTGTAAACATTTCATACAGAGTGAAGCTGGAAACAATATGGGTTCCTTATATCGTAGTGAATTGATGTCTCTTTGTCAATTATTTCTGCATTCCGAAATGGCATACGATGAAGTTGCGAAACTTGGTGAACTTGCTATCATACATTTCATTGATGTGGGTTAACTGATCATTTTTTTTTTTTTGGAATATTTAGATGAATATTAATCAGTGAACTTAGTAATGAATGAATTTGAACAGTCAAAACGAAAACCATAGTAATACTCGAATAAGGAATATAGTTATTTGCATAGTCTTTCGAAACCTACGACTTTTGCTAACCTTTCTTCATTTAAAGGCTTAATCTCTTTTACTTCTTACCATCCCGATCTTATCCAATCCCTATCCTAGAATTTGTTATCCTCGCTTCTAACTTGTCTAGTAAGTTTCTTTCCCTGTTGTAATCTCAATTATCCGGTGTCGAATTTCCCTTTGCAAACTCGGCTTTTTCCTTACAATCCTATTTATATAATTAGTTTTCAAATGAAATATCACAGTTTTAATTAAAATAGTGTAAGTGACCAAATAATTTAGCCGTAATTTTTATTCATTTAATCGATTATTTTCATATCTGTAATTTTGACTCAGGAAACTGCCCTCATTTTAGTTGAATTCTGAAATCAGTTCATTCCAAAAACGTTTTGCAAGTGATTTGAAACGATGTGATCTAATGGCACAAAAACTAAGTATCGTATTATTTTCAGTCTAATTTATTTATTTATCCATTCTTTTATACCTATTCGACTGTCAATTATACTACTGAATTGTATAAAGTATATCTTAAAAGCATTAAACAAAATATGTTTTGAAAATTATTCAATATCTTTTATTTAATAACTTTCATAAACTCATTCAAGCATTCAGATAATAATGATTATTTAGAGTTTATTGAAGATCAAATTCTAGCAGATTCTATCCCAATACCGCGACTAAATGGATTTGTTCCTGCACTATTACCAACCGAAATGAATACACTTGAAGTATTTTTAAATAAATTACCTCATAGAACAATTTCAAACTTTTCCACTAAAATTAGTCTTAAAAATTTTTTCAAATGATATACTTTTTCTAGTTTAAGTGCATTTATTTTTTAATTTTTAAAACTTCAAAACTTCAAGCTTGTCCTTTTTTGGGATTAATTTTCAGGCTGAAATTGAAAAGATTGAGGAACAATTGATAGAAAATAATAAGAATATGAAAATTATGATGGTTAATTATGAACAGCTAAACGAACGCATGCAGTGCATTAGTAAAGTGCAACAACTTCTCACAGATGTAGGTATTTAAGTAGACGTAAAAATTTTAATCTTCTTTTAATGAAAAATTTTTTGTCAATTTTGAAAGCCGTAAAATGAGCTAATTTGAGATTTCTAATAAAACATTCTTGAGTTTTTTTTTTTGCAAAGACAAAAAGTTGAACAGATACAAAATTTCCAACAAATTTAGAGACAGCGACATCAAGCTAAGCATTCAATGTCGGCAATGGATCATCAAAATCATCCAACTTCCGGTATTGGCGCTATTCGTCGCAAGCTAACTAATGTGATGGTAGGGAAGAAGGATAGTGATATCTCAAGTCCAATGTCAAGTATTTTTTCAGGCGAAAACTTAGATGTCAGGTCTGATATAAAATGTTTGTAGCATAAAAAATTAAGATTTTGCAATTGATCCATTTGTTTTTCCTATTTCTTGTCAAATTTTCAACAATGGAATACAATGGATCGTATATTTAAAGTGAACAATACTGAATAAATTAGCTTCTTCCTTCTAGTTATCGTTGCGTTATTGTTGTTCTTGTTCCTTTTTATAATTTCGATAACAAACATTTTAACATTTTCAATCACAGTTTCATTGCCGGAATTGTGGAACGACGTCATTCGACGGCATTTGAACTATTGCTTTGGCGAACGTGTGGTTGGAATGCTTTTGTGCGCACTTTTACCATTGAATTCAGCGAAGATCCTTTACTTGTAGGTCTTTTAAAAACTTCACTTAGAGCATGCCAGGTATTTTCACTCTTCCTAATCACTTCTTCCTTTGATGCTAATAAAGGATTGATTGATCATGGAAAGTAGTAAGACTTTTGAATATCGATAATTCTTTGTTAACCATATTCTAATCAATTTCATATTCAAAAAATAAAATTGCTTGCATTTTATTTTGAAATTGCTTTAGCATAATGTTTCACCGAAAAATATCTTCTTGGTATTTTTTTCCAGTGCAATACTTGGATTACAAGTGAGAAAAATGTGTCAATGGTTAGTATCTATAAAAGTATTGTATTTTTTATCGTATAATTTTCGAATAAGAAATTACATAGATAAAAATTATTTAATTCTAGCTATCAAGCGAAAATATACGATTATAAACATGCAATAAATGATCGATTGTCAGAAGTAACAAATTCATTGCGACGTATCAATGATTTTAAATCGGTAATTGAAGAATCAAGAAAATATCGCAATGCATTACTCCAAGCAACTGCTTGCAAAGTTCATGAATGGGATATTAAGGTTAAATTTTATTAACTATTCATTAGCCAATCGCTCTTCTAATTTATGGCAAATTCTGTTTAAATATTTTCAAATCATTTCGTCACATACTTCATCTTCCGGAAGTTTCGACTAATTGTAAATTTGGTAGAAATTTTATTAAAACAATCTTTGAGTGCTATAATAATTTTGCAACTCAATTTAAAATTTCGGAAAAGAAAATCTTCCTTTTAAAACAATATTAACGAAGGCGAAAATATTTCATTGAAATAATGAAATAAATTTGGACAAACAAAGTGATAAGCGCATATTGTAGTGATAAATTAGAAGTTACATTTTCAGTTGCAAAAGATGTGTACTGTATTTGAAGCGATGAATATGTGCAATGTTGATATCACTCAACGATATTTAATCGCTGAATGCTGGATTCCAACCGCTGATGTAATAAATGTTCGAAATAACTTAAATAAAATTGGCATGGTATATGCTATGTTTCTTTTTTTTTTTGCTTCTTATTTATTCCAAAAGTTTCGAACAAATTTGATAAAATATGATAAATCATGATAAAATTTCAGAAATTGAATAAATGTTATAAATTAAATGAAATTTTTGCAGGCAATGAATAGCTCTGTTGGAATGTCTGTGTTGTGCGAAATTGATACGAAGAAAATACCACCAACATATTTTCGTGTCAATAAATTTACAAAAGTTTTTCAAAGCATTGTTAATTCATATGGTATAGCAACATATCGTGAAATTAATCCAGGTTGTTTACTTTATTTTTATAAATTGAACATTACAAATCCTTGTCTTTTCTTGTTTGATACTAATTTATCCAATTTTTTTCATTCATTTCAAACTCTCATAATCTTTTCCTTATTTTTAGCTCCATGGACAATAATAACATTTCCATTTTTATTCGCAATAATGTTTGGTGATGCTGGCCATGGATTAATTATGTTTCTTATTGCTCTTATAATTATTCTACTCGAAAACAAAATTGAAGCCAATGATGAAGTTTGTTAATATAATTATATATTATGATTATATTTGTTTGTTATATTTGTTAATTTGTTATTATTTGTTAAATTATATTTGTTAATATAATTATATATTATGTATATTATGATATATTATGGTGACGATGATGAAGTTAATATATATATATATATATATTCTTAAATTCTGAATTACATTTACATACCATACATCATTAGTTTTAGTTTGAAAAGTAATTAATTATTTGGTTTAATTTTAATAATCAAATTTAAATGAATTAAAAAATTTCATATTGCAAATTAAAAATTTATATAAATTATGTTTTATGCAAAAAATTTTTTTTTTATTCATTTCAAAAATGATTTAACTTTTTGGATTATTACAGATAATGGGAACATTCTATCGTGGACGTTATATCATTCTTTTAATGGGACTTTTCTCAATTTATACCGGCTTCATTTATAATGATTTCTATTCACGTTCAATAAATTTGTTTGGAAGCAGCTGGCGCAATCCCTATGAGTAATTATTTAATAAATCCAAATTTCTATTTGTTTTTTGTTATTAAAAATTATCAACAACTCTCCTCACTATGTATGTATTACATGCTCTGTAAAAGTTTTAAATTTATCACAACTTTCATTCATTCAAATACTTTTTTGATTTTTTTACTGTCGCTTTGTATGCTTATTTATGAATTAACAATGCATTAAGTGCCAGCTTGTTCAATCTAACACAAAATGAGCAGACTGCGCACATTGATTTAACATTACCGCCACAATATGCATACGACAGAGATAAAGTAAATTTTCATTGTTTATAAGAAAATTAAATTTTCATCAATTTTTAAATTTTTTCATTTGCAATTTAAACTTCTATATTTTTGAATAGATTTTATTTTACTAATAATTATCCGAGAGAAATTTATAAAAGATTTTATAGGGTCCATATGTTTTTGGTTTGGATCCAATTTGGAATTTAGCAGAAAATCGACTAACATTTACAAATTCAATGAAAATGAAAATATCCATTATTTTTGGTATCACACAAATGACATTTGGTGTTATCCTAAGTCTTATTAATTTCTTGTTTGTTTTACATTTTTAACCTGTTATTTTGGTTTGGATCCAATTTGGACTTTAGCAGAAAATTAATTTTTAATTTTACTAAAATTTTAAATTCATTTTTGCAAAAAATTGAGTGATTTTTTTTCTAAAAAAGAATTAATTGCAGCGATTGAAAAGTATTCAAATTAAATTTAAAATTTTAATGATGGAAATTCTTATTGCATATTTGTAGGAATTTTCGATCAACGATCGATATTTGCTTTACATTTATACCACAGATTTTATTTCTATCTTCTATATTGATTTATCTCTGTATTCAGGTCAAATTTATATTTTCATTGAAGATGTATTTTAAAAAAGTTTAAGAATATCTTTTTTTATGTTCTTTATTTCATGTCAACTTATTTGTTATTTAGCCTTTGTCGAGAGATTTTCATTAGTTCTTTTTGTAAAATTTCTTTTAAAAATACCTTAAATATAGAATTTATGTGCTAGATTAACAGACATTATGATGTTATGATCCTTTTTTAATTTAGATGATAATTAAGTGGCTCATGTTCGGCACCAAATCAGATGTTATTTTCGGCTTTTTTTATCCAGGATCACATTGTGCTCCATCACTTCTGATCGGATTAATCAATATGTGCATGTTGAAACCACGTAAGCAAGGTTTCTGGAATCATACCTCATCTACCGAATTAGAACATTGTTATTTACAGGAATGGTATCCATATCAGGTAATAAAGTTATCACAGTGATATATGTGTAAATCACAGATAAATAATGCGATGGTTCTTGAATTTCTTAGCTTTTCAGCCAGTCGAATGCATAAGATGAAGAAAGAACATACAATAATTGAAATTGAAGAATATAAGCTGCAAAAAAAATTTAATGATGCAGTTTCATTGCGTTGAAAACATTTCAATGTTTTAATGCAGAAAGTATTCATATTTAATTATCGATTATCTTTACCACTAGAATTTAATGCTGTACATAAAAGTACCCTTCAAAAGAACCTTCAAAAGAAAATCTACCCTTCAAAAGAAAGAAAATCAAAAAATTCAGATTATAGGGTGCAGTTGAGAAAGGTCTTCTGATATTAGCATTACTTTGCGTACCAGTAATGCTTTTAGCGAAACCTATTTATCTAAAATTTAAAATGCGGAAAATTGGAGACGAAGAAGTTGCAAATATTGATAAGGAGAAGGTGAAAGTTTGTTCATCTTACTTATTTGCATTATCAGCGCATATTTTTATTTCTGTGGTGAACCAATTTATATCCACATTTTAGAATATAAAACAAAGAAAATATCATTTTTTTCATTTAATTACTATATCAGGCTGATTCATATTTTTATAGTATGTTAAAGTTCAATCTAATTCATTTCAAATCATTTATTTTCTTTCAAATTCTCATGATTATAGCTCGATTTTACGAATGTTATGATGTACCAAGCAATTCATACGATTGAATTTACATTAGGTTGCATATCACATACCGCTTCTTACCTTCGCCTTTGGGCACTTTCTCTCGCTCATGCACGTATGTATTTTAAAATTCATTTTTACTCAATTTTAAAATCACTTTGAGTCTGGCAAAAAAAATAATGTTAATTCAATCTTAACTGGAAGATTCAGCGAATTGATGAAAATGACAAATTTTTTGTGCCATTTATAATTTTAGAGCTTTCTGAAGTTCTGTGGTCAATGGTACTTAGTAATGCTTTTTCATTTAACGCTTGGTCAAGTGGTCCAATATTGTATCTCATCTCGTGGATCTACGGAATGCTTACATTTGCTATATTAATATTGATGGAAGGACTTTCTACTTTTTTACATGCGTTACGATTACATTGGTATCACTTAAATAAACAACTTATAACTTATAAATTTTCAACAACTTCATAAGTTCAACAACTTATAAATTTCCTATTTGTAGAATTCCTCTAATGAGAATTTAATTATTTTATATGCATCTTTTCTTAAAAGATTTTATTTCAGGATTGAATTTCAAAGCAAATTCTATAGTGGTCATGGATATTCATTTAAACCTATTGTATTTACCCAAATGAAATCCTTCAAATTTAACAGTAAGAAAGATGAAAGTGCTTGTTAATCCATAAATTGATGAAATTAAAATCAATTGCAAAATTTAATTCTTATAATAGCATTCATCATTAAATAAAAACAGTTAATTAAAAGAGCATTTCATTTATAAGCATAGTTGCAGTAAAATCAGAAAAGCAGTCGAAAGTTAATAAAATCAAAAATACTGTAGCAAAAAAATTATGTAACAGTGAAATAAAAAATCTTGAGGTCAATTTTGATAACTTAAGAGATTTTAGGAAGGAATTAGAAGTAGATGAAATAAAGAAGGAAGAAAGTGTAGCAGAACAAAGAGGATACATGTTAAAGTATTCAAGCAATAATTCATTCAGTTACACTTTGTAGGAATAAAAGTTCAATATAATCAGCTATGCAAATTTATGCATTAAAGTAATAAATTCCTCTAAATCTCATGATCGTTAAACCAAAAGCAATAATTGCAAAAATTAAATGTTCGAGGAATAAGAAAAAGAAATCAAGAATATGTAAATGATTGAGAGATTGGACATTGAATTTGTCGAGAATTAAATTATATCTTTCAAATGTCTACTAAAACAAAAAAAGAAATTAATTGCTGTACTTTCGCGATACTTATAAAGTGCACAGTATTTAAATTGGGAAATTCATACTGAATTATTATCATTTATATTTCTATAATTTGACAAGTGGTCTTTTTCCAAACGGTAGGAAGGGAGGACTAAAGTCACAAGTATCTGTTGCAGTAAGTTTTCATTTTCGGCATTGTAGAAAATTTGGGGCTAACAACGCTAAAGAAGAATTTGAAGACTTTAGTCATATCTGATTATATAAATGAGGAATATGAGTGAATTATATGTTATGTTATGTTCGTATTTCTCTAGAATTTATCGAAAGTTGCTCATAATTGTCACAAATAAGGGAGAATTGTGATTTTTGATAGAGTTTTAATTGATAAATTTGCAGGATTAAATATGATAAATTCATAGTTATGATTAAAGCATTGAGGAATGATTGCAGTTAGCTTGCAGTTAGCTACAATTATCATGCTAAATTTTGATTTGCATCAAAATCAATTGATTTCTTTTAAAAATTTTATTATTGCATTTTATCAAACAGAAGAGGAAAATAAGATATGACAACTACGACGGCACAAAAAGCAGAACCAGCGTTATCCATAGATCCGGAAGCGGCAATTTTTCTTCCGAATGGTGGCAGATCAGAACATATGCTTGTCAATATAAGTGACAAACGACTTGCTGTTAAAGTGGGATTCATTGCATTTATCTATTCCAAAAATAGGCCTTAAAAAAGTAGAGATGGAATAAAGAAGAAGAGCATCGATAATTTTGAGCATTTCCACAAGCGATAAATGATTTTAAGTTTAGAATATACTAGAAGATATTTAAACACTTATTAATTTTGTTGACATATCATTAGAGAGATAATAATACGAAATGCCTGCTTGGCTTTCCAAGTTAATTACTGTATCATCAAGCGTTATATCGTGCTGAGGATATAATGATTGATCGTAATGGGATTTAACAATGGCCTTAAATATATAATTTCAGGTACGTTGTAGCGATAATAGCTTGTTTAGAGTAAGCCCAGTTTACATGTTCATAGAGCCTGGTTCATGTGGTAATCTCGTGATAACAAGGCTACCTGGTATTCAAATTTATTAACTCCTGAAACTCAAACTAAATTTTCACAGCACACTGTAGTATTAGAGTTATATAATAAAAAGAAGAAAATTTAATGTCAAAAAAGCAGGTATAATCATTTATGTTACAGTTTTATCCTATAATATTTGTACTGGAATATATTGTAAATACTTTTCTATTTAAACTTTCCTACGATCTACAAAATTACGACAAAAATTCAAAATAAGATTCTTTCAATCGTAAATAATTCTCAACAAATCATATTTTTATGATATTAATTTTAGTTCGGAATTGAAAAGGAAAAACAATCGTAAAATTATTGTTATATAAATATTTCTGTTACTGTTTACAGGTCCAGCAAAATCTGATAAATTAGTATTTCATTATCTCATTTGTGAGCCAAATGATTTGGAACCTAAAGAAGTATTTAAAATAAATTCGCAAAAGTCACCAGAAATGCTGAAATTGCCAATAAAAATTATTTCTGCTGAAGATGTTCCTAAGGTGAAATAATAATCAAATATAATAATCACTTGAACTATGACATTTTCATCACTTGTCCATTTCTCAAATTGTTATTATTTCCTTTGCACAAATTACATCTTTTCAATTTTATACTATCATATATTACCGATAAAATACATGTTGGAATAATTTCGAAATTAATAATTTATTCTATACAGAATGAACTGTTGCACAGATGAAGAAGCATCGTCACCATCATTTATATTGCAATGTTGTAAATACTCATTCTCTATTTCTGTAAATAGGAAAAAATACTTTAAATATTATTTATTCAGATTGGACAGTCACCAACATCGATAAGTCAACGAGAACCTTAACGATTGTTCCAGTGGAGAATATCGAAAATGTTACAATTTATATATATATATATAAATAGGATAAAAGTTTTATATATTGTCACAATACGTAGGTAATTTAAGGTAATTTATGTTAAGAAGTCAAAATTAAAACTATGATAAATTAATTAATATGAAGATATTATCACAGTAAAATGCTTTTGCTTCAAATAATATGTAAAATGTATCATCATTCATTTGTAAGGCTAAAATCATTTATCATATATTCGAATAGAATTGAATTAAATTAAAAATAATAACAAATTATTCCTAAATGTTTCTTTCCAAATATTGTGTTTGTGAAATGCATTGGATCTTTTCAACTTTCAACATTTTTAGGATGAAATCTGTTGAAAAATTACAATTAAAAGTGAAGAGAGGAAAGTTTTGAGATAAAGAATTTATTATATTATCACAAATTTACAGCAAAAATGCAGCAAGAAAATATGTTGGAAATTTTTAACATAAAGAATAGAATAAGAATTATGTTAAAGAAAACGGAAAGCAATTGAAATTTACTTTCTGTATTATCATGGTTAATAAAGAAGTATTCTATATTATCATGAATAATAAAAAAAGTACCAAAATTAATTTTCATTAAATTAACTTTTTAAAACTTGAGGAATTTTTAGATTTAAGTAAAAAATGGATTCGGGGAAATTGTTGAATATTTTATGATAGTGATATAATTACGAAAATCAAACGGTTCAATAGAAGATCGATTGTAGTTTGAATATTCTTAGTAAATTTGCACCCATTTTATGATATTTTATTTTTCAAATTAATAATTTCAACATAATTTAGGCAAAATCTAGTTGAAAAAATAGGCTTCTCTCATTTAACGATCCTTCAAAAGCCTTTTAATCCATCATTTTGCAAAACAAAGTAATCCCTTATTTCACCCATACTATTCCATCTTCCGTATCCATCCTTTGTTCTTTTGAATTATCAATTTTTCAATCACCAATTAATATGAATATTTTTGTCTGGTAATTTCTTGCATTAATTTTAAGTTCTCGAAGAAAATTTGAGTGAAATCAGATAATCGAAAATCTAACAATAGCCGTTATCAATGCAACAGCTATCAGTCATATTCTTTTTGTCATTCTCATTTAAATCAAATATTGCAAGCAAATTTCATTTATCAATTCTAATTTCTTTTTACCTGAGAAGATAGAAAAAACTTTTGTTACTAACAAGTTTTTTAAGCTAAGAAATTCGTGATAGATTGCAATAATTATAACTTTTAGTGCATGCATGCATGCATGCATGCTTGCTCACTGATGCATGATAGCAACAATTTTAAATTACATTTCATTTTATATTAAATTAATCTCAACAAAAAAAAAATAGTGTTTTATTAGAATGCTTTTGCAATAATCACTTAAGTTTAAAATCGTTTATTAAGATTTAAAATTGTGGTGTAAATTTGGACTATTACGTTTTCTAATTCTGTAAGTATAAAAACAATTTAATAATACCTTTGAAATATCTAATGGTGATATAAGGTCAAGCAGAAAATTTCATCATTTTAGATCGAGCATTTGATTTCTGTTGTGAATCGGAATGTTGCAAGAATTGAAATTTACCGCATGATTAAAAGTTAAAAAAAGCTGAAGTTTTCTTTTGCATATTTAAAGAATTCTTTTTTTCAACTTACATCATTAAGAAAACGGAATTCTAAAATAATGCATTTTTTGGAAATGATATTTGTCGTTATCATTTGTGTAATTCAGGAAGAATAAATAAACATAGCAGGTGATAAAACTGCAATTATGCTAACTCAACTCGCACATATTACATTTAGCAATGAATAATTCATAATGCAGTAGGAAATATTTTCAAATGTTCACAAAAATATACTACACTGAAGAATGTTTTATTGATTTCATTTTTCTTTTCAATTTCTTAAGATGAAAAAATTCGATCCTAAAATCATTAGAATAAATATTTGGTTTATAGAATTTAATTAGTTAAGATAAAAAATTTAGGTCAATTTTAGGTTTTCTTGAGAAATTGAAAATTAATAAAAATTAAAATAAATATGAGGAAGATAATTCTTTTCCCATAAAAACAAAGCTCCTTAAAAGATTGAACGCAGAAAAAACGATTGATTCGTTAAAAAGATACCAGTAAAAAAGGAAAAGAAATGATAGAAAATATTTGTAATATATATATATTAATTATGATTAATATTAATTATGAAATGAGAAGCAAAAAGAAATGAACTAATTCAATTTTATTTCATTTGATCTTTTTTAGAAATTAAAAAGAAAACAACAAATGAGTATAGTCGAATAGAAAATTTAATTATTATAATTTTTTTGATAATTCAACAAATTGTTTTTTGAAATGATGTTTAAAATGTTAGCAATAAAACTCTTCCACTGGTTCAAATCGGCCTATAATCAGTTGATTTTTGTTCATCAAAATTCAAAAATGTCTTCTGGATATGCTTAAGTCCTTCATTATTTCGTATAACGGAAATATCGCAAATAGAAGTTCCCAAATTGACTTATCCTTAAAACAATATCTACTTTGCATTAAATTATATATTAGAACTGTGTAATTAATATATTATTTTCAAATGACATAATGCTAATCAATATTTATTTAATATGCTTTAAATTTTCAATCAAATTTTTGAAAAGCTTTCCAATTTGAGTAAAGTGATTAGTAAGGATTATTAATTGAGAAGAATGATAATAATTCATTACCAACTTCGGTGGTTATCAGAAAGCCATTTCATTGGCAAGAAACATGAATGAATGAGCGATATATTCCAACAATATAATATAACGTTTAAAACCATGTATTCGGTTAGCAAATTCATTTATCAAAATGAACGATGAACATAGTAGCGAAAATAGTGTGCCAATAAAACGTATCAAAGCTGCCTGAAAAAATTAGTATCACAAAGTTAATTCAGTATTTCAACTTAAACTAAATACTTTAGCTGTATATATTACAGGTATTTCTTTTTTTCTTTTTATCTTATATATTTTTACAATGTTGCATAGTTTTAAATTCCGATGCCAATAATATTTTATTATTTCAAATTTATCCATAAGCGAAAACTTACATGATTTGAATACGTTCTACTCTTAGATCCGAATTTATAAACAGCACTTGCTGCTCCAACCGTAATACAATTTAGAGCTAAATACAATAAAGCAAAAGTGACATATACAGGAATCGAATAGTAAAGATCGGCAACGCAGTAGAAAATAAGGAAAGCATAATAAAAGACCAATAAAATAGCAAAATTATTCCATACTCGCTTCACGCAATCTATGAATGTCAGTAAATATATTGTTTTACCAAATGACTTAATAAGTGAAGTCAATTGAGAGATACTTCGTTTTGTGGGCACAAAATAAGATGATATCGCTGAAAGAATAATTTTTGCATTAGTAATCATTCTAATAACACAGAAATAAATAAGCTGCTTAATATGAACGAATGCGTAACAGTTATAGTTATATAATTAAAAAACGGTTGCTTAATTAAAAATCAAAATTTGCTTCTTTAGTTTTACTTAATTCCTTTAAAAAATAAATTTTAGTTACTCAATATATCTAATGTTACATCAGTATTCCCTCTTTATATATATTAAAAGTCAGGTAATATTTACTGAATATTTACTTTAGCCAGGTAATATTTATTGACAATCAGGTAATATTTACTTATAATATTTACTGACAGGTATATTTCATTAGGGCATATTTGATATTACCCTATTCATACCACAATGCTTTCAAAACATCATTCTACTATTTGATAATCAATTTCTTCTTTTCTTTTGTATTTTATAAGGGAATGTTTAACATAAAAGAAATCGCAAGTACATACCAGCCAACAAAAGCCAAACTGTAGTAAGGTAACGCTTCTTTTCTGGCATCGTAAGATTCATAGTGCAAAGGGCAAGAATCAAATATGGTAGTGAAACTAAGAATGGCGCTTGTTGTCGAAAACCATCACTTTCTATGTAGGCTAATGCTACCAATATAAAATATAAGGACAATATTTGAACTGGTCCTGAGAATAAACCAACTATCATTGCCTGAAATATGCATCATATATATATATATATATATATAGAATACTAAATGTTAAAAAAATTTTGTCGAAATATTATATAATGTTGTACACAAAGTTTAATCTGTTTTCTAAGGACAATATTTATAAGGACTTCTGAAATTTAGTCCTTTTCTCGTCCTTTATTTTCTAAACCATTTAATATTTGAGAATTGCAAGAGGATGAGGAGTACAGATGTCATGGAATAGAATGATTATCATAAATGATAATTCTGTAATTTGAAGAGAGACAAAACTTTATCGTTAATTACATTAATCAAAATTTGATCAAAATTCTAAATGTTAATTTATTAGCAATAAGAACTTAAACTAATTTATTCGAAATCTCCTTCGTTCAAAAAAATTCTTTGATCATTTCAGGGTAATAGAAACTAGAATAAATGACTGGTAGCAAATAAAGTTCATACGAAATTATCAATTGAATCGTGATGAAACGTTAAAAGACAGCCGTTTTTGTTTACTTAAACATTTGAAGTATTCTATTGAGCATCTATGATGAAACAATTTATGTAAGACAATTTTTTCGTATAGAACATGTTTTTAGGAAATGATCTAAAATCTGAAATAATATGAATAAATTTATTTCATGGTAAAATCCCTTAACTTGAAATAGTACTGTAAGAGTTATAGCTAAAAAAATTTTCAACATACTACATTACTGATATTATCAATACTTATGCTTGTTAAAAGGACTGATTAGTGTAAGGCAGATATGCAATATTTCACCGTGCTATAGTTTCACCTTTAAGAAAACAATGAATTGAAATATAAAATTGGAAATACTGAACAAGTACCTATAAAACTCTATCAGTGTAATATTCAAATAGTACGGATAGTAAATCTAAACTGTTAATTAATATTCAAAGTATATTATGATATAAATATTACAATAATGACATTTATCAACAATACAATGCAATTATTTGGTTTACAAAGCATCTTTGAAATTTGTTATAAAGATTAATCAAACTGGAAATAGTGCTAGCAATCGATGTTTATTTCTTAGTTGCATCGATAATTTAATAAAATATTTGTTGTTTGTCGAAGCTTTTAAATATCCGAAGTATTGTAATGCGGGAATATTTGACAAACAGAATTATTTACCTTTAATGATCATTGCAAAAATCAATTATGACAATGGGAAACTAAATCAAATTCATCCGAACAAGTTTTGAATTAACCAATTTTCAGAGTTATTTCATATTAATGCAAATGTTTGATTTAAAAAAAAATAATAGTTCAGATCAACAAATTAAGGCCTAAAGAAAGAGTGATATTATGAAAATGGTTTACATACAGGTTGATAATACTTTTGAGCTATTTTCAATATTTATATTTAAAAGCATATAGATAGAGGTTCAAGATCGATTTTTAAACACAGAATACAAGATACATTTTTACGCTTGATACATGGGAAGAAATAAGAAGGCGGAAGAAATAGAAGTTGTCAAGAGGGCGATAAATATGAGAAGAGATGAATGAAAAAAAAAAAGATTTCAACGTTGCAGAGAAATTCAGGATATTTGACTCTTTAAAAATAACATTATTTATACGTCAGTGATGTAAGAATGTTTAATTACAAGTTGACAGCATATTTTCATCCATAAGTAAGCATTTTTAAACAACATTATGGGAAAAAATTAAAAGTGTAACATTTCAAAATGATGAAAATATTTTTCCCTGAAGTTTTAAAGTGCAAAGATTTTCCAAACATCCTTTTATGGACATATGTTTGATATGATGTTGTATATTTAGCCATTAGATCAAGTAATAATAATAATTACTTTAATTATTGAGTGTGAAGGATTTCTTGAATATGAAAATAAAAATATGAATTTATAGCCTGCATTGACTAACTTGATAATTATTTGATTGAATAAGGGTGAAATATTCTAATGATTGAAATGATAGTTGTAACAGCAAGAGGATACAAGGGAAAAAGATGAAAATGATTTATCGGGTGATACGAAGAATTTCTCGTTGGTACAGAATTGTTATAGCATTCAAATAAAAATCAAAAATAACTTAATTACAAACTTTATGATCAAATTTTTATTAGCAATTAACTCTATTATTAGTAATTAAATCTTAGCAGCTCTTAGCAGCTCTAAATTTGTTTTGCATGTTAATTGGCAATTAATTATCATAAAATTCAAATTATTCCGGCTAATCTTGCAAAAAAAAAATTTTAAATTTCAAAAATTTTACAAAAGCTATAAACGAGTTTAAGCCAGAATTTAATATTCAGGAAGAGAAGGCTTACAGAAAATGAAAAAAACAAAAGAAAACGGAATTACTGAAATTAAGAGATTTCAAAAACCGATGAAATGTGCCACCCCTTTGAAGATTTTCAGAGAATTATTTTAATTAGCTTGCAATTACAATTGCAAGCTAATTAAAATCTATCAAAAAAAAATTTTAGCGAAAATTTCTACAAAAAAAAAAATTATAAAACTTGGCATGAATCCAACGAATTTGAAATTCTCATTAAAGAAAAACCAAATAAACAATTTAGAAGCTGCACTTATTCCTCAAATTCCCTTTTATATTCTACTGTTGTTTACAAGAATTTCATGTGATATGGCATTTTAGTGAATAAATATGTTGTGGATAATCTGCAAATATGACTCATATTCGACTTAGACGGGAAATTTTAGAAAATTTTAAAAACAACCTTACCAAACTCTCTGTACAGAGAGAATGAATGTTCGAAATTTGAAAAGGGAAGTGGAATGCGATAATCATACTTTTTCCAATGGAAAAATAAAGATTGAATTTAAATAGATGAAAATTTCTTTTGGAATAATAATGTTTTATCGTATCGAAGCTTGTAATTGCATTAAGTAATTAGTTTTAGCCTGTGAGAAAGTCAAACATTTAAGACAATAATGAAGATAGTTTTATGACATTTTGCTGATTAATTTTCCTAATTCTGCTAAATTCCTAAAATTCCTAAAATTAAAATTAATTCCTATAATTCTAATTTTCAAAAAGATTGTTTTAAAGTGTCATAAAAGAATTCCTGTAATTCTAATTATCAAAAGATTGTTTTCAAGAAGCAGAAGCCTTTATAGTATTTTCTGGATCTTTTCTAGTAAGTGCCGATAAATATGCAAATAAGGTACATCTCATAAGTGGGGAAGAAGTTAACGGCAGATCAAACTGTGGCAATTGTCAAAAGAGAACTAAATGCAGGAATTTCTTTACAGCGGTAAAAAGATTATGCATCTTGGGAAAAAATTTTCTGATTCATAATAATCAATTCATCTCTGCATCTATTGATAGCTATTGGTAGTAAGAAATTTCAGAGTATTTTCTTAATTTGTTGTTCACTAAACTATCAGATCAAAATCTAACCTCAGAACAGATACTAAAGTAAATCGAATCATATTTGATATAAGACAAATAGCTTATTAAGAAAAAAATAGCCTTAGATGATTTTAAATTGCATTGAAATTTTAATACTCTTAGTATTAAAATGAGTGTGTGTGAGAAATCATTGAGAATGAATGTTTTTAGTGGGATATTCTACGATAGGCCTACCAACGTTCATTCATAGAATTTCTACGATATTTTCTACGAATTCATAACTTCACATTCTCGAATGAATTTAAAGAGTATTTCATTTAACAAGGAAAAAACAAAGGTTTATGTTACGAGAAAATAAAGTAATAAGAATAACTGTTCAATTCGTAATTCCGGAAATGTTTACGGAATAAAATTTGGTTAGGATTAATTAGTTTTTGATATGATTAAAGAAAATGACTGATTTTTTTGTTAATAATATAAATAATAGTGATGGTGTTGATGAGTGATAAATAAATTAGAAATTGCAAAATAATTGTAATGTTGAAATAAAATGTAGCAAGTGATAAAGTTAATATACTCTTTGATATATTGGATGACTTGTGCTAACCAATTCATTATTAAATGACTCGCATGGCTTGTGCAATTCAAATCGGCTGTCGTAAGAAAAATCAATAAAGGCTTACTCTCAATGTTTATGTTTTTGCAATACGCTGAAAAACTTTCCCAAATGGGATTGCAAAAATTGCTAGTTTGTTTGATTACTTTTCCATTGAACTACTTACTACGAAGAAAATTTCAAAATTCGTGTTGACTTTTTTTAAATTTAAATTTTTTAAATTCGGAAAATATAAGATAATTTTTGTGAATTTTCTTCTGAAGGACTGAAAATGCTTAATCTTACCGACGTTGAATATACTAAAAAGATGACTCAGAAATAGGAAAAAGAAACATATCAGCGCCTTTTTAATGGCCAATAATTGACAGATAACGAAAAATATCAAACTCACTAAATAATGAATGAGTATTAGAAGAGGATAATAGATTGATTAAAACAAATGTAATGCGCTGATATTTCATATGAATGAATGAATTAATTAATTAATTAGGGAAATATTTTGAGTGGAAACTAAAAAGTTTTGTGAGAAAAAATTGTGAGAAGAAGTGATAAGAGAAAAACTAACAAAACGGAATATTTACAATTAGTTAGAAAGAGTGGTATTTTTATTTTCTTGTAGTAATATGTATTTATCAAAGGCAATTGATCTTTTATCTCTTGTTATCATGTCTGATATTACATTCTGCTATAGACGATCAACTTTTGATTTAGTATCACATTCATATAATCCTTTTTAAAAATTATAAATGCTCTTCCTCCGTATTATTTCAATCATTTAGGTATGTAAATATGGATCATAATTAAAATAAATATCATTAAAAATGAACATCCAAGAACTATTGCCACCTTAATCAATGAATTAGTAAATTTGAAATAACTGTAAACTGGATTTATAATAAATGATAATTTGAAAATAGCCAAAAACGCTTGACGTGTAATGATATGTTAATAATATCGTGATTGTTATCATTTAGAATCGTGATTAATTGCTGATCATCGTGATGATAAGCAATTAATTTCAAAAAGAAATGAAATTTCCACGTGTATCTTGAGCAAAAAATTTTTTAACACCATTTTTTTTTCATTCAAGTTATTGTCAGCTTGCAAGGATAATTAATGCTTTAATTTTTGTGGCATAATTTCTTATTTTATCACACTGATAAAATAAGAAATTATATCAGTGTTTTTTGAATATATTAAGTGCATGTAATGTAAAAGTTAAGTGCATGTAATGTAAAAGTTAAGTGCATGTTAAGTGTAAAAGTTAAGTGCAAGCTTTTATCGTTGAATAAAATAGATTTAATTTGATTTAGTAATTCAGTTTGCGAAGATATACGAATAATCGTTTAAGGAAATTGAATCATTTTTTAAATCATTTATTTGGGTTAAGATTGAATTGACAAATCAAATAGCAGCTTTAATGGAATAGATTTGGCTTAATGAAATAATAAAACACAAATTACATCAACTAATTATATTCTATAGGAATATTTTAAGTAGTTTCAATTCGGTAAGGAATATTTAAATGCACTTAGTTTTCTATAGACCTAAAATTGTATATCAATAACTTACGACAGAAAAAAGAAAAACACATTTCATTTCATACAACATTGATCTCGGTTATTTTAAAGGAAATTTACTGAATTCCATTCACTGGATTTGAAATTTAATTTTGAAAGAAAAACGAAAGAGTTGGAAGAATTATACATTAACTAATTTCATTGATTACAGGTTAGTCTTTTTAAAGATATTATTAGCCAAATTGTAATCTTTGAAAAGATATTTAAGGTTTATAAATTATTTGCATCAAAGGATTTTAAAATGATTCTAAAGGATAATAAATCCAAAAATAATTATAAGGGCTTATCAGGTGGTAGCAATGAACAATGACTATTTGTCGTGCACAAATACACCGTTGGCAATAATTCCTAAATGCAATATTCTCTGCTAAAATTATTAATTTATAATTATATCTTCATTATTTATTGATTTTCGGCACACTAACTTGTTTAGTATTGATCCATCCAGGTATACTAGTTGCACTTCGCAACTGCATTCAAAACTAATTACACTTAAAAATTAGCAAAAAAAAAGAAGTGAAACTGTAACTGTTTGCTCATTCCGTATTTGTACTTATCAGGTACACTGATTGCATTTTGCAATTTTACAATTGATAGTAATACTTAAAAACTCAATCATATTATTAGGTCGGTGAAGATTTGCTCTATCTTCAATTCTCAATTTTAAATAATCATTTGATATATCATTTGATATATTTTAAGATATATAAATAATCTGTTTTTAAATGTGAAGAATATTTGGATATTCAACAATTCTAACATTTTCTTTTTGAATGAATAAGAATGAGTAAAAGAAGAAATGAAAATACAGCAAATCGAAATATGAAAAATGAGAAAAGATTTGTCATACAAAAAAATCTACTAAAAATATGATTAATTTCAAAAGTATCGTTGAATTATTTAACTCTTACAGTTCTCTGTGAAATATACACCAAAACTCATTCATATTTAATCCATGAAAAAATGCAAAGGAAATATGGATAGAAGAGAAGAGGAATGATACAATTATGATATAATTACAATGATGTTGAAGATTAGAATTTGTTGCAATTGCTGTTGTATCGATGAATTATCACTACATTGCTTCTAAAAATGCTTCTAAAAATAGCACATTTATTATCAATTTCTTTTGCATTATATCCAAGATCCATTAAAGGACAAACGAATAGATTTCACTAAATATTTCCACTATGTGTAATTTTCTTCATCTGAAAATTGCGAACAATTTCAAATATTCTGCATGTAACAGATGAGTTAATGATTCTGCATGTAACAGATGAGTTAATGAATAATGTATTATCATAGTAATTTATGTAAATAACAGATGAGTTAATGAATAATAAATTACAACAGTAATTTACGTAAATAACAGATGAGTTAATGAATAATGAATTATCATAGTAATTTACGTAAATAACAGATGAGTTAATGAATAATGAATTACAATAGCAGTTTACGTAATATATTTAAGCATTAAGCATTTTTTTCGGTTTACATTTAAACTGTCAATGCAATCAGAGTGGTTGTCATTCAAATGCTTCTTCTTCGTTTTCATCCCTGCAATTTGTGATAATTTAAAATTGAACAGAAAAACAGACGAAATGACAAGTGCTGGTATGAAATCCAACACAACTTGTTATTCGTAGGTTTTCTTTGGATTTCACTACAATTGCTTAGACGTTGTAGGATTCATATGTGCAGTTTGTCTTGAGTGCAATAAATTTACACTCTAATATTTAATTTTGAGAATACTGTAAAAATGTCGGAATATATGGGTACTTTTTATCAGCTAAAATATTTTGTTAGCATGGTATATCTATAATTTTTGAGTTGGTTATTCTTTATATATTTGTTAAATGATCTTTATACTGATAACAAATGGACAACATTTGAAATATTAAAAATTGTACAGGTTTTTCGGAGAATTCAAAGAAAATGGATCATTTCAGTTCATAGAGCTTCCAACAGTAGTTACATGCAATCGGAATGTACAACATTGCTTTGTGGAAGTTAGCAAAATTCTTCACATTTGCATGAAATTCATTCATGACAGAAAATGATGTTGAAATAATTAAAGAGATTGAAATTAAAAAGAATCATTTGAAGAAGTTAGATATTAAATCTTCGTCTTCCAACAGCCTTTGGAATATGAAGTAGAATATAGAAAGCGAAAAAATTTAATTTAGAATTTTGATTCATAAAATCAACATTAAACTCAATATTTGCTTTTTTGTTAGCAACATTTCAGCTCTTTGAATTTTTTGATTAGCAGCTGCCTGCAACATTTAGACTGTTCAGTGCATAAAATATTCATCAAATTTAGCAGTATGAAAAAATTATGTGACTTGTAGTGTAAAATTATAGGAAGTATGCTAATTTACAGTTTTATCGTCTTGCTTATTACACTTGGTTCAATGGACAATGCGATGATTCTTTTGCTTGTATTTATGAATCCGATTATGCATTCAGTAATGGATGTCAAGCGTTAGCATATTATACAACTATCTCACATTAATAATCACTTTAATATACTTATCATTCATCTACTGATAACTGATATATAAACCAATCAGATAAATGAATGAATAAATGATGCATATTTATATAGGAATTAAGTGTCTTTCCTGATTATTTAGGTTTAGAATATATTAATTCATGAAATATTCTCCACTTTCAACCGCACTAATTAATGTATCGGCAAAAATGTCGTCATAATGTGAATATATCTTATCAATGATTAATTAAATTTTAATCTTTTCCATGAAACAATTAAAGTTACAAAAAATATGATTTGGCGGTAATTGGCAATTTTCAAATAAATCAAAATTCATATATTAGCAACATTTCTTATTTCAGAACACTGCATGGTGGCGATCGATGTTGTTGTAGCAATAAGTTATGCAATTTTGATATAATTTTGAAGGAACGTCCCTATTTTGCAAAATATTTACCACAGCAACAAGTTTTGAAAAGTGAAAATATACCGTTGGAGTCACATTGTGGAAAAATTGAAAAAACAAAATCAAAAACAAAATCAAAATCAAAATCAAAATCAAATTGAAATTGAAATCCCTCGTAGAAGATGCACAATGCCATTATAGTTTTAAACCTACATCTATTATCTCATATTAAAAAGTTTCAATTTCATGCTCACAAAGCCTAGCTAATTAGTATACGAAAGCTATCCAAGAATTCAATTTCATGCTCACAAAGCCTAGCTAATTAGTATACGAAAGCTATCCAAGAATTCAATTTCTGATTCGATGTTTTGCTTAAAAGAATACGTTGGCAAAAAAATCTCAAACAGACAGTTTACAATAATATTTGTTAAGCCTTTTGTTGTTTAATTTATTGTTTCAAAAATTATAATCTTTCTATATTTTTATCGTAATCTTTCATCAACTAAATTTTAACATATCTCAAAGGAATAAATTTGCATGTATAAATTTTTTCCAAAAAATTTATTTATATAAATAAGGAAAATAAACTTTGCAACAATAATAATGCATTGGCGAATGGTGATAGGAATTTTTTTTTGATTCAACTACATCGATCGGTTCAGAGTTGTTTGCAAAGAGTGCCTACTTTTGGCCTTACCGAGAATGTATCATTTGATAGGATTGTCAGCAACAATGAAGATTTATGGAGAGCTACAAGAAAGGATATCCTTTCTCTACGAGATATATACATTATTAATGAAAAATCGTTGAATATGAAAATTTCGAGGAAGTATCAGAAACTTATAACGAAACGTGAAAGTGCATTTTCAATTGATGCTAAATACCGAAATCGAATCAATCGGCGTTGCGGTGATATTCATTCGTATTATTTGCCAGCCTTAAATGAATGCTATCGTATTTATCAGACACCTTACGATAATCTTAATGCCAGTTATGATGGTGATAGAAATGAATTAGCTTACGGTACAAGTCAATATGATTATATGTACAATTGTTGGGAGCTTTATCGCGGGAAACTACTCGATATCAGGGAAGTAGCGATAAAAGAGAAAATACAATTGGTGAAAAAGATAGCCTTGCAATTTTATAATATTACCGGACAACGTGATGCTATTCGGGTAGGCTTTATGATAAGTAAAAATTATGAAATAATGTCCCAGAATGGTACTTTTTACGACATATTGGATGGAGTAGACGTGAAAATGGATCCCATTGAACCATGCGATAATATTTGCTGTATTGTTATAAAATCGGATAAAATTGATGAGGTAGAAATGGAACAGGCAAGTTGCGATCATTCCTTATCGATACCCAACTTTTTTTGCCAGAAAAAGGGAAATGCTAGAAAATGCCAAAATTAGCATTTATCATCATCATCCAACCTACTTTCCTTCTCCACGCTCGTTAACTGATTAGCCCAATTGTAATCTTCAAGTGATATAATATGAAAGGAAGATTTATAAATACAATATATATATATATATATATATATAGCAATGCTTTGTGATAGATATTTTTAAATATCTCAAAAGTGCTGTTCCCAACGAATAAATTCATCAACTTATATCATACATATCATCTATATATCATCATATATCATCATATATCATACTTATATCATACAAATCTCATTTTAGGAAGCTAAAAAATTGAAATTTAATTTTATATATTAAAACCATATGAATCAATAGCTGAGAAATTTTCTAAGATGGAAGATAAGAATGTAGAAAAGTGTTAAAATGTACAATAATGTGAAATTGGTTTGAGAGCAGGAATAAACTAAATTGATGGATATCTCTAAATACTTTTAGGACTACGAACATGTATCGAAATTTTTTGATTTCTTTCTGATATAAAACTTTAGCTAATAAAAACTTTATGCTATGCTTTAGAATAGATTTAATTGAAAATTTACTTTAGATTTTGAATTAAAGTAGAGTAAAAGTTAAACATTGACATTGAAATCTTTTATTTCGAATCAATTACCTCTAGGAAGAAAGTAAGGTAGTTGAATAAGAAAACGATATAAGTAAACAGGTGAATAAGAAATCAATTAATTAAATTAAAGTTGCATATATCGGATTATAACATAAACTAATATTTTCACTTAAAATATTTATATAAGTGCAGGAGCTTCGCAAATGTAACTCAATGCTCGTGTACGATTATCACAACTTGTATACACCATTTTCACGTCAACTGTTACTCGTGTATCAACAAAAAATACGACGCAGCATACACTGGGACAGGAAACACTGTTATTTCGATATGAATGTTTCACGTACACTTTATCTAACACATCATAATGCTCTCCATTTTGTGAGATTAATTCGTATTTTCGATTTGTCATGAAGCCAACTTGGATTGCTTGTCGATTAAATGATCGTTGAACAAAATTTTTTATCATCTCTTTCACGAAATTCATTTTCTCACCAATATATTCCAGTCCTGTTTTCAAAAAGTTGATAGTTATGCTTATTCTATGTAGAAATTTCTGCAAAGATAGTATCAGAATCGAAGAAAAAAAAGAGGAATAATTTCAAGCTAGAGAATACAAAGTAAAAAAGTTTGTAAAAAAATACATTAATTGATCGCTATTATAATTATTAAAATAATTTAATTACACTTTTTCCATTCGTGCTTATGTATTTTTCGTCATTGTAATTTTTTGAGATTTATTATTTCAAAATTAAATTAATGTAATTTTAAATGTAATCGATAAAGTTAGGCAAGATAGGTTAGGTAAGATAGGTTAGGTAAGAAGAAGAAGGCAATTCATTTGCGCATAAAATATTATTTTTCAGTTTCATTTAAGGCAATTAAGCTTTAAATATTAATTTTATCAAATGGAATTTTTTTTTCGAAATCTCGAAATTTATGGAACATAACAAACCGATATCAAGCAGTTTGCCTCGATATTGTTGCCAGCAGTTGAATATATATTCGCTACGAGTACTACCATATGCAATCCTACGATCTGGATCAATGTTTAAAAATTCGGCGAGATTAATAAGATAGCATTCGTTGAGTGGCTCAAAATAATATGACTGATCATCACCACATCGCCGTGTCCATTCTGCTGGTCGTTTATCTTTTCTATCAGCTTTTGCTAGAGAAATAAAACCGACATTTTCATTTCTAATAGAATTTTCTACTCCATTTAAATCAATGTTGTCCTTTATAACTTCTATTCCATCTATGGTACCGATTTTGATACCCTTCGTATCCAATTCCACAACTTGTCCTCTGATTATTCCAAATAATAAAATCACTTTCCAGCAACCATTCATTCTAAAAATAGGATAAAAATAGCTTTTCGTATCATTTAATAGATATGCCTACGCGACAAATTATAGGAAATTTACATATTGTTGAAATTGTAGAAATTGTAGCGAATATTTTCTTGCAGAAATTAAGATTTGAACTTAAGCTAATCAAGTTATGTAAACAAGGTTAGACTGATTTGAATTTAATTTGAACAAGACTACGAGTAGCTAATTTTAAGGCAAATCAAGAATACAACAATTTTTTGCTTTTTTTCAATGTGATCATTATCTAATCATCGACTAGTCTTGATTGCATAAAATAGAAATGTTTGTCAATAGAAGTTTTATCAATTTATCAATATTTATGCTATGTTTATCAATAGAAGTTTATCCTCGGGAAAGTCACTGTACCAAAATGAAGGAAGAAGATAAGTACAAGAAGTACATGTGGAAAAATAGCCTTCCATAGACTGTTGAAAACTTTTTTACTTAGAAATAAATGAAATGTACCATAAGGCCTTATGAAAAGTTTTAATCCTTTGAAATAATTTTTAATTGATAATCAAATTTTAGGAGTATATTTAAGTTGACCCGTGGTCAACAGTGATGAGAATTATTATCGGAGAAGCCATATTAGTCTAACAGCCAATTTCTTCATGTTCAACTCATTTTTTATTAAGCGATGGTTAAATATATTCCTAAATACGTTGAAATAACAGGATTGAAATTTCCAAATAATGCAATAACAGTTATGATTAGCCAGTAGTGCCGTTTTATCTTCTAGCTGATCACTACAATAACTGCATGGATAAATTAAGTTCAGTAATTTGTTTATATTTAAATTGTATCAGAATTAACTATTATAAGTGATGTTTCGCTATCATAGGAAAACTTGACAGCTATCATTGAATTCATTTATTTGTTGCTTCTATTTCATCGAAGAATAGTTATTAATAAATTTCTTTTAAATTAGCTTTCGCTTTAAAGCTTCATTGATCTTATAAATTTTAACAGAATATTTTAATGAAGAATAGCATTTCAGTAAGATGTTCTATGGTATATTACTAAAGCACTGCTCTGATAACTTCTTGAACGAGTTCATTCGATTTCAAAATTTGGAATCATTCATTGCAGAAGACATACAGCCCAAACACTTGTAATGGCTTTAAATTTAGTATCACTTATATTCGCATCTTCTTTTGCTACTTGATTAGTTCTATTTCTTGCCATTTACTGAACCCAAATCGGTCTCACAAATTAATTTTTTCCGACAGTTTTAAAATTTTCTCAAAAGAACCACATTAATCGATCGATGCAACGTATGATAAGAAGGAATAAGGGAACTTCAAAAAGTGATCATAGAGAAGAATTCAACACATATTATTTGTGATGGCGTGGAGTGAAAGATGAAAGAAAGAGCGCAAATCATAATTTCCGAATTTGCTTCTGCAAATTCGAAATCAAATTTTATTTATAATAATTGTTTATTAAACGAGATGGATAATTAAATCAAATTAATTGTCCTTTAACATTCGTTCCCTTTTTTTACGTGCAATCAAACTATCATATTCTTTGAGGAAATCTATTACTTGCTGATCTCGTGATAACAAACCTTCTTCAACTAGTAGTTCAATCACCAAGCGATAAATGAATAGATATTGCTGTAAATAATTCCATTAAATTATTCATTAATTAAATTTAATTTTCGGATAGAAATTTCTTAATATATTTATTTATAGATTTATACATGAATAAATTAAATTTATAAATATATGTATATATTAACAAATATATCAATAAAGTTAATTATTCGTTATATACTTGCATACATAAATGTAACTGTGTACTCTTTTTATTCATAATCATTGCTATGAATTTGGCAAGAAGAAATTTTCAAGTCGTTGGAAACGTGAATTAAGCATTGCAACGTGAAATGTGACTGCTTATTAAACATTTCGGATTGCACTATATCAAATAGAAAATGCTCATAGATTAAAAGATCGTTAGTGTTGCAGACATATTTTCCTGCGAGCTTTATGAATTGTGAAAATTTATAAATTCCGCAAGTTGCTCTCAAGAATATTTTAATAATTTTGTGATGAGTCATACGAAATAACATTTATTTTTTCAAACTAAACTATTACATCAAATAATTAACTCACCAAATCGTTTTGTACAGCATGCAAGCGTTGTTCTCGAAGTTTCCTTGTCACATCGACAACAATACAAGTTTCATTTCTGCGCAATTTCTCCATTATCATTTCAACGGCAACAAAAGTTCCTGTCCTAAAATATAACAACTTTCATCCATCTAATATCAATGTTGTAACTTTTTGCATAAAATATAAGATGAAAAAATTTAGGATGATCCCTAATGTGATTTGAAAATTCAACAAAACCTTCCAACACCAGCGCTGCAATGAACGATTATAGGCTTTTTCCCGTAATATTTATGTAACAAGGTATAAATTTCGCAACAAGTAACAGGTGAATCAGGAACAGAATGATCTGGCCATCCTGTGTAAGCGATATGCGTTACCTATCAAAATTAATTCTTTTAAAATAAAAATTATCACGTTCGGTGCACTTTTAACGTCAACGATAAAATACGAACGAAATCGATATTTGATGTTATAAATTTAATGCAATTGTTTGTTGTAAAAATTTTCATCGCTGAATTATCCAGTCAATAAGAACACATTCAAGGAATCAATTTAAATGAAGAAAAGGAAACGCATACTTACATTATCACGATTTTGCAAGCTTCAAAAAAATGTAATTTTGATAAGGTTAAAATTGCACACAATTCATACCTCTTGTGTTTTATTAGAATATGAGGCTTCAATTTTCGTCCGTGTCACTTTTCTAAGTGTAACGATACCAGAAGTTGGTTCTGTGATACGAACTCGAACTGCACCATATTCTTTCCATCCAGTACTTTCATTCGGTAAATATTCGGAACATTGTTCATGTTCATCCTCTTTATTTTGACATAATTGAAGAATTACCTGAAATATTTTCTCTTCCCTCAATTTCTAATCTTAAATTATATTTTAAAATTAAAGTTAAATTCAAATGGAAATGTAACATAACACGAATGCTACAATTAAATGAATAAAAATTAATTTGTGATCAAATCTATCTATGAAGAAAATGTGCAACATATTATTTACATTCGTTTCTTCTTGTATAGCCATTATCCAGAAATCCTGTACCGTATTTGGTAACGGTCCTTGAGCACATATATATGTGAGATCGTTTGATACAGTAACATAAGATGCATGAATATAATCATCATCTAAAAAATTAAAATTTCTAATTTCTAATTTTAGTATTTATATCTTTATCGAAAAATTTAAAATTTATTTTGCTATTATTTTTATTCTCAATATTAGAAATGGTAGTATAAGGAATATATTTCTTTTAAAGGTAAATTTATGCATTCATTCATTTCGCTTTAAATTATATGCAATAATTATATATGCAATTGTTTTGTCTTTATTCAACGTTTCTGCGTTTTTTTGTTTTAAATTAAAATCATAAAAATTAATTTCCTGCAAACTTACTACTATTAGATGTCTTTTTTAACTTAACTCTTGTTTTATCTTCCAATTTGATATCATCATATCTATAATATTATTAATGATAAAATTCAGACTCATTAAGATATTCAAAAACAAAGAGATTAATATGACATATTGCGCAAAAGATGATATGACATATTGCGCAAA